GTTATAAAATCTTAAAAAGTATAATTTAGTAATTAATAAAAGAAGATAGGTAAAGATAAGTAATAATAGGTAAAGATAGGTAGAGATAGGCAAAGATAAGTAAAGATAGGCTAGAATAGGTAAAGATAGGCTAAAATAGGTAAAGATAGGCTAAGATAAGTAAAGATAAGTAAAGATAGCTAAAGAATAAGTATAGTTATAAGTAGATCTTACTATTTAGATTTTACTATATACGCTAAGTATTAGCGCGTATATATAGACTATAATAGTAGAGATTTAATAGTAAAATCGGTATATCTAGTTATATTAGAGTTACTACTAGTTTTTCTAAAGTATACTAGAGAACTATTACACTAGTCTATAATTAAGTAACTACTAGGTTAGTAATATTCTATAGGCCTTTATAGTAGCTCTTAGAGCCTCTAAACTATTTAATAATTTTTAGTAAATAGTATATATATATAAAGATAGGCCTAAGAGTAGCCTATAGAAATACTATACTATTTAATAGGTTATAAGAATAGTACTCTATAGAGGTACTATACTATTTAATAAGTTATAAGAATAGTACTCTATAGAAGTACTATACTATCTAATAGGTTATAAGAATAGTAGCTTATAAAGGTACTATACTATTTAATAAGTTATAAAAATAGTAGCCTATAAAAGCACTATACTATTTAATAAGTTATAAGAATAGTACGTAGGCTCTATATATAAATAATAGAGTATTAAGAACTTATATAATTTCTATTAGACTATAAGCTAGGTAGATAAAAGTACTAGTAATACTATAGAGTTTCTAGGCTATTTAATAGTTTTAGTAGAAGTAGTAAGATAGTTTATAGATATAAAGAGGTTATAGTAATAATATAGTAATAATATAGGTAAGTAAAGATTACGTAATAGAAGTAATATAGGTTATTAAGAATATTATAGACTTTAGTTAAACTATATAGTAATAGTAAGAGTAAGCTAGTAGACTTTACTCTAATAATATAATAGTTCTAGTAGACTTTAGTTAAACTATATAATAGTAGTAAGAGTAAGTTAGTAGACTTTACTCTAATAATATAATAGTTCTAGTAGACTTTAGTTAAGCTATATAATAGTAATAAGGTAAGTTAGTAGACTTTAGTTAAACTCTATAATATAAAACTAGAGTAGTATAGGCTATAGTTACTAGATATTAACCTAATATCTACTAACCTAATTTATATAGTAGTAAAGAACTTAATAAATAACTTAACCTTAGTAGAGTCTACTATTATAGTAGTTAGTAAAGTAGAAGTAGAAGCTAAAGTAGGTAAAGTTAGTATAGCTATAGTAAAAATTACGTATAGAAGTAGGTTAATATATTATATTATAGTAGAGTTAAAATATAAAGTTTTTACTAAAAGAGAAGCTTATATAATAGGCTAGGCCTAGTAAAACCTTAGTAAGTAAAGCCTTAAAGCTTAGCTACTCTAACTACTAATACCTACTTATAGCTAGCCTACTAGAAACTGCTAGTACGCTACTAAAAGGACTATAAATAGAGAAAAACTAATACTATAAATTCTTAGTAAATTTATTTAATTTATACTAGTAACTACTCTTAGAGTTAACTTTTTATAATTATAACTTTAGTAATTAGAATAGTAATTTATAGATTATCTTAACTTTAAGGCTTAGAATAGTAATTTATAGTAAATTATAAACTTTAGCGTTAGAGATAGTAATATATAGGTAATTATAAACTTTAATATTAGAAATAGTAACTTATAGGTAATTATAAACTTTAACGTTAAAGATAGTAACTTATAGGTAATTATAAACTTTAACGTTAGAAATAGTAACTTATAGGTAATTATAAACTTTAATATTAGAAATAGTAATTTATAGTTAATTATAAACTTTAATATTAGAAATAAACTTATAGTTAATTATAAACTTTAATATTAGAAATAGTAACTTATAGGTAATTATAAACTTTAATATTAGAAATAGTAACTTATAGTAGTTAATTATAAACTTTAACGTTAGAGATAGTAACTTATAGGTAATTATAAACTAATATTAATATAAAACTTTAATATTAAAGTTCTATATTAATAACTACTCTAACTACTATACACAGCCTTACTTTAAAATAATATAACTATTCTATTATTAATTCTAATACACTTAAGTATTATTAGTATATAGTTACTAGAAATACTTACTAGTAACTATATATTAACTACCTTTACTTTTAAACTAGTTTTTTTACTAATCCTTTAAGCCTACTAGTAAGTTAAAGTTAGTAAATAAGTAGTAATACTTAAAAATAAAAGAATTATATTTTATAATATAAAAAAAAGTGTATTATTAGCCTATATATAAATATTTAATTTTTACTTCTAGCTAATACTAAATATATAACTACTATTACTTTCTATTTCTTTTTTTTTAACTAAAGCTAGTAGAAAGAAGTAGTTAATATATAGTTACTAGAAATACTTACTAGTAACTATATATTAATTACCTTTACTTTTAGAATAGTTTTTTTACTAATTCTTTAAGTTTCCTAGTAAGTTAAAGTTAGTAAATAAGTAGTAATACTTAAAGATAAAAGTATTATATTTTATTATATAAAAAGAAGTATATTATTGTTTTTATCTAAATAACTAATTTTTACTACTAACTAATACTAAATATATAACTAATATTAAATTCTACCTTTTTTTCCTTAGCTAAAGCTAGTAAAAAAAGGTAATTAATATATAGTTACTAAAAATACTTACTAGTAACTATATATTTATTATTATTACCTTTAACTAGTTTTTTTACTAGTTCTTTAAACCTACTAATAAGTTAAAGTTAGTAAATAAATTATAATACTTAAAAATAAAAGAGTTATATTTTATTATATAAAAGAAAGTATATTATTAGCTTTTATATAAATACCTAATTTTTACTACTAGCTAATACTAAATATATTACTAGTATTACTTTTTACCTTTCTTTCTTTAAAGCTTTATACCTATATTTAATATTAGATTATAACTATTTATTTTAATTTAGTATTAGCTTAAAACTCTTTAAAGAAAATTAGCTTTATTTAATTATTTCTAAATATAAGAGAGTAAATAACTCTTTAGATTTAAGTAATTTTATATTAAAACTTTTATAAAAGAGAGTATTAAATAAGATATATATAATAGTATAGTATTATAAATTAAAGTTCTAATAATAATATTATTACTATTAGACCTCTGTTTATATTTTAATTTTTGCTATGTCCTACTAAATTTTAGAGGTGTCTACAACCTAATAGGGTATAATAGCTAGCTTTCCAAGGTCTTGCAAATGTAGTTGCAAACGTGCAGGACTGGCGAATTGTTCACAGTTCGCGCTACCATGTCCTTGATACAACAGAGTTACTCTGGCACGTCCAAGATCCAAATACCGAAGAAGGAACCATCGACCTCGGAGAACCTTCCTGGACATGGCTTAACGTGAAGGGAAAGGTGCGATGCTCCAGAGCCTCGCGCATGTCTAATCTAGAAGCGGGTCTCGATGCAAAGATCGTTCTGCAAGAGCAACCGACGAAAATAGCAACACGGGATGCCTCAATAGATGTCCCAAGCGACGTTATCCAGATCGGTTCTTGCCTTGTCGAAATCTACTCAGGTGTTCCGAGAGAAGACCGACAGGGCCGTAAAGCTGTCGACTGTGCTTTCGTAGTGACTAACCCATTGTTCCAGCCTACCACAAGTGTCCGGATGATGCAAGCCTGGTGGTATCCGGACACCCTTCCAGTATGCGATGGCCATCTGTGGGCGCTGCCGCTTCACAGCGGTTACAAATATAGTAGAGTAAGCGGATGGCAATTTCACACCGTGGGATTGGTCATCGTTGCAGCACAGGAAAGACAGGGGTTTTGGAAGAGGGTAGGGGCCTACTTTCGCGATGAGAGCTACTTCTATGATAGAATGTCCCGTAAATATCATCCATATAAGGATGAGTTCAACACCGATGCATCCACAACAGGCGAGTCGGTTACGAGCGAGTCAGGTTCTGATCATGAACCTCGTGGGCGCGATTTGTACGAAGAAGGGCTGACTTTGGATGAGTTAATGGATCCAGAAAGGCTCGTTCGGAAGAAGTTTGGTTTACCTTACTCGACGCGAAGAAAGCAAGAAAGCGATCCACGCAAGGATGAGTCCCTTGAAGACGAGATAGGTTCAGAAGAGCTGAATGCAGGCACATCCGAAAACGAGTCAAATTTTGAGGAGCTGGCCTCAGAAGATAAACCCAAATTCGAATCAGATACAAAAGACGTTGAAGCAGAAGTCATGTTTCCATACAAGCCTAGGCATGAATCAGGCACCGATAATTCTAATGCGGATGATTCGGACACAAGTGGGTCAGACTCAAATGAATCTGATTCAAACGATATAGGGGCAGAACAACCACAGTTCAGATAGTGGGATCATGTTGCGACTGTACCAAGGCCGAAAGCACTGGATGAAGAAGCGACTTCGGCGTCGGAGGTGTCTGATTCGACTCGCGTATCAATTCCCTCAAAATCATGGTCCGTCAAGGTGAACGTATCGGATGATGATGAGCCCCACACAGAGTGGCTATGGAGTCAAGACAAAACGACAATCTTTCTAGTATAATTGTGCACATTTTCAAGTACTCTGTACAACGATCTAGACAGATATAGTTTTAGAACCTACTAGGAAAGGCCACAGAACTACCTACAATAGTTGTCACTTACTTGCAAAAAGGTTGCGCTACTTACATTTCTCGACAAACTCAATGCTGTAACTTAGTTTTAAACATTGTAATAAGTGAGTTAATTCTACGCTACTTAATCACAGGTTATGCAACGTGTTATTGGATTAATGGAAGTTTAGTAATCCTGAACGCGCTAGCGCAAGCTTTACCACAACTATTAAACTCCATTGACTACGCAGCTATTTCACTGCAGGTTGCATAGATAGTGCACGTTAGGCGTTTTCATTCAATTCACGGCTATATGTCGAAATTGTACTGCCAGTAAGGGCTGCTCGGGTATAATAAAGCGTTGTGCCATAACCAATGTATCTTTTGTCCGCGGGAACTTTACATCCATGTGTTTCCTTCCCGCATAAGCCCCACATGCCGTAAATAGAAACCTTTGAGCATATTGGATTAATACTTAGCTACTAATCCATAGCAAGTTTTGTGTAGTAAGAACTTCTTATCTAGACCCTTTGTAGGCCTTTAAAACTCCCTCCTTCACACTAGGGTTCGCCGGCAACCACGCATCACCCACCCTAAAGCCCTCCGGAAACGGATCCTCCGGATCAAGCACAACCTGCTTGAAGCTCGTAATCCACCCACGACCCTTGACAATCGGCACGATAGCCTCATACTCTCCCACTTTCGCCGTCCCTACAACCCGCCCGATGAACTCGGTATCGATTGGACTTTTGTTTACCCAGTTCTCGCCCACTTCCAGCAACCCTCGAGCATGCAGTACCGCCATACGCGCACACGTCCCAGTTCCGCATGGGCTCCTGTCGAACCGGCCTGGCATGACAACGGTAGCATTCTTCGTAACCTTCCCCCTCTCTTCCTCTACCAGAGGGGTGATGAATACAACATTCGTAACACCCCTTATGGCCGGATTCTCTGGATGTATTGCCGTAAATTGTTCGCGCACAGCGACCTTGATCTTTTCACCCAGCGTAACGAGCTCCGCGCCATTCTCGTAGTGATCCTCAAGAGTATGCCCGACGGACGCCACGTCAACAAAAGCAAATATCATGCCGCCGTATGCTACGTCGACTGTGACTGTACCTAGGTCTGGGACGTTGATGGGAATGCCAAGACCTAGGACAAACGAGGGCCTGTTCTGGAATTCCACACTCTTGCATTTCCCATTTGAGCACTCAGCCTTCACTGTGACAAGCCCGGCAGCCGTATCCAACGCCAATTCCGTAACCGGCTCCACCATCTTAACCATGCCTGTTTCTAGCAACACCGTCACAGTGCAAATTATATTCGAGCCAGACATCGGGACATATTCCTCAGACTCCATGATAAGCAGTCCCGCATCCGCTTTCGGATTGCACGGCGGCAGAATGAGGTTTGTGCACATCGATACTCTCCCCCGCGGTTCGTTGAGCAGCAGATTCCTGATGCTGTCGTTCTTGTCCCACATGTAGATCATCTTGTCGTACATGGTCGCGCCAGGGACATCGAGGACGCCGCCCACGATGACGTCGCCTACTTCGCCTTCGGCGTGAACGCCGATAACGTCGAGTTTGCGGGAGAAGTGCATTGTGGGGGTTTGAGTTGGAGAAAGAACGATGGAGGCTGGAGTTGGAATATAGTGAAATTCGATGTCGCGGAAAGGCGTGCCGCTTTGGGTTAGCCTCTACCTTGTCTCTCATAGGGCGTACATAGCTGATTAATCCATGAGTCTGCTAGTCGGAGCATCTTTTCCCTGCATCTTCTAGCGTATAATGGTAAATTACGAGCGCTATGCGCGCTATGGTGCCAGTATGAAGCTTATGGTACACAGCATCAATAGCGTTCCGGACTCAAGCAAAGATCGCAGGAGCCCAGGATTGAGAAAAGTGAAATCACTCGTGCAGAATTACTAGCACATATTAATTCCAATTGTCTTGTTACATGTCCAAGGGCGACTAACTTCTTAAGTCAATTTTGAAAGTAGCACTGAAAGTGTCGTCTGAAAACATCATTGCTCGCTAAAAGGCGGGACACGCGGAGACTCGCTCGACCTAGTTCTACTCCGTTATTCCAAGATCTGCACTACCCCGCTCAAGAATAGGCGTGCCTGAACTCTTCCTCTCCAGACCAAGTCTTTGTTCACAAGTCAATCAATTTCAAACGAAGCTTTATAGCAATTCGTCTTGACACAACTTGTTATGTATCCTCCGCCCTACCTAATTTTCAATCGCCCCGTAGGCTACACATGGGAAGCTGGAGCCGACCCCGCATCGCAGATACTTGATAGCCTCAATGATGCCCCAATCGATCTCCTTCCAGGCCTTACCATCCGCGTCGCAGAACCGGATGCTCTGGTAGTCTGGCTCGAGACAAACAACGCCGCTCTGATCACCGATCTATATATCTTCGTAGGTCCGACCATTGACGGGCCTAGTCCTGAACGATGGTGTCGATTATTCAACAAACTGCATCAAGATGCGACAAACTTGAAACATCTGGATGTGTACTGGGATGCAGAGGGCCCCTGGGACCACTCGAAGCCACCATGGGACATAGATGAGATACTGCACTTCGGGCTTGGAGAAAGTGTGGTCTTTGTTCGGGGATTGGCACGCTTGAATGTGTCACAGTCTGTGAAGATAGGCGGGTTTTACGCCAAGCACTGGCCGCCATACCTGGAGGAGAAGTTGGGTATAAGGCCGATAAATATACAAGCTGGCATTAAAGACTGGGACAGATTACTCAAGGGTTACCAGAAAGGCACAGAACGACTGAATCCTTGGACCGATAAAAAAGATCGCAGAGATTACGCCAATGCAGGATCTCTAATCTGGAACTTCGAATCTTGAGTATCTCGATGTATCTGCGTTTTTATCCCATAGAATTTGGGCGATACAGATCGCAATCAAACACACCTTTTACCCTGATGTTGTCCGCACACTCCATCCCATTGTCTCAAAACCTTAACCCGAATACATAGGCAAGTTTCTCTTACTGTGTAGTGAGGTATATCTATGATTATCAAGCCTAGTCATGGCATTCAGACGCGTCTTGATCCCAACATCCTAAACCAAGTTTTGGATTCAACAATGATCATCCGTAGATAGAGCTTCCTCAGAACGGAACATCCATGAGTGATCGGATTTGCTTCAGCGGGTGATTCCGACAGGGGCTTCCATGTAATCATCTTAAGGTGTCATATCGAGAGTACTGTCTACAATTGAATGCCTCTAGAGAAGACTTAAAGCCGTTGATTGAATAACGAAACTCAAAGTCGGTTGGAAGTGATTAACTATCGGCTTGAAGACGTTTGAAAAGAGCTATATGAGAACGTTTGAAAGTCATACTGGATCGATAGCTACGCTGAAGACCACGCTTTATGAGACATAGAGCAATCCATCTCTTAGTGTGTACTACCTGATATGATTCGCAATTCGTTCGCCTGTTGATTTTTCCAAACTCATGTCGATTGTCAATCACATAGAAGACGAAAATGACGAAATTAGGGTTCGGTACGTGGGCTAGGGCCATTGCTATCAATTGAGCAGGGACCATTAATTCCCGTCTCGAAATGAAAGCACTAGCTGCGTTGTTCCGCTTTCGAGAATCCAGGATTAAAAACATGAGAGTTCTTTCCAAGATTCGAGAAAGCTTCGGTAGCCACATCAAGACTCTCTACTACACGCATGGTTGTAATCACGAAATATGCACGAAATGAGGTGGACTCGGTTGCACTTAACCTTCAAGTCCCCGGTTGCTACGATGTATTCTCTTCAAGAAATTCGGCAAAATTTTGAATCACACAACGCTATCTCAATCAACATACTGAAACAACTCATAACTATGTCCGCATGAGCGAGTTTCATATTGTGCACGAAACATAAGTGTGCATATATAACCTTGCCCGCGGTGTTATACGTCTTATTTTGTCTACCACAAAGTCGCGTCTCTTTCTACCGATGGTACGATATGCTGTGTCACATATTCTCACGCACATCATAGATGTGACGATAATCTCCCCAGTTCGAGGGGGGTGTCACACAATGCTATTCCGCTGGGTCGCTGCACAAACTCTATGTTCACTTGAATCACATTTGGCAAAGTTACAGACAAGTTGAATTTCAATCATTGGTATCGTTGCGTAAGCATTCTACAGTCCTATTCAGGGTATATACAGAGTTTTGTTTTTGAATGAGCAACCTCAGGGCGACAGCTAGACTCGAAGGTCCGTTGTGCTGTCGAGAACCTAGTACAGTGCGACCTTGAGAACACGGCCCTCAATGGCAGTTCCATTCGCGCTCAATTTGGCACCCGTGACATAGAGCGAATCTGAGTCAGAACGAGTCTGCCCAAGGTAAACAGAGGACGTACGACCGAGCAGGGTGTTGTTAACCAGGACGCGGTTCGTCTTGGAGGAGATATCCACCTCGACGATGACGTTCTGTCCGTTCTCGGCAATATAAGCCTTCGATCCATCACTGGACAAGGCGAAGTCGTCCGCGTCGAGTAGGGTACCGTTGACAATGATATCAATGGGACCTGTGGCTGTCCCCGTTGACAGTGAGATGGGAACCGAGCCAAAAAATCCCTGATCCAGGCTGGTGAAGTAGAGCTGGTCCTCGAACATACGGATGCCATCGAGACCGACACCAATACCGCTCGAAGTGGGCAAAAACCTCTCATCCTCAATTACAACCTCGTAAGCTCCAGTCTCAACGTTGAGACGAGTAATGGTTCCAGCAGACGAATCGCTGATTAGGACATTTGTAGTGTCGTTGTCTGCGAGCCTGATCAAGCCGTTCAGTTGCTTCGCCGTTGGGATACGTGCAGTGAGTGACAAGTCGCCTGAAGCAGCAGCGGATCCGTTTTGTGCGGTACAGCCTTGTTGCATATTCAATTTCCACACTTCGTTGGAATCAGGACCCGAGGTCTCATTCGACGCGACAACGTAGAAGACATTCTCCTCCAGCTCAACAATACCCAGAAGTCCAACAGTGTTGGGTACGTCGGCGACGGCAACGGGCGCCTTGGTGTTGTCCGGTGATATGAGGAAGATGGACGGCGATGTGATGGAGGTGACTAGCATGTCGCCATTGCGGCGCACAACAAGGTTTTCCAAGTTCTTTGGTCCCGGTACATCCGCATACACAGATACCGTAGTTAAGTTCGTGGCTCCTACCGGAAGGGCAGCCACAGATGGAATCGCGGAAGCAGCGGATAGGAGCAGGGTGGCTAGGGGACGAATGGAGAACATGATGGACAATATTGAGGTTGAATCCGACGAATGAAGTCTTGTTAAGCCTACTGCATATGCTTCTTATATGCATCTGAAAATTCTGGTACCTCGTACTTGAACGTCATCGTGCCGAAGAACTCCCGGAATTGCAAGTATGAGCTAAAAGTTGTTACGGCCCGTTCCCGCATGTGTTTAGTCTTGATTGTCGGTGAAATGACTAGCAGAACACAAAAATATGAGTCGTGCCCAGATTTATAGAACGCAAAAATGCTAATGGAGATACGGCTTTAAGCCCACAATTGTCGGACATACCACATGGTATGGTCTTAACGCCACATCCCAACATAAGCCAGCCGCATATCTCGGTGAAACTGCGGGGCAAAGTATGACGATTTCTACCGACTTTGGGTATAAAGGGCTCGCTGGAGGGGCATAGAAAATAACTACAGTCGATTGACATTATCACACCTCACATACCAGTACCTCAATCTTCTTATACAACCTTCAATTTATCACCGCAATCATGGTCAAGACAATTCCCTTTGGCGATATCCAAGTCCCCTCGCCAGGTTTCGGCGCGATGGGTCTGAGCTTCGGTCTAGGCACTAATCTGAGCCTGGAAGAGGCCGAACCCGTTCTGCTCAAGGCAATTGAGCTTGGATGCACATTTTGGGACACAGCGGTAAGAGTTCTCGGCCTTGATATGGTAGCATTGATTGCGATACTAATCTACTTGAATCAGGTTGTCTACCAGGCCGGTGTGAACGAGAAGCTCTTGGGAGACTTCATCAGGAAGCACAACGTTCGCGACAAGATCTTCAGTATGTATTCGCAGGTCTGGACTTTTGTCAAGCATCAATTGCTAACGAAGATTCTGTCAGTTGCTTCGAAGTGCGGTTTCGACTGCTTCGGAGACAAGAATGTCACCAACTCTGCCTCTCACATCAAGACATACATCGATGGCACCATTGAGCGCCTCGGCTTCGCACCCGACCTCTACTACCTCCACCGAATCGACCCCAGTACGTGAATAACTAGAGCGATTGCGTTGCATGGACTGATTGGATACTTGCAGAGACACCCCTCGAGGAGTCCATCCCTGCTCTCGATGAGATCCGCAAGGCCGGCAAGACCAAGTACATTGGCCTGTCCGAGTGCTCTGCGGCAACACTCCGCAAGGCCAACTCTAGTAAGTGCATTGCGTTTCTGTCCTCGCGGAACTCGCACTGACCCCATTTATAGTTGCCAAGATCGATGCTGTCCAGGCTGAATACTCCGCTTTCGAGACCCTGCACGAGAACGACTCCCTGATCGACACCGCGAAGGAATTGGGCGTCACATACGTGGCTTACAGCCCTCTGGGTCACGGATGGCTCGTCGATGACTTCCCTTACAAGTCCCCCGACGACTTCGCACCTGACGATTTCCGCCGTTCTGGTAAGTTGCCTTCCTCCCACATGCAAGACATGCTTGATCGATGAGGTTGGTACTGATTCATTCCGCCAATAGTTCCCAAGTTCCAAGGCGAGAACTTCTACAACAACAAGGCCATCGTCGAGGAGATCAAGAAGCTTGCTAAGCGCAAGGGTGTCACTTTGACACAGATCGCGCTCGCTTGGGTTGCTGCTCAGGGTATGATCGCCATCCCAGGCACAACCAAGGCATCACGTTTGGAGGAGAACTTCGCTTCGAGGGACATCGACCTTACGGAGGAAGAGAAGGCAGAGATGCGAAAGATCCTTGATGCTGCCAAGCCTCACGGAAACAGATATGCGCCCGCACAGCAGGCCATGGTCGGTCACTAGAGGAAGTGGGTGCCAGGATGATAACGAATAAAATCAAACACGTTTTATGAAGCAGCGAAATATCATACGAACATTGCACAAACTTCCCATCTTTCCGTGCTCTGAATCATGGAGACTGTTGAGGCCATTTCCACTATTCTTCGACATCACCATTGCGTGTACAAGTCGAGTATTTGTATAACTTTGAACCACAACCGCAGTCCTAATAGGTAGTGCAGCGCTATCCCTCAGCTAACAATTGAACTAGACACTACAATATCTACGAAGCTTCACAGATATGTCTGCCGGGTCAAGTAGCCAAAAGGGTCGACTCGACCAATCGATTACCTAAGCCGATTGCAGCCGCGCTCCGAAATGTTAGAGGCCGGAAGAGTCTCCACTCTGCGCTAGGAATGGTAGCCGCCCGTACCGCAATATTGACTACTCAGAACTACTCTTACGCTTCCGCTGCCGCGATGTCACCCTGTTTGCGTGGTTTACCTTGCGGCGACAACCCCGTTCCAGACAACAAAAAATCCTCTTTGCATTAACACGCGTCTTCGGCGACATGATTGCGATGAATGAAGATGGCAGTGTTTGCCCCCCTGGGACATTTTCCAAAACCGTACCCACAATCCCATCTGCCGGCGATCCTCCAATCTCGACGTCTCCATTGAGAATTCCTTCAGAGCACAACCCTGAGGCCTTGAAACCTGCGTTACATCTACGTGTACGCGAAACACGCTTTTCGATCGATTTTCAAGAAGATCTTCAGAATGAGTGGGACGACGTTGTGTCTGAAGACGAAGGTGCCAGCAGGCCTGCTACTGAGTGGCATGAGAAACAATCATTCGAGGTGGGGGCCGATAGATATCGGGGAGATCAAACAAGTCATGCAAGTTGAGCAGAGTTCCAGTCTCTTATTGACATTCACTCTGCGGGCAGCTTTTCCGGACCATTTGCATGTACAGGGCAACAACGCGATGAGTACACTAATACCGAGTCCTCGGGATGATTTGAGGGCGGATGTGACCATGTTATACTTCGAGACCAAGGCGGTATTTTATCTACAATCCATTTAAACGAGGGAGTCGTTCAGTATCATAACAAGGTAACCGGTTTTGTTGCGCAGCTGCGTAGCCTGTTCCCAAACTGTCACAAAATTGGTTCACAAGCTTTGGCACCGTTCTATGACCCTGCGCGTAGCAACAGCATCAATATACCAACTCCAAATCTATTCAAATTTTTATTTGATCATTTTGGATGGAACTATCATCACTGATCAATTGACTGACGTAATTGCTGCGTCGAAGGTCTGTATGGGGTCGACGTTCGAGCAGATTTGGAAGATCGTGCACAGGATCAACAGCAGCAGCAGCATGGCGGCCAAGTATCTTAGATTACTACCAATATTACTATATAGATCGAAATACCAGCTTCCCCTCATTGTCCTGCACACGTCTGATCTTCCCCGCTGCAGCCCAACGCAGCAGCATATTCTCGAGGCAAACATAGTGTTGATCTCGCTCTACATCACACCACCAATCCACCCCTACCACCTTCCCCTCCTGCGTTCCCCAACACTCCTCTCGAACCCCTCCAGTCCCCCACTAAACCCCCTCTCAAACTCCTCCTCAGGATACCCCAGAACAATCGCCTGCCTCGCCCCAATATCGATCCCCATAACGCTATCCCGCAGCGGCACCGTCAGATCGCCCTCTACGCGGCCAGGCGCGTCCTCAAACGACGCGCCCCCGCGCAACGGCACTACACCAGACACCTCCTTCCTAACATTGAGGAACTCCTCAAATGCAGATGTCCCTCGTATACTCCCCGTCTTCTCGTACCGCTCAACCATGTGCCGCATATCCACGATCCACCGCTTGCACGACTTGCACACGTCCATGTCACGGGTGACACGCGTGCGATTCACAGGCACCGCGCAGCGCACGGCGAGGAGCTGGTGGTCGGGCAGCGTCGCATAGTCGAGCGATGTGGGCGGATCCAACGGGTCGAACCCGGAGATCGAGGCACGTGAGGGCCGAACAGTAGGGCCGGGGTTTGTGCGGCGTGATGCTACTGACGAGGTTGTGGCAGAGCGCGACAAGGTGTTGCTCAGGGAGAGGAAGCGGCGCGTCGAGGAGGAGCGCTTGGGCGGCGGGACATCACGCGGCGGTGGCAGGGAGAGCAGTGGAGAATTCGGACCGCGTAGGTCGCTTAGTCGGCGCAATGCTATTTCACAGAGCGTCCATGGTTGGGTGTGCGCTTCGCCGATGTGGCCGCACCCGTTGTGTTGCGTCGAGTTGTGGAAACACATCGTATTTTCACTTGGGCCCGAGCACTGGATCGCGATGATGACGTAGTCGTTCGGGTAAAGTTGTGCGATTAGGTTTCGGCTGTGCGGGGTTTGCGCGAGCCCCAACAAAAAGCTTGCCGAAAGACCCTGAGAATTAGAGGCCGCGGAGGTTTGTTGCGAGGAGTGGTGAATGTTTGCGACGCATGACTGTGAAGGAGTGAAGAGCGCCGTTTTCAATGGAATGAATTGCTGTGAACTGGGATTCTGCCTGGGTCAGCCAGTCGTTTCTGCCTTGGTTTATGCTGCGGCGTAATCAGCGGTGACGCGGATTTGCCCGAGGGTGCAAGGGTTTTTGTTGGTCACGTGGCTGGTGAGCGTTCAATTTGCTGTGAAGGAAAGTCCATAGTAAGTTGTCAGAATAGAGCTTCATTGTAGGTGTTATCTTGAAGGGAGCTTACGTTGCGAGTATAGGTGTGTTGTTCTTCACAGTTATCAACGTATGTCTCGAGAGCACTCTATCTACGTCTATCCGAGATCTCAGTGTTGTGCTTACTGATCGCCGCATGGTTTGGAAGCGCTTCCTAAAGGTAATGTTAGCCTGACTATCTTAGAAGTGTTAGGTGTAACCGTCTGGAAGCTCAAGATGACGTTTCAAACATTTTGCTTTCCAACAAAACATACAACTGCGAAAAGACCAGCCACTTGCAGTGCTACTATCCGAAACCGCATCTGGAAGATTCTATCAATAAAGTACTTAACTAGTGAATCCGTAGAAATTGGCCAACCCGATATACATATGTTTGTAGACGAACGTCGATGTTCTATCTTGGTATGATGCACTGGAAATGATTGAAGCAATTGTTATAACATCATTCTAAGTGCAACTGCCTGGCTTTGCTTGATCTTACATCCGCGAAACCGCAACCGATTAAGAGGAGTGGTTAATTAATCAACCTCGTTAAAGTGTTTACGCCATCAGCATTGGAGCAGGTAATATTATCATACCTCCCAGCCGTATTCATCCTGATCTCGTTTGACTTCTCCGTATCAAGAGACTTACCGGGTAGGAAAACGATGAAGAAGAATAACTCTGCCCATGCTGTGACTATAAGGTCTCGTACAACAACTTCTTGCATCGATTGTGCCGCGGCCCATTCAAAATAGCCACACCATACACACCCTAACACCCTCCTCACATCCAAACCAAAACATCGAATCACCACAAGCTCGTCTCGAACCTCTTCCGTAACTTCTCGTACTTCACAATATCCCCCACACTAGGACTAATCGTCCTCGCGGCCTCCACAAGATCCTTCTCTTCAACAACATCTGAGCGGCGCTTAAGCGCACATTGCCCGGACCGTCTAAGCAGGGCCTCCAAATCCGCACCGCTGAAATTCTCACACGCCTCCCTGTTTGCAAACTCCGCCATATTGGGGTCCATGACGGCTTTCTGCCGGATAAGCGCTTTGAGGATATCGACACGTTCTTCTGGCTTGGGTAGCGGGATGTACAGGCGTGTCTCCAGACGACCAGGGCGCAGCATGGCCTCGTCAATCATCTCGGGGCGGTTGGTAGCGGCGATAAGGTAGATGCCCGCGCGCATGCCAAGGCCGTCGACTTCGGTGAGGAGCGTGTTTACGACGCGAGCGGAGGCTTCGTGCATTTCGGTGGAGCGCTTTGGAGCGAGGGCATCGAACTCGTCGAAGAATATTACGCAGGGGACAGAGGAGCGGGCGCGTGTGAAGACTTGCCGAATCGCACGTTCAGATTCGCCGACGTACTGTGGAGGTGTTAGCTTGAATTTTACGGAGTAGGGGCCAGGCTGGGGATGTACATACCTTGTTGAGCAATTCCGGCCCGTTTACACTGATGAAGTTCGCTTTCGATTCCGCAGCTACCGCCTTGGCGAGCAGTGTCTTACCGCAACCAGGCGGGCCCCATAGAAGTACCCCCGTGGCGGAGGTGATACCAACCTTAGCAAAGCGCTCAGGGTTCTTGATGGGTTCGATGATGGCCATTTCAAGCTCCTCTCGAATACCCTTGAGCGCACCAACATCCTGCCATGTAGTATCTGGCACTGTCGCAAAGCCTTCTCGCTTGGAAGATGGAACGATAGTGGGCAGGACGGCGGTGAATGCTTGCATCGTGATGACCGTGTTCTCGAAGCCGGGCGGACGTGGCACTTCTTTGTCTCGTACTCGTTTGACGAGCCGCCTCCACGATCGAATGTGCTCAGGGAGTGGTGTCTTGTTCATTCCATCGTCGATTTCCATCTCGGTTTCTGCTTCGGCAGCCTGCTTCTCCAATGCCTCCCGATAACGGTCCATAGACCATGTGCCTGCTTTACTGACTAGGTCTTTCAGATCGGCGCCAACAAAGCCTGCAGTTCTCTTTGCAAGTATTGGCAGGTTCACGTCTTCTGACAGCCGCGGCTTCCGGGTGAGCGCTTTTAAGATCATCTCTCGCATCGGCTCATTGGGGACGCCCATGTTGATTTCAGTATCGAAGCGACCACCGCGTCGCAGGGCAGGGTCCAAGCTGTCCGGCCGATTCGTTGCAGCGAGAACGATGACCGGTTTCCCATCGTTTCCTTCCATAGACAAACTGTCCATGGAGACCAGCAGCTGGGCCACAATGCGCTTCTCCATTTGACTCTGTGCATTGTCTCTTTTTGGCGCAATGACGTCGATCTCATCAATGAATATCAGACAGGGGCCGACTTCTTTCGCTTTCTCGAAGATTTCGCGAATTTGCTTCTCCGACTCCCCTGACATGCCGGACACAACAGAAGGGCCTAGGATCTCGATGAATGGCACGCCAAGCTCTGCTGCAGCGGCTCGGCAGATTGCCGTTTTACCGCATCCGGGGGGGCCGTGGAGGAGAATACCGCGAGGTATGGGAATTTCTCGATTGACGTACTCCTCGGGACAAAGCAGGGGGAGAACCAGATGCTCTTTCAGCTGACCGATGACACTGTCTACGCCGCCAAGGTCTTCAAGAGTGAGCCCGGTAGGTGGTGTGGTGTCGACTTTCGAAGACTTCGACTCGGTTTTCTTTAGTCGCTTGCTTTCACGCTCACCGTTGGTCTTCGCTGCGTCCCTCTTCTTGGCCTTTTCGCTCTTCTCGCCGTTTGCCGCGGGTACGCCTGCCCACTGATTCACAATCTGGCGGTTCATCCAATCGACTTCCTTCTCTTGCCCTTTCCTGTCATCTTTTGGCTCCCCCATCAAATCACCCTCAAACCCAGCCATCTCATCTTCTCCAGAACTTTCGTCCTCACGCATGACATCGATTACTCGCTCTATTGAATCCTCCAGCTGCTTCTTTGGTCTCCTCTTCAAGCTAGAATTTGAGCGATGCAGGTAGTCATAGACTGTGGAAACGCGCAACTTGAGCGGCGACTCGTTCTTCTCGTCCAGATACTTGCGCACCACTTGGTACACTTCTCGATCCAGACCCTGTTGCAGAGAGGGACGACCGCGAGAGACCATGTCGAAGACCGGTGAGTAGGTGAGTGATTAGGTGATTTCTAGTAGTAGCGAGTGGAGGGTGAGAGGCCGACTAGTCCCAAGTTTGTGGAGTGCAGCAAGTCTCGTGAATGCTCGACGATCGCAAAAAAATGTTAAGCCCTATCGCTTATCGATAGACTAGGGTGTCGGTCCTTCCTCGGCTTTGTTTTGGTTGAACAACTGCTTCCTCTGAGCAACGCGACAAGAGTATAGGAAAAGATGCTGCCAAAAGTCAAGGCTGAGCGTATACCAGCATCTCTCAGAACTCACAATTTTTACACCAAATCTGTATGTGGTTGTCCAGCCGTTCGTCGTGTCGCTTATCGATAAACTAGTGCCTCGGTCCATCCTCGGACGCTACATGCCTACGTCAATCAAGGCAGGTGCGCGGGCGTGTCGCATGCACACCCCGGAGCCCATGGAGAGCGCAGCAACATGGGCAACTCGAGCAGCTCAAACAAGATATCAGCCCAGGACAAGTGCGTGTTGCTCCTCACGCTTACTCAGCGACATACTGACATGCGCAGGGCGATCCTGGACATGAAGAACCAGCGCGACAAGCTGCGCCAGTACCAGAAACGCATCACGGTGCTCACCGACCGCGAGAAGGAGATTGCGAAAGAATGCCTGGCGAAAGGCGACACGAACAAGGCGAAGTTGGCGTTGCGCCGCAAGAAGTACCAGGAGTCGCTGCTGTCAAAGACGGACGCGCAGTTGGCGCAACTGGAGGTGTTGACGAGCGACGTCGAGTTCGCGCTCGTGCAGAAGGATGTCCTATATGGGTTGCAGCAGGGCACGGCGGTGCTGAAGGAGATCCACCGAGAGATGGGTGGGATAGAGAATGTGGAGAAGTTATTGGGCGAGAACGAGGAGGCGAGGGCGTATCAAGAGGTATATGCTTCAACTCCTATCATCCTCTCACTTGTGAGACTAACTCGTGGCGCGTCAGGAAATCAGCGAGCTCCTTGCGAACAAGATGACGAACCAAGACGAAGACGAAGTCGAAGACGAGCTCGAGGCACTCGAGGCAGAAGTCAACGGCGTTGCGCTGCCCGATGCGCCCGTCAAGCAGCCTGAGTTCACACCGGCGGAGAAGGCGCAGATCGCCAAAGACAGGGCACAGAGAAGGGCGAGGGAACGCGTTGCTGAACAGCAACAGCCTATGTTGGCATGACGTAGCATCTGGATGAGGACATGCATTGAGCGAGGCGTTGGGGAGTTAATTTGCTTGTTTTGTAGACCATGGCATGATATATCGTGTAGCTTTCGCAATGAACAATATAGAATTGGCATATAGCTCAGACATAGGTCCATGCAGGTGCATTCTAGTCCACGTGCCCAAAACAATGCGCCACTGGAATTCAGTTCTCACGTCCAGAACAACAGCACCATCAGATCTCAACTCCGACTTGTTTTCCTCTCGAGTTCCCGAAAGTATTCCATCCAGCGACAGACCTAGCAGAAGCTCAAAGCTACCCCACTACCCCGCCAACTCCCATCACAACCATCAACCGCTCACCACCATGTCGCATCACCACGACCACGGCGACAACTGCCACTCCGAGTCCCACGGCGACGACCATGACCACGTACACCCCACCATCCTGACCTTCACTTCATCACTGACAACCACAGGCCCACGACCACACTGACGACCTAACCCCCGCCCTCCAAAACATCCTCACCGCACAAATCGACTTCAGCGCGCTGATAACCCTCAACGAAGACGCCTCCAACAGCGGGCGCGCAATCTGCCAAAAGCCATGGACTGAGCGCCTCTCCACCGCGCCGGAACTCGTGTCCTCGGCTGACGAGCAGCTGCTCATGATCGTGCCCTTCACAGGCCAAGTGCGGCTGCACTCGATCCTGATCCGCGCCTCGACCTCCCCCTCATGTCCAAAGACGCTAAAGCTATTTCTCAACGCGGACGGGGGTTTCGACTTCGACACGGCGAGTGACAAGCCGGCAACGCAGGAGCTGTGCGTGAGCCAGACGAATGATGTGCAGGAGATTCCCGTGCGGCGCGTGCTGTTCAATACAACGAGGAGCTTGGGGCTGTTCTTCGAGGATAACTGGTCCGATGGCGAGGAGGATGAGACGCGGATTACATACTTGGGGTTCAAGGGGGACTTTTTAAGGCTCAATAAGGAGCCCGTTAGTGTGTTGTATGAGGCGGCGGCGAATCCTAGTGATCACAAGCTGGCGCAGGGGATTGGGGAGGGGGTGGAGAGGAGTGTGCAATAGGGTTGGGGATTGAGAGAGAAGGTGAGTCGCATATTTTGCAGAGAGGTCAAGAAGAGCATAGAGACGAAGTCTAAAGTAATGGCATGATCGCTCAGACGCGTAGTAGCGTCCGTCACGCCCAAAGCTCATGTGTGTGTATTTCAGATCTTTGCGCAGTCTGTTGTGTCAGCAAGGAGAGCTGTGAGGAAGCGAACGATGAGACATACTCTGCGTATCTGTCGAGTGTTCGTGGGTATCATGGTATCTCCTTCTCGTTGCTTAACCAACCCTCCTCCGTGCGGGCTAACCCATTCTAATCCGACCTTGATCGTGACGTGGCCGGGCGCAGATCCTCAATCACGTCGCCTGTTTTCCATGGCATCGCACATCCTCATCGCATATATTCCAGCCCTTCGCTTTGATCATCCCAACCTCCCAATCCTCTCATAAAGTCATCTCACGATATCCATCCCCCACCCCTCACATATGCCTTGTACTCCCCAGCACCTCGCCATGTACCTTCGTCCAATCGATTGTGCCATCTAGCTCCTCGTCCAGCCTGCCCACGATCGCGACGCTGTCACCTCGTATTATGTAGAGCCCGAGCGGCACCTCTTCGGATGGCACTTCTTCCTCGCGTGGCCGTATGATGCGCTCAATGGCGTCTTGCAGGACGAGGTTCATGCTGCCGTCGCAGGAGAGGAGGGTGCCGATCATGGAGCGCCCATCGAGGGTCAGGACGGTTACGCGCTCTGTGGGTAGGTTGGTTAGAGATGGACGTGAAGCATTGTGAGAAGGTATAAGCAAGCGTGAGAATGAGGTATGATAGGATGATAGTGCGCCTGTAGAGTAGCACGGAGAAGGGAATGAGGCAGAAAACAAAAGATGGGAAGCTATGGGAAGCTCACTGTTCATGTATGCGTTCAAAGCCATCTTGTATTCGGTCGTGTTCAGCGGTAGGTGAGATTACGAACAGCGCGTGAGTTCAGATGACAGGGCTTCAACGCGTGAGGTCGTTGACGATGTAGTGGGCGGAGTTTGCAACGATTGATATTAGCGAGTGCGCGTGGTCGGAGCTGTCAGAGAGTTGTCGTGATGCTGCGTGATGGGAGCTGCGAATTGAGGGTCTAAGCACGTGCGTCCCGCCAATCAGAAAAAGACTTCCTCCGCAGTGTCGCTCTCCACACGTTTCCACTGCCGAATTCATCACTTCACTTCAATGTTGCATCCTTTGCATATTGAACAGTGTCTTCTCACAGATCGTAACATGTCTCCTACTTGACTGAAGGCTGATACCTCAGTGAATTATCGCATTTGTTGCTGTCCTTACCATTGAACAATGGACGACAAGTCAATATCCTTTTTCGACGTCACCAGATCTTCTGTCAGCTTCTACATGTTCTTGATTTCGTTGCAGTCTACTTTGATTGTTTCAGCATGTAACAATCTTGCGTCTCTGGCGATCTCCCCTCAGCTATACATAATATGTAAACGACTTTGTGCTTTATTTGCGCGACAAAGCTCGAGACAGTCTACGGTCACTTGACGAGTAGTCATGTTCAATCATGATATGATTAACTGCGAGCAACTTTCCTACTATTTCTAAAACCTCTGAGATCTTTTCAGCACCGCCTCCTATGTTTTCGTCACTTTGGTTCCTTGAGCGACGGCACAATATGCCTTGGTGACTACTTAATATGTAGCGTAAGCTCAGGATCGAACTGGGTAAAACGACTTTTTCAGCTTGAACTTGAGTTGTGTGATTCTATGAGTAAGCTTAGAGGCGAAGCACTCCGATCAGCTGTGCATCGTAGAGGTTACAAGAGTTCATCACAAACCATCGGTTCAAGGTTTGCGATGATCAATGGGATTATTTCTCTTAGCTCAATAACAACTCAATCCACCGACCTCCAGCTTCCTAGGACAATGAGCGTCGCTCGAGAAATGGACTATTGACCTGTTGGTGCTTTCCCCGGTGCTCTATAGCTACACTGACACCAACCTTACAATGCGCCTGTTTTACCTCATTCGAAATGAGAGCTCCACAGAATGGGACGTGTTCGTCGTCAGAGTACTTACGTACAATTACTATACCTCGCGCCTCCTTTACCAGAGACAAGGTGACCGCCACTCGAGCAGACTTCGCGAAGTGAAAGAGACTCCCACTTTCACTTGCCCGAAGACTAGACTTCGCCGCCCATCCATCTTGGCCACACTTCCTATTATCGCAAAGCCCACAATAGCATTGCACATCTCGACGGTAATTTTGTATTGTCGACGATGATTGCACACCACAATACACTTCGATACTCATTCCGATCATACTTAAGAATAGCCCTTCGGCTTACATTGCTTCAAACTCACAATCTCTAAGCTCTTCGCTGCTAAAAACCTCACACATCATCGACATAATGGCACCTCTCACTCACGCCCGGCTCGTCAAGAGCCTCACCAAGCTATGCTCCAGCATCCCAACACAGTACCCCTCCGGCCCTCGACTCGAGGCCCTCCAAAGCACCATTAACAACAGCATCGCCGCCGCTCGTGCTGGCGTAGACGGCGACGCGACCGCAGCAGGCCCCGGCCAGATCAAACACCATCTGGAGCTGCGACTCAACGCAATCAACGCAGACTTCGACCAGGCCTCCGATTCCGACCCCGCTGCCGACGACAACGACGATTCTGGCTTCGTCGAGCAGAGCACTGACGCCATCTCCCCACCAAAGCAGCCCAAGCCCTCTACAACGATATCGAAAAAACCTGCTGTCGTCTTCAAACGCCACATCAGCCGGCCAGCCACAGTCAAGGCTCCTGCTGGAGTCTCAAAGCGCACCACACGTGCGAACACACGCTCGCGTCCTGCATCCATGTCGTCGCCAAAGCCCCAGTCAAACCAGGAGCGAGACGCCGCTACTGCACTTCTCGACCTCTTCGCGTCCAGTCCTCCGACTGTCCGGTCTGACGTCTTCCTCCCTGTCAATGGCACAAAGCGTGTCTACAGCTTCACTCCACTGCCTGACCTCAGTGCCAGCGACTCAAGAGAGCAGATCTTCTTCCAGGGCATGCAGTATGCAATGCGCAATGTTTGTGGCAAGACGGAGTCTGCGGAGGAGTTTCATGAGTTCGTGATGCACGGGTTGGGGCTAAGGCATGATGGAGGAAGGGTGGTACACATTGTGGAAACGACTGGTTGGTCTGTCAATGATGCTGGTACTGGTGGGCAGAATGGGGCGGCTGGGAAGAGTTTCTGGGATGTGATCTGAGGAGGTGATTTGGGTCCTGGATGGGTTTGGTGTTGTGAGATAGAGCTGGACTTCGGGATAGTTGAAGGATATATGATGATGATGTTGAAGGTGGGACAATTTATCTGCCTTATGTTCGAGACTGCAACTTTGCATACGGATCGTGGAGTTGGAGGTTACATGGCGTTTTTGTTGATACCCTGGATATGCAGTTGGTAAAAGAGTTTCAAACCAATGACACAACGTGATAGAGAAGACTTGCGAAGATGTGTGATATGAGCCTACGCTTGTTACGTCATACTTGCGAAGTTCGCAAACACCAGTCCGCAGTGTTATCACATCTGCTCAAGACCTTAGGAGCATCGCCGGTTACCGCTCACTACTCCAGACACCGTGACACCTAACCCTAGAATAATAGTCACACCGCAACCCCCACCCGCCTCGCCGAGCACACCGGCCCAACCACGCCCTCCAACCCCTCCTTCGCCCTCCGGCTCACACAAACTGGCCCAACAGCACCCATAACCCGCTCCAACGTCTCATCACCTTCCTCCCACCACTTCACCAGCTTCTTACCACCCCTCCTCGCCTGCCCCGCATCACGATTCCGATACACCGAGTCAATCTTTCGGACGTCCGTCTTGTCATTGACCAACCACCTCTTATACTCATTCCTGAATGTTGTGTACGAACACTCCGCGCCGTACTTGGCTTGGATGTTGCGCAGAATATGTGCGCGTGCCAGTTCGGCGGCTTTGGCGTGGCGTTGGCCGGCGTGAATGGATGGCGCGTCGCGGGCTTGGGGGAAGATTGTGGAGGCGGCGAAGAAGAGGAGGGGGGATGAGAGGACTTGCGAGAGGATGGGTGTCAGGCCGGCATGGGTTAGAGCACACTGGCCAAGGTTGAGATAGCTGAGAGTGGTATGCGAGGTTAGCGAAGCGAGGGCCGAGGCGCTGGCGTCGGTGATCCAGTTGAACCTATTGGGAATTAGTGTGTGGTGGACAGGGTTGGAGATTGACCTGAGGTGCTGCGCGATGTTGCAGGAAGGGCGTGTTGAAAGCGTGGAGTTTCGACGGGGTGTTCGGGTTGCCGCATGATCCAAGTGAGTGAGGAGAGCGAAGAGCATTTCTCGCTCATACAAGAACTTCATATGCATAATAACTGAAAAATACGATAGAAAAATGAACGTACCTTGCACCAAGGTCCTTGGTCGCGTAGCTCTGGTCGAGGTCGAGAACCTTCAGGTTATGACCGTGCAGCGAATGACAAAGCGCAACAACACCGACATCGCCAGCACCAACAGACGACAGCGTCAGTCGAGTCAATGAATTGTTCTTACGCATACCAGTCGCCAGTGCAACCAAGCCATCATTTCCCAGGGGGTTGTTCGACGCATACAACGCATCAAGGGCGCAGTGAGGAGACGCAAGGAAGTCGGCGATAGCACCTGCACCCTTCGCGCCGATACCAACGGCGTTCAGATAGATGTGTCGAAGTGCCACTGGCTTATCATAGTGTGCAAGTAGGGTGAAGAGCTTGGCGACACCAACATCTCCAAGCTCGGTCTGGTCAAGATCGAGCGTACGGAGATTCTCCGTCTGAGTTATCAGTCTGAACACATCATCGGCCGCAGCTGGACCCAATGGGTTTCGCTTGAGCCAGATGTTGGTCACTACAGTGCTCTTGACCCACTCATCGACGAGCAAACGGAAGCTAGGCGTGTCAATGCAGTTGCCTGCTAGGTACCAAGTGTCCATCCGGTTGGGGTATTCTTTCAGGAAATCTGCAATGCAATGCGCACCGTGAGGGCCGATGATATTGTTCCCTAGTAGGAAATGTGTGATGAAGTGATTCGGTTTCAAGCTCTCCATGAGAGCGCCGATGTTGTTGGGACCAAGCACCATCTTGCAAAGATCCATTCGCTGGTCGGAATATACCACGCCTTTCTCGAACTCCAGTAGGCTCGTGCTGTAGCCTGGCTCTTCGGCTTCGAGACCGACATCGATACCGCGGATTGAAGAGTCTTTTGACTCGTTGCCACCGAGGGCAAGGTGATCGAAGAACGGGGCTAGCGATTTTGGGTCTGCGATGTCGACGGGCATGGGTAGGCTAGGTGCGCCCTCGAGAGAAACAGCATCGGTAGCTGGGTTCCATGGTCCCTGCTTCCTGATCCGCGGTGCCCAGTTGATGAGCTCGTTGCGCTTGGTATTCTCGTCGATAATACGCTTTCTCTGCAAAATGACCATCTTGCGAAGCCTGACGATATCCTTCTCGTACTTGATGAATAGCCCGAGTGAATCTTCATCGTATGCAGGATACATCAGCCTTGAGATCTGCTTCGCGAGCCTAGCCGCATCAGGATCGGCCGCCTTTCGACGAGGTGCCTTGAGGACAATCTCATCGATGAATGCAGGATGTTGTTCCTCGGTTTTGGCTAGTGGTGAGAGGAGGTAAAGCTGATGCTGTAGCTCAACAGCCCATTCCGTAGCTGAAGACGGGATCATGATGAGTAAGTTGCGGAGTTGTAAATACCTGACAACGTTGAGTCGACAGTACGAAGTGGTCAAGATGTTCAGTAAAGGAATGCGGGTCTGGAAGGCTTTTATATATCCGCAATGGTTGTGTGACTCGAAGCAGATGTACCGTACCGTGGGTGAGAGGCTGAGTCACTGAACTCAACCTTGGAACGTTATCCAATAGAAGCTGATCGAACCTAAATCCCTCTGATCAACGTAGCAGATACCAAATGCTGATAGTTGCTGCCTTGTTACACCGGAGACGAGTGATTTTCGACGAGGATGAGTCTGACGATTGGTTTCGTGACGATTCTTTATAATGCGAAGACCAAATTCGTCTTGGCTTTCGTCACTACACACTTTGTTGTTTCAAGCACTTGTTCATAGATGCAAAGTGCAAGACAATGCATTTAGATGAGTACAACACGGCGTTCAGATGGTGAGAACAGCTATTCCTTGCGGGAGCTAGGTGCGGGACCTATTCCATTGGGCTAGCTAGGGTAACTATATTTGGTATAGCTCCGACCAAAGCCCCCAATCCCTCAGCTCAATCGGCCCATCGTTTCTCGACAACTTCAGGGTCATGCTGACACACTTTCCAAGAAGCTCTCAAAGCCCTGTTTGAAAGCGCATCTCCACGAAAATTTGCTCACGTTGAGTTCTCCGTGACGAACTTTATTGCACGCTGGTTCTGGAGTCTTTGGTCTGCGCCAGTCAGACTTGTTCTTTCTGGAGACGAGTGCACTCTTACGATGTTTGGGTTCTTTTGGATAGGATCGATGAAATTCAGTTTCTACGCTACCTCGTCGTTACCCAAGATCCATCCAGGTATCATGCGCCCATATATTGTCGTCGGGGTTTTCATCATTCAAACGACCATGATCATCTGGGTCTTCTCCTGATCCAAGCCCCATCACCACTGGCCCAGCTTCCCTTTGTTGAGCTGCGTGTACTCTCCCTAGAGCTATCCGTCTCAGAAGATCGGCTTAATTGTGAGGATTCGCTCGATCGCGAGGATCTACTTGAGACCGACGATTGGGATGACTGTGAGGATCGACGTGATGCAAATTCGTTCGATCGATGGCCAGTCTTGAGTTCCTTGACAGATTTCTGATGCCTTTTTGACAAACGATTTGACGGATCTGCCAACACATGGGTCTGTTTGTTTAGGTGTCGTACATCGTGTCTCCCTGAATTCCCGTATTTTGAATCGTAGTGACCATGACCTGGTGGGCTACGATACTGTGAAACTTTGTCAGGCAATCAAAACCGTGAGACAGACTCTAGCCACCCACCTGAGATGTTCGCGTGTGAGAATATGTTGGCTCAATATAATATCTCTCCGTCGCATATGTACCTTCTATGTGTGTTACATACTCCGACTTCCTCGAATGAGCACGCGTGCTGGAAGGCCAGAGCCGTAGCCCGCGGGACTGAGCGCTCCATTCAACCCCATGACAAGGTGCAGTGTAGTCGTTATAGCACGTTACCATGTTTGAACGTTCAGGTTCCAGAAAGAAGCGGAGTATAGAATAGTTAGTCTTCCCTTAGAATTGTCCTAGATATGAAGATGTGGGACTTCATCTATTATATGCATCGCCATGAATTTATGCATGCCAAAGACAATGACATGGGGTACTTTAGGCAATCGGTCATGACTCCAATCGTCTCAGATCTGAGTAGGCATTGATTAGAGTGACCTCCAAAGCGGGCAAATGCTAATAATAGCTTTCTTGTTCAGCGCTGAAACAGTCCTCCAGGGGGGTGGTTCGCGGAGCGTGTTGCGACGAAACGCGTATTCAAGTATCTGAAACTGAGAGAGCTTCGAATGGTCGCATAGCCATGGGCAACTTTTGTATTTTTTTCAAATACAAACAAGACTTTGTGCCAATTTAAATTTCAGCCATGTCGCTTCCACATACTCGTAGCCTCCACGGGTGTAAATCACAGAACGCTGATTTGTCTGGCTGGACATCTTACCCTGCTAGTTAGACATCAAGATAGACTATAGTGAATATTGAAAACTGATGTTTCTAGAAATTACTGATGAAAATTTCTACAAGCTTGACAAGTAATTTACATGACTCTATACACCCACAGATCAACCTCTCCATACTCTACATTCCAAACCCTCACTCTTTCCTTCTAGATTCACGGCGCAAAACACCTTATCCCACCGTAAAACACATTCACGCGCACCTCCACTCCGTATTTCCTAACGCCGGTCTTCAACTGCTCCTCGATCTTCCCCAACACTGTCTGTGTGTTGCTACTCAGCGACCATGACATGCCATGCGTACGAAGATCCAGCCCGATTTGGCTCATATCGGCATTGTAGGTGAGGTCGTGGTTTCGCATTCTCGACATCAAGGCTATCAATGCCTCTGTATTCCCACGGATGACAGTATCTTGATGTGTATTTGCGAAAACGAGGAGTTGATGGTGGGTGTCGGACGTAGTATCGGTGTCCACGTCGACGTCCAGCATCTGCACATCTTTGTTGTCCTCAGCGATATCCCGCACACTCACATCTTTGATGGTGAACTGGCGAACGTTGCCCCCAGCATCTGCCAGAAACCGAAGTTCGTCCATCATGTTCTCGAAGCCTCGCGAGTCCATCATGAGGGTTTTGTTGGTATCAGCATGCGTTGATGAGGAAGATCGAGATGAAGCTCCAGAAATCGAATCGTTGTGAGCGAGTCGTGTGTTGATCCCGAAGTCCGGAGTGGAGAAGAGGACTGTGGACACCGAAGCTTTGTCATTCGTCGCGGCCTCCGAACACGAAGACGAAAAGACTGACTGAACGAAATTCTTTCGGACCGCATCTCTAGCTTGCTTCTTCTGCTCCTCTGCGGTGATCTTGTTGGCACGCCTTCTCTTTGGTCCGCGCTGCACACTTGGAGAAGTCGGTTCGAGATACCACCATTGCGACGATGTGTTGAGAGACTCAGCATCGTCAAGTTGAGTTTGCTTGCGCTTCAATGACGGCGAAAGCGCGGGACGATATCGCAAAGTTGCAGCGAAGAACCGATCGTCCTGGGGACTGACGATCATCGCTGACCGTGGATCCAGAATGGACTTTGGTCGTCTCGTCACCCTCGATGCACGTGTTGCTTTTATCGATTGATGCAGCGACGATGGATTTGGCCGTGCCCCTCGCTGCCTTCGCGCATCCACATGTGCGAGAACCACCTCTGTCAGGTCGGCACTAGTCAAAGTCAACAGAGGAGCAATGTCATATCCATCATCCTTGAGAAGCTTCAACCTGTGGAACATGTTCGACTTGTTGTTCCAGGTGTTTTGTGACCACTCCTTGTCTAAACTCATGCTTTCTTTTGTGATCTGAGCAAGAGCAACGGCTTCCCAATCGGGGTCCAAAACCAAGGCTTTCTGGGCTTTTCGTGGCGGTCTGTTATCTGGTCGGCCAGTATTTGTGGTTGACGGCTGTGTCGTAGCTAGAATACTGGAGTTGAGCTGATCTTCACGCCTCCGGGTTTCTCGCTCAATCTGCTTCTTGAGCATCTTCTCCGCCAATTCCATATCCTTTCTTTGAAAGTCTTGCGCACCGTCAGATGTAAGAGAGGCTAGAAAGCTGGCCAGATTCAAGTCTTCCGATGATGGAGTCCGGACTTGCTCAGGCGTAACTGTTATCGGAAATGTATGTCCCATTCGTGGTTTGATCTGTGCTTCCCCCCAGGTTGTCCGCAAGTACCGCCGTGATTGCATTATTCCTCTTGGGGCTGGTTATGGAGTAGATGAGAGCTCCAAAGCTCTATGTGTAAGCTGGATGAAACAAACCAGAGGCGTTTAGAAGTTTCCGGTGGTAACGATGTTGCCCAATTCGATCTCAGCACGGGTGGGATTCAACGACTGGGAACGAATGAAGTGTAAAGAAGGTGCGAGAAATGGTTAAGTGAACGAAAAAGCGAGGAAAGCGATAGACCGGAATGAAGAGCGGTTGAGAAGGCAACGAAAGCGTGATGCTGGAGCAAAGGCATTGATCATGGCAAGCAAGTTATCCATGATGGGCAGGCCGCACTGACTTTGCTCACGGGGCGCCAGTTCCTTTCACATCCAAGTGGGAGAACGTCACCGCACGTGATCGCGCGTTCTGAGAGCGCCCGGTGATTTCGTTTCACTGTTTTAGTTATCGAGATTGGGGAGCAGTTGCCGCTCTTTCCCGCAACTACAACTTTCGACAATGTCAGCAGTTGTGCGTTTTATTGTCTTGAACAGCGCATTAGAATGACCGCGGAGGATGACCTAGCGGGAAGTTTTGCGCGAGTGTGATCAGGTCGAGCTATACGAGGTAGTATCTGTGGTTAGATTTAAGTATATGCGATGGGTGTATACCTTTGTAGCGTTCGCGCGGCTCAAGGTCAGTCGGAAACTGCACTGCGCAAGGCGAAACAGGTCGCTTCATAATCCGCACAAACTTATGACGATGTCGCGCGCAAGAGATTGTTGATACTTTAGTGCCAAAGTGAAGCGATGATTGACTGTGAGAGTATATACCCACGTTCTTGAATTAACTTGAAGAAGATGAGAGCGATACAAGGGAAGGAAGAGCGGGTGAGGATTTAAGTAGGCACGATCGGTCACTGATGTAACTATAGTTGACAGTCTCAGATGACATGGACAAGCCGCAAAGGTTCATAAGCAAACCAAACGAGGATTATTGAGGGTCTCGCCGAAACCGAATCGAAAAGAGATATGAAAACAAAATGAAGAAAACAAAGAGGTCAGGAGTGCATGGCACAGCACAGTATATCGCAGGAGCATTAAGTAGATTGTGTTATATTCGATAAGTGCCTCTACATCTTCAGGTAGTTGGAAGATATTTCGTGGACCACAGCCTGGTAGTATAGGTTCGGTTTGATGCCCCCATAGAAGATGGCTTAAGTGGTCAAATAGATCATTGCTACCCAAGTCTAGCGACTTTCTTATCCAAGCTAGATCATACCGTTCGAGATTACCAACCTGCAACGGTGGATGGAGAGCGAAGGAGACGACAAGATGATTTAGCAGCCGTAATAGCAGTCACCGCCGCAGCGTTCGCCGCCGTGGTGACAAACGTACGCGGTGCAGAAGTTCTTGCACTTGTCGTCGAAGAAGAGACAGTCCTATGAAAAGGAGTTTAGGGACATAGTACGAGACACCATGAGTAATAGGAACTTACCTCGATGCAACGCTGGTAGTACTTGTTGCAAGGATAGCACTTGATGTTCACTTGGCTCTTTCGGCAAAAAGGCTTTGAGGCGTCCTTACAATACTCCGTGGGGGCGTCGCAGTCCAAAAGCGGGATCCATTGCTCGTTCTTGCAGATAGTGATAGCCGTGTAATGGACCCCTTTCATTGGATGGAGGTCGATACGGTTGACACACATTGTTTTGTCATCCTCGCAGAGCTTCTTCTTCTTTCCGTCATTGGCGAACGCGATTGTGGAGAGACCGAACACGGCCAAGAGGAAGCCGAAGAGCTTCATCGTGTAAGACAAAGTAGAAAAGATGGTGCTGGTATAGATATCGGGTGTTAGGGAAATTGAGATTGAATGGTGAGTAGAGTTGATGGGAGGTTGTGTTGCGTTGTGAAAGAAGGATGGAAGGCTTTGCTTATATACCTGTGGTGCGTGGAGATTTTGCGTAACGTAAAGGCAACGAGTTATAGCAGTGAGAGCGCTGGTTGAGAGCGACACAAGTGAGAGAGAAAGTGAGAGAGATGGAGATTTTGAAAATGCAGGTGAGCTAGGACACATGTGTAAATGGGTGCCAAAGAGTAGCTTTTTTGGTATGAATCCGTTTGCTGAGGCAATCAACTATCATTACACGCGTAGGACAATGGCATGTCACCGCCCAAAGTCTCTCCCAAGAAAGCGCCCGAAAAGTTGAAAATGGCGGTCCTTTCATCGACTGATAAAGTCTTGTGAACCGCGGGCAAGTGGACTTGTACAGCAAACTCCAAGACGAGTACTTGAAAGGCCGACAAGAACTTCACCATCTGCAACTACAGAGACATTTCAACACAGTAAATAGCAACAGTGGAGGTGAAAATATTTCATTACCTATGTTTTCAGCACAGCGACGAGGCAGCTCGTGGCATGCGTATCCTTGTAGTACCCAACCACTTGTGAACAATTCACGTGTTATTACAGTTTTGTCAATTCAGTAGACGAGATGACAAGGATCGACACTGACTTGGTTTCTCGCAAAAACATAGAACGTGCCAAGGACTTTGAAAGATTCCTAGCCAACTGTGTTGCGGGGTGGGCGTATATGTTTAGGGAGGCGAGGTAGCAATCAGTGGAACGAAAAACATGGACAACGCCAACTCTTTATTGGTGAGGATAGAGATCGTGGCGAAGTGCTCAGCGGCAGGGTTGCATGAGCCTTGTCTCTTGGCTCAAGCAGTGTTTAGCAATCATTGCAAAGTCTTGAGCGAAACTGTGAAGTATAGAGTGATTTCGAATAACGGATTCTCTATCTAGGGCCATATTGAAGGTGTGAGAAGCGCGACGGAGAGCGTGCACGAAAACGCGAGGTCGACGCGCTAGACAGCTGCCGAACCCAGCTGATTCAGCACCAACACGTCTGACTTAATCGCGTCACTCTTTCCCTCGCCACAAATATCTGACGACCAAGCAACTCATCTCAGCGTTTCCGTTCAGGACATAAGCTGCGGATGATTGCATATGCCACATCGCCTTCTGATAGCTCTCATGCAGAGGGGTCGCATCATCGCGTGAGACGACCAGAAGAGAACCAATAAAGTGCCAGCACGGTATCCAAAACAGCGACTGCCCCTTCACAATGCATTCATCTTTCTACTTTACTGCGATATGCGGCACGTCGTTTTTCGATTTTGGTCTTCGTCTTCACATTATGTGTGCCCTTTTGTTTACTTGCGTCAATCGCGCTTTCTCTTTCTATTTCAAGGAGCGATTCAGATCGCGCCATGCCTTAACACGCGCTCTCCAGTGTGATTTTACCTGTCTGCCCTCACGGTTGAGTTGCTTTCACCATGAGCAACATGCCAGTCTATATTTCCAACCGTTTGTGTCACGTCACACCAAGCTTTGCTGCCTGAGCTCGTTTACCATTAGCTAGCGTGCTTTGATATAGGGAAGGTACAGCAAGCCCTCTTTCATCGATCGTCAACTTCAGTTTTGTATTGCCTCCGACCGCTCTCCTCACCCACGGACGTCTGAACATCATGCCTTCGATCATGGCGCCTGAGGCCAACAATCGCTACGCGCTCTTTCGGGAGAAGGATCTGAACGTTCCGCCGCCAAACAACTCGGCTATCGACCTGTCTCGTAACCCGTTTCTCAACCAAGTCGCCGACGACTCCATTCCGTGGCAGGAGGTGAAGAAGCGTAGCGCAGTTCCGCTCCAGCCTCCCTTGGGTACAAAAAGCAAGACGCTTGTGATCCGAGATAGTCACAAGATCGCTCCTGCCCGCAGCCATGGTAGCTTAACTCGTGCGCGTGCTCTATCAAGCTCTACTGCTGCAACTGTTACGAGCAATGACAAGGCGCACGATCCACATGAGAACTGGTGCGGTGTTTGCTCCATCAAGTTCTCCAACAAGTCTACGCTTCTCAATCACATCAAGCAGACGCCCGAGCACCAGCATTACTGCAATCTTTGCAAGCGAGTCTTCAAGGATCGCAACGGCCTCAAGAATCACGTCGATAGTGCTTGGGACCATGAGGTGTTTTGCAACCTCTGCCTCAGCGCATTCAAGGACGAGTGGGGTCTCAAGAATCATTTCGAGAACAATTATTCTGTCGGACACGAGTTCGTTTGCTTAACATGCCTGATGGGGTTCCGTAGCCGCAGCGAGCTAGAGGTTCATCTCAAGACATCCCAGAAACACAGCTGCTGTCTGACGTGCAACCGTCGCTTTCGCGATCAGGATGAGCGCGACGAGCATTGGCAAAAGACGAGTAGTAAGTTCTCCTCCCAAACTGACTTTGCTGTTCCGTCATCCTTAGGCACCTGTGGGTTGACAGAGTAGCAGAGCACAAGCATTGTTTGCAGCCGGGCTGTGACTTCGATGGCCCCGATCAAATGGCGCTGCAACAACATCTCAAGCGAGACCATTTCCAATGCGAAGGCTGCAAGCGGATACTCCCCAGTGCTACGAAGCTTAATCTGCACTATGAGAGCTGTGAGTTCACCATTGCGTGCCACCAATGTGGTGAGCCGTTCGCGGGCCAAGTCAAGCTTGCTGCTCACCTGGAGCATTGCTATCTCTGCGAGGAGTGTGGATACCAGACTCATCATCAGGGCAACTATCACATTGTAAGTTGTCTCCGCTCTTTTCTGAGTTTGTGAACCTGCCAGTGTGACGCAATTTTGTGCCGTGCTTTGGTCAAGGAAGTTGTCTAATCTCAAGCCATACTGACCTCGCGAAACAGCACATGACGAAACATTCCAACGCCGCGATACCATGCTGGGCCTGTGACGCTCCGATGCGTACATACTCCAGCCTCATCAACCACCTTGAATCAGGCAAATGCCCCAAGTTTCCCAACACTGCGCGTCTGCTGCTCTGCCTCGGCAAGTGGTGGTATTCGCCGCTGTACATGGATCTCGACATTCACGCGCAGATTCGAACCGGACGTATCGCTCTTGGAGAAGTGCAAGCATGGATGGATGGCGGCCTACTGCATCCTTTCATCTGCCGCGCGGACGGCTGCACAAAGTCATTCGGCCACCTCAGCTCTTTGGTGCTGCACGTCGAGAGCCACGCGTGCGCCTGGGACATCGAGCGTGTGAACATCTACGGACTGGAGAAGGAGTTCAAGCGAGTTTGTGTGCGGCGGGACAGTGCGGTAGAATAGTGGTGTGCTTGCGTAGGAGTTCCAATGGTGCCAGATGAGGAGAAGAGAGCACGCGCGTTCATGCAAGTCGGCGAAACGAGAGTCAGGATCCACAGATGATTGCGTACTTTCATTGGGGGTTACTTCGTCATGTTCTCTACCTATGACTGAACAGCTGGCTAATCTGACGATGTAGAGTATGTCGCGATACAAATAGCATACAAATCAGATAGATACATAGATCACAAATTCAGCTACTCTCTATTGTGAAGTCCTAGCGTCATATCTTACACATTGCGTACGCTAAAAATAAATTTGACCTTGTGATTTGTAACTCACCTAATTCCTCAACGTGTGGCAGAACGGAAATGGAAAGCAGAGTGGCTGCTGAAACGTTGGTCGATTTGCAAACTTCGAGATCGATGCCTCAATGAGTAACGTAGATGATGAGTGATCTCGTCACACGCTTTGCGCATTGATTGGAGCAGTTGCTAAACATGAAACTTTGATCACCCTTTACGCTATCATTAAACTGTTCTCAGTATCGTTCGATGTGACATTAAAGAAATTGGGAAAAGGTGTACTACCTAACGCAGGTTTGAACCTCTTAGGAACAGGAATGTGGGTGAAAGCGCAAGCATTATGGACGGGAACAAAAGACAGAAATCGAAAAGAATACTAAATCAGGGCACATAATGCGGGGACATAGTGTTGTACATATTGGTGGATCCAAGAGTGTGCACACGTGTATACAGTCCGAGACTGTCGAATGATATGTGGAGGCATCTTTCCAGCACAAGCACTTAAAATCTGTAGTTTAAGCTACGGCTTTCCACCTTGCGTGACTCCACAATCCTAGTCCGAATACCGACGACGTTCTGGCTCCATGTTCGTGAACTACGTGATCCAGAAACGCATTCGCGTCGGTAAATATCTCTTGCTTACAACTTTGCAACTTGTGTTTCTCAGCATGAGTTTCCATATTATATCCCGACACATGAGTACCACATATTAAACACCGACTAACCGAATAGTCAAGGAAGATAAAGATTGAATGAGGACAGCTGATATAACGGCAGGACCATGAAACATAATCTTCAAAATAACTAAGTGCGATCTTGAGATTATGCTTCGGGTCATGGTGTCTTAGTGGACATGTTTCATACTCATCGCTATTGCTGATTAGCTGGTGGGGTTCCTGGATAGTGCCGCACAGAAAACTCACCTATGCAACTCTGGTATTACTACTAATGGTAGCCGTGTAGGCCACCATCCTGTCTTGCAAGAGCCTTTCCGAAGATGAATAGCCACATGATTCTGTCTTTGATCCCAGGAGTCGAACGAGGTGCCGCAAAACCCACAGTGGACAGCAGAACATTCGGGAGACGTGTTTTTAATTTTCCAGCTGAGTAGTAAGCGACTAGTGACCCACTCTCCGACCTCTGGGTGAACCCTTCGCATGTGCGCTGCGAATTGATCTTTTCGTAGAAATGTACGGAGGTTTAGATCTTTCCCAGCGCAGCTGTTTTCATTTCGTATCGCTGTGTCTGAGATGTTATGTGTTTCTGCGCTTTCTAACCCACATACCCAGTGGTATGGAGAGTAATGAACAGATTCCTCATGTCGTTTCCACTCAGATTGGTATCGAAATGACAATGAGCAGGTTGGCCAGGTACAAGTGAATTGGTACGCCGTGTTGGTAGGCAATGACTGGAGATCAGGCCAACGTTTTCGTCCCCGACGCGACCCTCTAGAATCGATAGATCTGTTACTCGCTGAACTATGCGCGCTTTTATCAGAGCCTCTCGAGCTTTCTGAATTAGTTGCGATCTCTGTCTCAATCACATTGCCTTGTATTTCTACTTTGTCGTTGGTAGATACAGCAGATTCTTGTGGTAGTTGTGCTTGATATTGCATGTCCCGAAGGCGTACGAGTATCTCGTACAAAGAGTCAGAGTCGATGTCCGATACGTCACAGGTATGTGAGGGTGAATACTGCTCAGTACTTTTAGTCATACCTATTTTGCTACCATACTTTTCCTGCACGCTGGTCTCCTGGATTGCTGCTTGGATGGTCGCAGAAGGTACGGGGTCATCGCTCGCAGGAGCTGCGAGGTACCTCTCAAGAGAGCTCCTGCCAGTGGGTGGCGATAATCGGTTCAAACACTCAAGTTTCGCAGATGATACGCTTTCGACACGGGAGAAATTGGGCGAGTTCATTGTGATCATGTCTGAGACAAGGTCTGAAGGATGCCTAATTAGTACATGTTCTACATTGATCTCTTTGTTCAGAAGGGCAACACTTGTACGAGGAAGACAAGTTCGGTACCAAAAGACATTGAACTCACCCCCAGGGATTTCGTTGCGTGATCTTGCATTAGAAAACCAAGTGCGGATAATTTTGATGTTGAGTTGAGTGGCAGTGGCTAACAAAGCCAGATCATCGACGCTTGGATACTGGTTGCGCACAAATTCCTTTTCCATAACTTCTTTGGCTGACGGGGGTATTTTCGTTCGCTGAGCCTTTCTTCTTTTTGTTGGTTTGCTTGGAGTTCGAGATACGCGCCTACGTTTCGTTGTAGGTTGCGGCTGGGCACATGCGGGACTTGATCCTGGCAATGGCGAAGCCGTGTCAATACCATTGGTTGTTGTTCTAGTGTCCGGAACCGTCTCAGTCGTGGGAAGAATGACTTGAGAGTGTGAAAGGTTATCTGCATCGGATATGCGGGAATAGTCGGGCGGACACTTCAGTTTGTGGTTGTCATCAAGACCAAGAGCAGTATCGATATCAGCGTTCGTGATCAGAGTGGAATCTAACAAAGGTTCCCAGCTGCGTTGAGTACAATACTGGTCGAGCAGATGCCCGTCGTAAGTACATGCTGTAAATTGTTCGCTTTGTGAGATATCTTCGCCTGCCAAGTCAACAAGATCTCCTAGGAAGTCATGAGGGTGATCTGTGAGTGTCAGAGAATCCTGCTCATGAGTATAACTTCCACGTACTAGAGGGATTAATATTCCCGTGATTATGGGGCAAACAAGGCTGAGCAGGTAAAAAGCGATCCGGACAAACTGTGGTGGACAAATCGAGATATTCCACATGTGGGTTCATGCTAATCTGAGTGCCATGGTTGGCAGTATGTGAGATGTTGTTGTCAAGCTCCAAGCGTTCACAACTATCATGGTAGATCAGGTCGTTGAACAGATCAGGGTGGATGTAGGTATCCCAGTCAACCGGCTCCTGAGGGCAGTTGGTGAAATCCATGCGTGTATAGGTGAGTGTTAGCGATAATTGAGACGTTTGAGGTAGCCATGATGCGATGTTTGCCAAAAGATATACCCCTTTGCAAATAAGGCTGAGGTACCAGGTGAGCGGCTTGATGATCGAGGTGAGCGCCACGCGACGCACGGGCCAACGATCGGCGCTCAATGAGATCGAACAGCAGGCTTTCGGGGGAAGGACCAAAGCCACATCCTCCTCCTAACATCAATTGCGGAGCCTACAGGCGGTCGACCCAGTTATCGCTGGGTATTTTAGAGCTAATCGCGCGATAGTCGTTTGCGTACCTTGTCTTTGGCGCTACAACACACCAGGATACACGCCTCTTTACGCGCATCGTTGAACGCCATATTTTGAACGCGTCCCGATAAGCACGTTGCATCGTTGTTCATGATCGTTCTTTACGTTCAGCGCCGTTTTCGTGTGGAATTGAAGAGTACACACTTATCACCCTCAGTCGATGTTCTTGTAAAAAATGACAGAGTCTCACCCCCAGAAGCGCAATGCATCTGTTTCCTAACATCACCGTTCAAAAGCCAATTCAGCGATGATCATATCCATCATTGATAGCGCAAACACCGCTGTGCCTCTACAGTGCACCTTGAACTTCACAGGTCTAGAACGACTTCAACCTGAACAAATATGGCTACAATACAATTCGGTGAAAATACCACAGCGTCTACTCGTCAACGAAAGTCCCATACACACACTCGCCTTCTTCCGCCACGTCCACAGCATGCAACACCGACTGCGCAGCCCAACCACCCATAAAAGAAAACATTAGATCTCCCTCTCCACTTGCCATCCAACCTGGTGATTCTCGAAGCTCATCGCGCGAGAAAAGTTCGTTTGCCACAACGTCAACATAAGTGGTAGTACTTGCCTCCTGCGAAGAAGACGCCAAGACCGTATCACTGGCAGCGTATGAACCCTGCTTAAGCAGCTGCAGATTCGCTTGCGTGAGGCTGTGTACGGGAACAGCCTTTTCCTCGTATATACCTAGTCACATTGTTAGTCAGGCCGGACACTATATTCAAAGCATAGTGGAGCTTACCCCAATTATCCGCTGCATGATCAGTGCAGTCGCATCTTCGCGGAGTACACAAATGAAGCGTGTCCACTCTCTCCACGCTTTCCCGTCCGTCGCGCTCATCATCGGTGATGACTTCTCCAGAAGTCACAGAAATGGGAGTATCTGGTGTGCGCAATGGATCATATATTTGATCTGACGCCAAAGTTTCATTCTCAGCGGAAAGAGTTGAAGTTTCTTGGAAAAGACCAACGTCAAACGACTCGCTGGAATTGACGATTTTTGTGGGCAAAACATACCCAAGTTCGGAGTTCACATCAACCGCGAAGATGATTAGATCTGCGTGAGACATGATGATGGACGGATGAAACAGTTGATAGTAGTGGAAAGTCCATCGTGTTATAACTCTCTTTTTATACAACCTTTACTTGAGCCTCGTAGGTCTTGAGATCCAAGGTTAGCACACGTCTTGAGATGCAATGTACTCTGAGATCCAAGGCCAGCCAACGACATGAGATACAAGGCTAGTGGATCATCAGAGATGCAAGGTCAGCCAACGGCTTGAGAACCAAGGCAAGGCATACAAGGTCAGCAAATCCGATGCGTTGATGATCGAGGCGAGAAACCGCGTCGCGCACAGACAGAGCAACAAGGCGAGAACCAGAAGCGCAGGACAAACGCAGCACTCACACTGCATCGCGCACGCACCTTGACATGGGTTACGAACTCAAAAGTGAGGAGTAACATGCACATCATTATTGAACTTTTCATGTCCAAGAATTGAAGGAGGGTAGTCGTCACATCCAAGCCCAGGAATACAGTGACGGCAACGCACAGATCGACAGGCACAAGCGGGGCATCCATCCATCCATCCCCCACCACCCCCGACCAGCGAATCAAACAACGCGCAACACAGCTGCATAATCACACTCACAACGCGTCTCCTCTCCTCACCCACCTCTCCCAATCTCCCATCCCCCCCAAGCCTCATAACATCCCATCTGCACACCTCTCCCACTCCGAATCCAAAATGGCGACCCCCTACGAAAAAGCCCTCGCAGCCATCGACGCCGCCCACGCCCTCGACCCCACCCTCACCACCCCCTCCTCGGGCCCCCAAATACCCTACGAACTGCACTACGCGCAAAAATCCACCTCCTACCTCACGCAACGCCACCCCACCGCCCCCGAAACCCTCCGCCTAGCAATCCGCGCCCAACACTTCCGGCGCTGGGAAGTGCCGCGCTCATCCTACCCGATGACTCGTCCGGGCTACCACGCCTGGCGCACATTCCTAAAAAAACGGCAAGCGTCGCTCGTAACGCAGATCTGTCTCGACGCGGGCTTCAGTCCCGAGGATAGCGAGAGAGTAGGCGCGCTGATCCGCAAGGAGGATTTGAAGAGCGATGAGGAGACGCAGGTGCTTGAGGATGTGGCGTGTCTGGTGTTTTTGGATGATCAGTTTGAGGCGTTTGAGAGGGAGCATGATGAGGGGAAGATATTGGGGATATTGAGGAAGACGTGGGGGAAGATGAGTGAGAGGGGGCATGAGTTGGCGTTGGGGATTGGGATGAGTGGGAGGAGTGCGGAGCTTGTGGGGAAGGCGCTTGCGGGGTGAAGTCGTGATACTGGTGATAGATGGATGGAATTGAGTATGTGTGTGAATGGTTCTATCTATGCGCCTCCCTCCCGCTTCGCGTACTCGTCCTCCATGCGCTCCTCGTACAGCCTATCCGCCTCCCTCTCTGCCTCCGTCTTCTCGTGCGCATTCACACGCTCCACATGCTGCCCGTCCTGCGTTTGTGCTTGTGTTGTCGTTGCGCTGGTTGATGTCGACTGTGCCGTCGTGGAGGAGGGGACTGGGACGGGCATATTGGTTTCGATTTCTGGTTTGCGTTTGGGAAATGAAGTTGTTTTTGTACTGTGGGTTCGAATTTGTTGAGATAAGTGATTGATTGATGGATGGTGATGTGTATTGTATTGGAAAATAGGCGTGAGGATGAGAGGTTATGTATGTACAAGCCATGAGAGGGCGGGAGCTACGTCATGGTGGCTGTGCGGACGGGTAGATGTGGCTGGAAGCTTCTGGAGGGCATGTGATGTGATTCGCCACGTTGATTTTGCGGGACGGCCATGTGGAGAGCGGTCGAGGTCAGGCGTGAACCTCACATCAAGTAGTTTGTGTGTGGGTACAAAGTCGGTTTTGTATCTATGTGACGAGCGTGGATTGATCAATGCATGGCAGTACGGCAATCACAGTGTTATTGAGTCAACGTAATACAACACTTAACAAAACGAAGTAGTAAGAAGAATGGCACTGCAGATTGACGATTGATTTGTCCACGAGAGTAAGACTTCCTCTCGTATCTACGCTGAATGCATCTGTTTATCTGGACCAGAGTGAAGGCCAAAGTTCAACACCAGTACCTGCAACAGTCTAGTCAGCAAGTGTCAAAACTTTAAAACCTGCTGTTCCGCTGTGATACACGAGGCTCAGACTTGCCTTTTAAAAATACAGGTCAATAACACCAAGAGGTTGTATGTAGTGTTGAGGTGCACTCTGGTGTTTCCCGTCGTTTGAATGCTCACTAATCATCGCCAAAAAATTGATGGAGGAAATTGCGAGAACTGACCTAATCAAGACAACACTTGCGTTCCCTTCGTCCTGCCCGTCTCCATCTTCGCGGTCCGTGCACCAAACTGGATGGCACGCTTCTTCTCGGCTGCAACGCCCTTCATGCCTAGCTCCCATGCAAGCATCCGGAGTACTCTCTTTCCTGGCTCAAGTAACAGCGCAGGATCGTCTGATCCTTCTACTTCGGGATTGGCAAAGTCGCATTTGGCAGTGACGGGGAGTTGGAGTGCCAGTGCGATGAAGTCCTCATCCAGGTAGGGAAAGCGTACTTCTTTGCCCGAACTACTGATCACACGGTCGTCTCGCCCGAGGTTCCTCTTCCCCAGCCGAGAAAAGTCGAGCTCGAGTTCTTCAATGAGACCCTCGTAGCCGCGACGGGCAAAGGCGACAGCATGTCGTTGGTACCCGCCAAACAGCTCATCAGCACCAAGACCAGACAAAAGCACATGCGCTGATGTGGTGTATGAAACAGGCATGCTGTGCGACGTGGCACCGTATAAGCCAGCTCCTCGCGATGCAAAGTAGAGCGCGTTTGCTATAGACAAGTCCATCTCGGTGTTGTGAGGATACATGAGTGTCATGACGTTGTGACGGTGTGCGACTGTTTCGATGTATGGGACATTGATTGCTACGAACCGCCAGTGACGATCGGGACATGTCTTTTGGAGCTCTGCATACGACGAACGGCCAGTGATGCGATCGGGACAAAGCTCGTAAGGGCTGGTGCTGGCATCGAGGTTCTTGTGTACTCGTGGGTTCTCAAAAGCGACGTTCAAGAGATCGATGCTCTGCCTGGCTGGAAGCAGGTGATGAGACAATTTGGCCAGGATGGTGCAGTCGAGACCGCCTGAGAAGAGAATGGCAACTTTAGCCTCTTCTTCACGTGGCGTGGACTGGACAGCTTCGCGGACGTGCTGGATGCGCAGTTCAAGGGAGCATTGGAGCGACTCTGCAAGTCGCTGGACCGTCGTAGCATCTGGACGTGCAGGCTGACTCGGGACGGTAGTGTTGAGTGGTGGAAACGGCAGATGCTGCTGCTATTAGCTCACAGATGAGGCGTGAAGACTTACCTACAAATGAAGTCTTGCCATCATCTCCCTTGCGCGACACACGATGGGGTGTACGGGTAGTGGACTCGCTTTGTAGTTCAAAGACGTAGATGCCATCTGCCTCTACTTCCTCCCACGCGTTGCTCGCTGCACTGTCGCATACACTCGAAAAAACGATCATGTCGCGGGTTGTGGATTGTTTCAACAGCGAGCGTCTTCCCAGACAATCTCGGCCGTAGTAGATGCGCTTGTTGACAGGATCGTAGAAGGTGAAAGCATACGGGCCCTTTATGGAGGACAAGACATCCATAACAGCTGTAGTTAGTGCGGTTGGATCTGCTGGCTCAGCGCAAGCTTTCAAAAGCAGGTCGAATATGATTTCAGAGTCATTGCCCGTGACGGATCTGCCCTGAACGCTCCAGGCCTCGCCGTTCCAGCAGAAGACGGAGCCTGTCGCGTTGTCTTGAAGGGGCTGACGAACGACTGTACCGCCTCTAAGTGCAAGTACTGTCGACACAAAGGTCATGTGAAGCTGCGAGGGCAGTGCCTTCTCATCCTGTTCGTTATCGCGCTTTGTGTCGAGTGTGATTTGAAGCTGTCCAGTACTGTCGGGGCCTCTATCCTGTAGAAGCTGCTTCGTGTTTGTATCAATCTCGACGTGGCCATGACGGCTGAGGGCGAAGAAGATGCCGCACATGGCGAAAGGAGGGTGATGGGATGTGATGTGGACGCGAGCGTGACTGTGGACGCCAGGCCAGGATCGTTAGCGCGGGCCTCGGTGGTTTTTGTGCACAAGCGCCGATGGACATGCGGGCGGAGAGGCAGCGGCGCAGGCGCATCATGAGACTGCTTCAAAAAGACGTCGTGTGTACCGCCTCCCTCTCCCAGCTCGCCAGACTCTCCCGGAAGTCCATGACGGCGACTCCAGTCCGACTTATCGCTGCCCGAGCCTAGTGGCCGAAACGGTCCATGTCTCTGCCGAACGCACCTCCGCACCCCGACCCAGCCCTCGACCAGACCGAGGACGCGAGGCCAGACCATGTGGCAGAGAAGCAGGATGGAGCAGTGAAGACACAGCCCGCAACCTTGGCGGGGAAGACGGCCCAGTCTGAAACGCCTGGCAATGACGATGGAGATGACGAGGTGGGGCAGCGTGCCAGTGCCAGTGCCAGTGCCAGTGCCAGCGCCAGGCCCCAGGCAGCGGAGCGGATAGAGGGCGTGATAGCCAAGGACATGGTGGAGCCAGAGGAGAGTGCTGTGGCGAGCTTGAAGGCAGTGCTGGAGACGGCCTCAGACGCGGACCCGGTCGACGAGCTCACGGCCACGACAGAAGACATGGCCCTCGACGCGACACCACCGCGAGCGCCCACGCCCACGCCGACATCCAGAGCCGCTGGCAAGGCGGCCATCCGCTCGCCGTCGCCCCCACCGCCGCCCCCGAAAGACGACAGGTACCTCGCGACCAGCAACGACCCCAGCCGCACCACATCGCCCGCCCCTCACGACAAGGCGAACGGGGGGAGTGCCGAAGACGCGGCGGCAGCAGAGTACACGGCCAAGTACCATGGCGGCGAGGATGCCGTCGACGACTCGCAGTCGGAGATACAGAGCATCATGGAGCAGTTCGACGCCAACCCCCTACTCGAATCCCCGCCCGTCTTCCCCGCCCGCCAGTCAAGCCTCGCGTCGCTGGACAAACCGCTGCCCACACCCGCCGACGACACGGCTTCGATAGCCTCGATCCACTCGCCCCCGCCGAGAACATCCTCCCTATACCGCGTCAGCACAAACCCGTCCTTTGTCGAGCCCGCCTCGCCCAGCGCCCACGCCTCGCAGTACAAGCCCGCCCAGCCAGTCCCCGAGCCCGAGCCCGACCTGCCCTTTGACTTCCACCGCTTCCTCGAGCAGCTGCGCCACCGCACCGCTGACCCCGTCGCAAAGTTCCTGCGCTCGTTCCTGCTCGAGTTTGGCAAGAAGCAGTGGATGGTGCACGAGCAGGTCAAGATCATCGGCGACTTCCTCGACTTCATCACCAAGAAGATGGCACAGTGCGACGTCTGGCGGACTGTCTCGGACGCCGAGTTCGACAACGCCAGAGAGGGCATGGAGAAGCTGGTCATGAACCGGCTGTACAACCAGACTTTCTCGCCCGCCATCCCCCCGCCAGAGCCAGCCTCCCCACGCAAAGGCCGGCGGAGACAGGACCCGCTAGGCCCGGGGCGGAGGGGGCAGCACCAGGAAGATGTCGAACGTGATGAGGTCCTCGCCCAGAAGGTGCGCATATACCAGTGGGTGAGGGAGGACCACCTCGACATCAAGCCCGTCGGCGACAAGGGGAGGAAGTTCCTGAACCTGGCACAGCAGGAGCTGCTGAAGATGAAGACGTACCGCGCCCCACGAGACAAGATCATCTGCATTCTCAACTGCTGCAAAGTCATCTTCGGTTTCTTGCGCACGTCCAAGTCGGATCAGTCTGCAGACGCCTTCGTCCCCCTCCTCATCTACACAGTCCTCCAAGCGAACCCAGACCATCTCGTCTCCAACGTGCAATACATCCTCCGCTTCCGCAACCAGGACAAGCTAGGTGGCGAGGCAGGATACTACATCTCCTCACTCATGGGCGCAGTGCAGTTCATCGAAGGCCTAGACAAGACATCCCTCACCGTCACCGACGAAGAATTCGAGAAGCACGTCGAAGCCGCCGTATCCGCCATCGCCGAACGCCACGCGCAAGAACCCGAAAAATCACACACTCAACCAGACCCCACACATCTCCATCCCTCCGCCCTGGGCCACAGACGCATGCCCTCGCCGCACTACCACCACCTCGCCGAAAAAGCTACCCCCTCCCGCCCAGAAGTCACAACGCGCAACTCCTTCGACGCAGAGACATCCGCCCCGCGCCCCCACTCTGCAACACAACGCAACAAACCCGACGCCCCCGACGCGCCAGAGGAGGAAAACCTCGCAGTCGCAGGCTTGCTACGAACGATCCAACGCCCCCTCAGCACGATTGGAAGAATCTTCTCCGACAACGACACACACCACCACCCTTCTTCCTCGTCCTCGACGCCCCAGCAAAGTAACTCCCCACGCCCCCCGCCACTACAAGGCCCCCGCAAATCCACAGACCACGTCTCCGAGAAGCGATCCCCGGGCGACGCCTTCCCAGGGACGGAAGACCGCCATAGACAGAAAATCTCCGCACAGGATGCTGCTGCGCGCCAGGCGTCTGCGGATGCGGAGGAGGCGAGGCGGATTCAGAGACAGGAACATAGGGTTGTTGTTGAGACGCTGACGGGGATGTTTCCGCAGCTTGATCGGGATGTTATTGAGGATGTTGTTAGGGGGAAGGATGGGAGGTGAGTTTTGCTCCTTTTGTTTCTTTTTTTGTGTGTTTTGGTGCTAATGTCGTGAATAGGGTTGGACCTGCGGTTGATGCGTGTTTGGCGCTTGCTAATCCTTGAGTCGTGAGTGGGGGTGAGGGTGTGGATGGGTAGATGGATAGAGGAGTTGGAAGAAGTGTATAGATATTCATTATATAACATGACATGACAAGACACAACACGCACGATACATTCGTGAAACTGGAGAAATGGCATAGTCCGCATTGCACATGCCCGCCAACTATCAAACAAACACACTATCCATATCCCCAATCCGCAACACCAGAATACGATATACTACAGCAGTACATGTAGTCTATATTTTCTCTTTCCCTTCCCTCCAGTAGTCTAACCCCATATGTCACCGTACTTTACCTCCCACATACCAGCCAACCCCCATTATCCCCTCAATCTTGTGTTTCTTCGATCTAACCCTAGTCCTCGGTGTGAGTATGCATAGTCCGTCCATCCATCTGATCAGTTTATCATCGTGCGCATGGATACACAGCGTAAATACACACATATACATAGTCAAACAAGAAAATAATAGAGCGTTGATTTACTCAGAGATATTAATCGCCAGCTTGTCACCTCGCTTTTGTTGCGTGAATTGTATGTGTTTTACCCTAGGCGGAAGAAGAAGAAGAAGAAGAAGAAGAAGAAGAAGAAGAAGAAGAAGAAGAAGAAGAAGAAGAAGAAGAAGAAGAAGAAGAAGAAGAAGAAGTGAGAGGAGGAGGAACGACGAGGCGGTTTGGGTAGACTGAATTTGGTATATAAAGAGGGTGTGTGTGAACTACCTGCATCTGTTTCCATCTGCGTGTGTAGTTAATGGGCAAGTTGCAAGTCCGGACTGTATGTGTATGTTGCTTGAATAAAGCGCGTGCTATGTACGCGCTCAGCGACGTTCTATTTATTTTCCTTTACCGTCATCTATCTTGTACATGTGCCTAGCTTTATGCGGGGGATTGTTGGTGCTCGACATACGCGCAGCTGTCGTATACGTATGTGTTGTCGTCGCCTTGTGTTCGTGTTTGCATTCTGGAGAAAATGTCCGCAGTCACTGACATCTCCCTGCTCGCGGGCGAGGTGTCCTTGCAAATAGCGGCCGTTTGGAGGGGAAAGCCCCAGCCCACAAGTCCCATCCCATCCCATTCCAAGTGCCCAGCATGTTCTCGCAAGTTTTGTTAATATGTCCACCCAGCAGCCCGAGAAAGCACTCACGCCACTTCCCTGACGCTCCGAAAATCTAGCTCGGTAGTTCGACAACAGTGGTTTCGAACAGGTGCGGTGTCCATCTGGCTCCGTGACAATGGCGTGCGGAGCAGGGTCCGAAATAAGTACAGTCCCGAGAGCAAGTCTGGTACGCTACCATGCCCTGTCTGACCCGCCCCACTATGAAAATCGCATGAGGTATCTGTCACTCAACTACCGTTATAGGTCATGTCAGGAGTGGGACCTCGAGCGTCAAACTCGATATTCGTTTCTAGAACGGACGAGCGAAAAACCGGCGAACGGCAGCAGAATGGGGCCGAGATATGTCGTCATATTCAGCTGGGACTTGGTGGATTTGCGCCGATCACCACGCGGGAGTTACAAAACCCGGTGCGCTACCGATCTCGAAGCGGAAGTTGCCGCACGTGGCAGTAGCTCATCACATGTCGTGATTCTAGCCACGCGAGCCAAGAATTGCAGTTTGGTTATCTTGCTCGTTTCAGTATGTGTTTAGTGGCGGAGGTCGGAAAATCTGGTAGCTCTGCTGAATCATGGCCTCAATGTTGCTTGTCTCGTTCATCTCGAAGTCGTGCATCAACTCTTCCTGCTGCTGCTGGTTGAGTCCTGTGCCCCGAGCGTCCTGACTCCACCCAGGATTGAGATAGTCCGCTACCTCATACCCATGATTCGCTGCATAGCTCTCGTTGTAGAGTGGCGACGCCATGGGCATGGTGTGCATGCCAAACTGCTCTTGTTGAGGCATGGAGAACGTCGGAGTCCACTGGGGCATTTCGTCAAACGTCGTTGGCAAAGGTGTGAACTGCGCCGGCGGCGGGAAGTTGTACATGGGCATGTTCGTATCGATGGACGCCTTTGGGCTAAAATCCGTGTATGGCTGCAGTGATGGTCGTTGAGGTGGGACTTGTAACGACGCGTGGTCACCGTTAGGTGATGTGTTGAAAGGATTTTGGACGGTACTGTGAGGGCTGTCGAACTTGAAGAGTTGGTGGTTCTGGGTTGGTAAATAGCCGAACGGTGGCGAGACTTTCTCCGGGGGCGTGCTCACCGATACGGTGGACGCCGTAGCAGGACTCGTTGTCCGAGACCTGTTGATGCCGTCCACCATGCTGCTCGAGACGATCGATGCAGAATCAGACGGTGTCCCGGCTGCGATAGGGATGTCACCGTCCTTGTCGAAAATCCGCATACATGCGTCGATCAAGTTGCAATATAACTCGATAGCGGACTTGACTCCAGGCCAACGCTCAGACGAGAGCCGGATAGATTTCATGGCAACGCCTAGATGCTGCTCCACATCCTCGCGACTGTGAAGGCGGCGTACTTCAGAATACGACAACGTCCAGAGCATCGTGTTGATACACATGAAGATGGCTTGGACAAAAATCCATGTCACGTCGACGCTCCTGTTTTCTATCTGCTGTTCAGTCATGTAGATGTTGTACTCGCACGCATCATAACAGCGTATGGCAGCTTGGCAAGAAGGTCGGGGAACCTGCGGCGAGGGTCGGTACATGAAAACAATCATCGTGTTGAACCTCCCTGTGAACCTGTCTGGCGGTGAGCTCGTGCGAAAGGTCAGCGATCGTCTTGCTACTTACCAGACTTTGTTCAAGCCTGACCCACCGTCCACCTCAGGACTAGTGTCCCTCCATGCCTCCATCTTGGCCAGCATCTCTTCGAACCAGGGATGCTGGTCGTCTTTTGGTTCGGCCTGCTTCTGCTGATACAGCATCTTACGGATTTCAAGCTGCAACATGCGCATCTTGAAGAAGTGGATAGCGATCCACTTTTTGAGTGAACCCTGAGGCGCAGGCTTGATGCCGTCTCTCGTGATGTAAACGTCGTCGACTAGCTCGAAGAAGTTGACGTCGATGTGCTCTCGCCTGGTCGCGAAATGAGCCGGCCGCCCTAGGCTGTGCGCCAGCGCGTAGTCCATGGAAAGCAAGCTCCAGAATATGCGCCGACGCATGTCGACTTCGAGAGGGTCCGCCAGGCGTCCACCAGAGCCCATGGTAATTGTTTTCTCTTCGTGCAGCCCCAAAGCCTGACACAGCCTGATGCCAAGCCCAATGATATAGTACACGGCGGTTCTGGTCGAGGTGAGGAGCGAATAGCCAGCGACCAAGCCGAAGCACTGCAGCGTCTTGAGATTCATGGGCTTGATGGCCGCCTCGAAGAACTTGAGGGCGGCGAGATAGTAGCCGTCAGCGAGGCCAGCGTATTGCGTGTCCATTCGCTGCAAGCTGATGGCGATGACCATGCGCACACAGTAGTTTTGGTAGGGGTCGGTGGACCCATTGTAGACGTCCTCGACGTCTTGGGTGAAGGTCGGCTCGTGGAACATGGGATACATGGCGTGTACTGCGCGATGTTAGCGTGCTGGGGGGCAGGTGGATACGAGCCATACACGCCTTTGAGGTAGAACAGCTCGACCAGGTGGTTGGTGAGGCTCCTGTTGGGGGGCAGCCCTTCAGCGGCGACGTCGCTCACGAGGGGGTAGACCTTGGAGGTTGGGCGCTCGTCCTCCTGCGCAAACGTCGCCTTGATTGACGTGGCCCGCGCCGAGGGGACGATCTCGGATATGTTCCTGGACTCTGTGAACTGCTTCGCCAGCTGCATCACCAGGCGCGTGATGGTGATGCCGCTCGAGGGCCCCAAAAACTTGGACTCGTCCGTGTCCTGCACACGCACCGCTGCTGCCCCGCGCATGACATCCTCGGCATCCGGCTCGATGTCGTCCCTCTCGAGTTCGGCCAACTGGCGCTCCAGCTCTCGCACCTTGTGCTGCAAATGTACGACGTAGTTCCGGGGGATCTTCCTGCCCTTGGCGGGGTCGTAGTACTCGCAGTGCGAGTTTGTTCGCTCGCAGGGGCCACAACGGGGGAGCCCAGGGTCGCATCGCGTCTTGCGCTGGTGAGGGAGGGAAGTCAGTCAGGGACACGGCCAAGTCAGCACTGAGCTTCTTACTGTCCTGCAACGTTGGCAAGCCGTCAATGTATGCGCAATCTGCGTCGATTTGATGCCATCGCCGTCCCTCTGCGAGTGCGTCGCCGTCGCGGCTTCCATATCTGGCGGTGACCAACAGGCGCGTCTGTTACCAAGTTGTTCGCTGCTCTCAGAGTAGAGAGGGATCGACATGCACGTCCATCCGAACTGATGCCAGCGGCGCGTGCTCGGCCAGCCTGAGCATCATAAGAGGACGGGGCGTTTGTAACAAAGCCGCCAGGCCTGTGGCACAGCCGAGAACGGGATGATTGCCGTCGGTGGGGTCCCGCCGACAGGCATCACAATCTCACATGGCCATGGCCAGACGATATCCATGGAACAATGGATGATGCACCTACCTTTGTAGCCGCCTCGGTCTAGCATAGAACATGCCCACGTCGCCCTGCAATTGGGTTGTATCCTCCCACGCTCTACCACAACGTGCACGAGTAAGAGACGTGGAGATGGGGGTCCTGACAACGCCCTGCTGACGTAACGGGCTCTTGGTCAATCGAAATACCAGGAACCAGGGTGCAGTGGAATCATGCAACAGCTTGACAACTACAACTAAGTTTAACGTAGGAATCTTGTACCTGAATTTTGAGTTGTATTCGCCCTGCTGGCACCTAAAATAATTTGATTGTGTAGTTTTGCGCCTTGTAGGAGCCACAAAAGATGTTCCTTCTCGCTTTTACAGTTGACCGAGAGACGAGTTATTTTGCGGCGTAGCCAATCATCTCCTCGATACAGTACACAAAGCATGACAAACACGTCTCGGCGCTGCGTGGGCCTGATGGTGTCGGGTTCGAGACTTGCTGGAGCTTGCGGAGACTCGCGTGGTACGTACCTCGCAAACAAGCGTGACAGGGCCCTGATAGGTTGGCGCAAGATTTGGGTAGCCGGCCAAAGGGAATCGCAGCTCTCACCTCGTCGCTCACAACTGCTTCATACTCTCTCGCGCGCCCCTGACAGGCGCAAAACAGCCCGAGCAGCCCTATCTGACGGCTTGCAGGGGCTCAGTCGTTCCTGCCGCTACAGAACGACTCAACGCTCGCAGTGCACGGGGCTACTTCGTAAACCGACTACCTCGGGCGCCACTCCTCGACCCGCTCACGACCACTAAACCACCACACATCAGCTGAAGTGCCCTGCTGTCTGCCCTTGCAGCATTCCGCATACCCGCGCATCCTAGGCCGCTGCGCTATACCCTCGTCCTTGTGTGTCCAAGTCTGGTAAGTCTATTCCGTCTCATATGGACTCAAAGGCGTGATGGTCATCCATTTCAACCCACATCCTCTTGCTTTACAATATGGGTGCATTCCTCAATACAATTGTCCTATATCTCTTCCCCTTTCATCGTGAATCCAACACCTTGGGTCTTCAATCATGTGCACCTTGATCTCTTCACCATCACGCTGGCAATCACTCACCTTCTTCAAGAGAACAAACACTAGCCATGGAGACGCCACTTCTTCGCGTGAGTAGACCTGTAGCTGCCTGCTCACGGTGTCGAGCTGCCAAAGTGAAGTGCGATGGCAAACTGCCGGCTTGCACAGCATGCGAGAAGTCGAACCGTGCGAGCGAATGTTCGAGTGTGAACGATCAATTTGCGAGAGGCAAAGAACGAAGCTACGTGGCCACTCTCGAAACCAAGGCTGAGAGGTTAGAGAAGAGAATTGCAGACGCAAGAGCCAGAAGGAAATCATCCGCTGTTATCATGCTGGACTACTCAGAGTCATCGACTCCGCGTAGAACCTCAGGCGATACTGTCAAAGCACCCAAGCAAATGAGCAAACGTGCTGCGCGACGGAAAGAAGCCTCGGATATCGACGATTTGGTGGCAGGGTTTGGGCTTCTGTGAGTCGTGTGCATCACATACATTGACTATTACTAATGTGAAAAGTGCTGTCAATGCTACGGCGAGGGACTTTTACGGTTTCACAACAGAAATGTCCTATGCAAGATTAATACTGTCGGCGGCTTCCAAAGAACCACTACCCACAGGCATGACCAAAGCTCTTCCCCCCAAGTTCGCCGCCACGCCGCTTATTCAGCACTATTTGAACAACATCTTCACACTGCTTCCCATTTTTGAGGAAGCTACCTTGTACTCTTCAGTCGACGCCGTCTATCGACAAGGCGATGTGGCGACTCCTTTGGATCGATGGATTGTACGTATGGTGTTGGCAATTGCGAGTTTATCTCAGTCTCAGCAACGAGGTGACGCCTTGTACTCGGACGCCGTTGGTCATGCAGTCGCTGCACTCGACTATGCGGGAGATGTCTTGCATCCTGGCTATGTTTCCAGCATACAAGCTCTTGTCCTCCTGACCATATATGCTGCCTTAGACCCTCATCACTTCGACAGCTGGACTTTGATCGGCGCCGCTTCAAGAGCTCTTGTGGACATTGGCATGCATCAGGATCCGTCCAAAAATATTGCCATCTCACAGGCAAAGTTAGAAATACGACGGAGAGTGTACTGGTGTGTATATGCGCTCGACCGGTGAGTTTGAACAACAGATGCGCAAGTCGACCCTACTCACGAGTCACTAGATCTACATCGCTTGTCCAGACCAGGGCCTTTTCGTTCTCAGACGAGGCTGCGCAAGTTGCATTCCCCTTCCGCAGCTCGTCAGTCTCCCCCCAATACTCGTCACCTCAATCGCAAGTGTTTCAGCAATCTTTCGACACGGCAATTAGTCTATTCAAGATCCGCGAAATTCAATCCGAATGGTACATGGATCTTTTCCAGTCAGGTCGCAAGCCGTGGCCGGATCCCTACCCATATATCTGGAAGCAGTATGCCCGTATGTCGGAATGGTTCCAAGATATACCTCAAAGAATGCTCCCAGCTGTCAAATCCTGTTTCGAACTTGAGCTTTTCTACAGCTACGTCTACATACTCTCGCCAAGTCCACGAATCCCACATATTCATGAATATGCTCAACGCCTGATATTCGAGCACTGCATAGCTTACGCCACGAATCTGCTTTTTCTGATCAACACACCCACAAATTCCACTAAACCATCACCAACCTTCTATGACGCAATGCGAGCATACATGACCGGCCGGCAATTCGTCGATGTCTTGTCGCGCAACATGGATGCGATGCTCAGCCCACATCCTCCTGCATCACCAACACCCTTCACATCTCAGGTCGAATCGGAAGATCCTCTCGCCCCACCTGTGCAAGTCAGTGCGCCGCCTTTCCCGTCGCCATCCATACCCGAGGGGCAAATATCGCCCCCAGACCCCACCGTCCGAGCCATTGGTGCTCTCAACGACTTCACGTCGATTCTTTCGAATTTTGGACTTCGCTTCGGTTTCATACACTGGCGTGACCGCTTCCAACGCGAGTCCGCTGGTCTCACACAACAACTGCACCAGCGCAACTCCACATCGCCTCCTACGTCCCCTCCAATCCACCAAATACCACCGACCGTGGCCTACCCGCAGCAATGGGTCGCCCTGTCCTCCCCGCCTCAACAAGCACCCCAGCTAGTGTATCAGGACCTACCGACCACGCCCCCAACCGTGTATCCACCGCAATCAAGCCCGTTCTCAAGCTCGATGTCGTACAACGGTAACCCTTTCGACGGGCGAGGCACAAGTCCGCTTCAACCAACACTATCTTACGACCCTGTGGGCCAAAATTCGCATCACTTGTGGTCCACGCCTTCTCCACAGCCTATGCCGGATATGCCCCAGCCGACTGAGGGCAGGAAGAGACAGGCGATGATGTATGGTCCGCGCTTGCCTGACCCGGATAATGCTTGGAACCATGGCCAGCTCGTACAGCAGCAACGGGATGGTCCGGACTGGAGTTAGGAGGTAGATAGGAGTATTAAATGCTTACCAGTGCATGAGATTGTGACTGCTAGTTGACGTATGACACAAGGCTGTGAGGCTGACTAGATGTGCTGTGTAGATGGCGCCGGCAAATACAGGGATCGCGAGACAGATATACGTCGGGATGGGAGTATTCGGATATGGGTCACCTCTGATTGGCTCTTTTTATGCCTATGAGGGACCAAGCTGCGGCGAAATCTTGCGGTAGCTAGAGACGATTACATTGAGAACTCATCCAAGACTCTTATGCATCGGGACATACCAGTATACATTTACTTTCCTCTTTTGATGTCTATGAACGTTGCTCTGTTGTGTTCTGTGCAACAGAAGTGTGCAAGGTCGGAGGCGAAGACAATGGGTCGACATCCGCCAAATACGAACACAGTGACTTCTTATTACCGTCCCAACAGCCAAGAGTTATTTTGTCAAGCACATGACCTTCTCCTTCACATTACACACCGGACGAACTCAAGGTGGAGTAATCAAGTCACGTTTCCAGCTAGCCAGAAGCGGAAGTGTCATATCCTACCCTCGCCTCCCTGCATCTCCCCAACAACAATCACCGACAACTTCACATCAAACCCCCACATGAGCGATGGAATTCTCTCCATCATCTCCAAGCGCTATCGATCTAGAGGCCGAGGCAGAGCGCGAGACAAGACGCCAAGCAATCCAAGATGGCACGCTCAGCGACGACGAGTGCATTCTCGAATTGCACGAGCGTAAGGCTGTTTTCCTTGCCGACGAGGACTGGCTGCCGGAATGCCGGAGATACGGGGAGAAGATCTTCGACCAGGCGATTGAGCGCGACGTGCATATCGCATTGGAGAGTGGGCAACGCGTGGTTGGCGTGTTGCACTTGGTTCTCGTGCATATCGGTGGCCTCTACTACGACAATGAGCGGCTCAAATTCAAGAGTGCTCCTAACGCAGGTGCCGAGAGTGTCGCAAATATGGGACCGATGATAGAAGGGGTGACAAACAAGATTGACAATGACATCTCACGTGAGAGTGAGGCAGAAATCATCGCCATATCCTCGGAGGGTGAGACTGAGGATGACGACGACAGCGACATACTCAGTGAGAAGGAAAGTATGCACGTCCCCGAAGTGATTCCGGAGCAAGACGAACATACTACAAGGCTCAACGCTGCTATCGCCGCCCGCAGAAAGAGGAGGCAGCTTACGCACGGCGCATCGGGATTTGGAGATTCGCCAATATCGCGGCGGTCACGAAGCGCCGTTCCAGATTACCATGCTGTATCGTCGCCAGCCACACAACGATCACGGAGCGTTTTCACAGATGTCGAAGAGCTGGTGAGTATTGCTCACAGCCCATCTGCGATTTCAGCAGCGCGACGCTCGCGAAACCTTGTTCCAGACGCTGAAGACGAGTTTGATGTCACTTACATCCCTTCTCCACCACCTCAGCTCCCCTCATCTCCTCAGATGGTGCCTGAGGTAGCGAAAGCCGCAACTCGAAACATACGGCAGCCAGCAAGCGATGAGACAGCGGACGATGCGGCACGTAGCCCAATACTATCCTCTCAAGTGCTACTTTCCCCACAAGAGCAACTACAGACTCCTCCCAGCTTCCTAGATGCCTTGCAAGTACCTGCACATTCTGCACAGTCTCGCAAGCGTTCGGAGCCCTCGCCTAATCCCCCAGCTCCTTTGTTTGTACGTATCGTTTATATGCGTATCCTCCGAAAGACTAACAAATGGTAGGTCGGCGGCCCGGGTAACAAACAAGGCCACAACAGACGATCTGTCCTCCGTGTACAGCAAACACGGTCCTTAGCAATAGCCCCACCTTCGGATGCTCCCCGGAAGAAGCGAAAGATCGCCACATCAAAGGGCCCAAAACAAGCTCCATCTCGTGCAACAACACGGCGACGTACAAGGGTCACGCAGAAGCAGGTGGAGATTGCAGACTCTCAAGATAGCGACAGCGACATCGATGTCGAAATGCCCCTTCGCCCCCTCGAAAAAAAGTCCCGCACCACATCTCCTCGCATCCCAACCTCTAAGTCCAACGCTCCAGACGTCCACAAAACAGCCGCGTCTTCCGCCGTACCCTCAGCCAAGGCGTTTACCTTCCTGCCCCTCCCCACCTTGACCCCACGCGATCACGCCCCCTTCCGAAAAGGCGCAGAGATCGCACTCGACAACATTCTCAGCGATCACGTCGAGAACCCGGATGATAGTCTGGTTGAGATCATTGAGGAGTTGGAGGAAAACCAGCCGGCGGTGGATGGTTGGGAGAGGAAGACGATTGTGAAGGGGAATATGTGGGTTTGCACGGCTTTGAGGCAGGCTCTGGGTAAGTTTGGGAAGCAGAAGCAGGTTGATGTTGAGGAGCTGTTGGGACAGTTGGGTAAATGGATGGAGAAGGGGTTGAAGGGCCGTTGATGGGTAGGGAGAGGGGAGGTAGAAAGGTTATCGAGCTTGGGCGTGTGATGTCGATATGTTTTGCTGTCGATATGGTACGAAAATAGTGTGATAATGGGAGAGTTTTCTGGTTATCGTTCGATGTATATCCTGACGCGAAATGCCAGGCTCCTATCATTCGTGCTGAATGATGGCACCCTGAAACTTATAACGAATCCCATCCCGTACTATCTACATGGCATGCATGACTCCCCCCACTTATCGTCACCCCTCCTTCCAAGGCATCAGATATTGCGCTTAGTCAGTGTTCCCACCACGTTCTTCTTCTTGTTACCCTTCTTGTTCTTCTTCTTTCCCTTGCCTGAATCGACCGCGCGCACAGGAATGCCACCGTCTTCGTATTTCTTGGTTGCCAGTCCCGTCTTCCACACGACCTGCGTTTTGCCATCACGCACGATGGTCTTCTTGTACCGGACCCTGTACTCGATGGTCTCCCATGTGCCATATCGCTCGCTGTGGTACAGATCTTTGTTCACTGTGTTGCGAGCGAATCTCTCTCTGCTCTCCTTGGCCTTGTCTTCATTGACCTTGCCCTCCTCGGCCTTGTCTCCATCGGTCATGCCCTCCTCGGTACCCTCAATTGACTCCCCAGCGTTCGAATCGAGATCGCCGTCCTGCTGGCCCGGATTCAGCTTGCTCGGCGTCTCCTCCTTCGGGAGCTCTATCATGACGTAACGGGCATCGGGGTCCTCAGCGTCGAAGTCGACAATCTCCTCGTCAGGGTCGTTGATCGCGTCCAGGGCATTGATCCTCTTTATTGCGTGAGTAATAGGAGACCTGTGGTGCAGAAGAAGACTTACCATCTCTCTGTAATGGTCGATAAACCTTGCTTTCTTGAAGCCCATCATATGCTTGTACTCCTCACTCGACCTAATCTGGTCGAGTAGCTCGTCGTCACTGAGGGGCTTGCCGCCCATAACCATGCCCACAGTCCCGTCAGGTTTGAAGAACTCTTCCATACCCTCAGGTAGTTCACCATCGATCACAGTCATGCAGCCGCTGTCGGCATCGGAATCGGAGTCGATTGCGTATAGCTCGTCGGCCGAGTCTTCGTCAACGTCCTTGTGTTCGATCTTGCGCTTCTTCGAGGGGAAATCGCGAGGAGTGGGGGCATGAACAGGCCCTGCGGTGGGCTGCTGGCATGTCAGAATGGGTCATGGATCGGAGAGATTGTCTTACCTGTTCTTTGCTGCTGTTCTGGTCAGACATCAGATCGCTCAACTTGGCATTGCACATGGTGAGAAGTTGACTATGGAGGATGTAAATGTCGTTGTTGTGCCTCTAAGCGGTCGGGGACGTAAGTAAGGTTGTTGTGGGGTCTGTTTTGTGGAAAGACAGAGCTTAAAGTGTGAGAGTGTAAGAGTATGGGAGACGTTCGTTTATTAGATGCTGGAGATGGGTTGATAAGTAGCAAGTGTGGCGACGGAGTTGCAACGGCGGTGAGAGCGCGGATAATGCACGTCATCTCGTAGGTGAAGGTATAGTAAAGGCATCTAGCCGCCGCTTAGCGTTCAAGAAGGTAATTGAGTTTCAACTCCAAGGTGAGAAAATGCCGTCTTTAAGCTGATCACGTTAGTGTGTCATACCGACTTCATACACTCGAGACCTCGAGATTCTTCATGTTAGAGGAGGGGCCTGGATAATATCGAGCGATCATCTCCAAGCACATATCAACAATTCTGAAATGAGCTTGGAAGTTAATAGTGGCAAATTGTCTGCTCCAAGATAGGCGTTTCTGCTGTTGTAGCCTTCACACCGACCAAAGGTCTCCTCGTTTCTGGCAGAGTTCTGCACTTTCGGACAACTGTGGCAACATGGCTAGCTGAGCTAATGGCTGACACTAATACTCGGATGACTGTATTCAGCACACTGTAAGGTCGAAAAGCCATGTTTTATCGCCAATTTAGGTGGATTCAAAGGGACATGGCACTCGTGAAAGTTGAAGTGGAATACGACTTGTTCTTCAAAGGGGTAAATCATGTCTGGCAAGCTCAGTAAGAGCAGCAACAAGAAAGGACTGCTAGTCGAACTATACAGAACTATGACAGTACATCCCTGACAAAGACAAGGAGTGCCAAAGGCGCTACACTGCGTTGTCGACGAAAGCCGCAACTCCAGCAGTGGGATGGCGTCATAACAAAAGACAGAATAACGTGAGTGATGGCTACAACGAGGCAGAAGTTGATCAGTGGAAGGAGAATGACTGTGAGAGCACGGGAGAATCAGTATTATACGTCACTCCAAAAATGAAGGTAACTCCAAGTAAAGGCGTTTCGCCACCGCCTATATGATCCATCACCCACCCCGAAATAGCTGTTTCAACCTTCTACCTCACTTCTCTTCACATCAACTACCACTAGCGCACGATAGGACGATCCGCACAATGGGTGACTTGATCCCTACACCATCGAGGCGTCATATCATTACGATCAAGGAAAATCGCGTCGCAGTAGTTCGCTGGCTGGGAGTAGAGAGAGGAGAAACAATAGTAGGTCGCTACCAGAAGGCAATGGGTCTTATATTGGAATGCTCCAGCAAGCTCAACATCGCCTTGATGGTAATGAACTTCCAGACCCACTACACGCAGTCCCCGGGACCCATTACAAAAGGCTGGTAGTGCTATGACGAAGTATGCATGCCGCACGTTCGCAGGCGCCGCAAGGCTGCACAAGTCATAGAGAGCCTATACACTACTATCTTTACCAAGACTAACTAGGTTTGGTTGGCATATCCAGATTGATATAATGCAACTAAAACATGTATTTTCAGTTCAACTTCCACGTACCATGTTTCTCAGCAACTGCACCATTCTGGCATTCTTGTCGTAAGGCTCTCGTAGACGCCCAACTTGACTTGGTACACGTGAGCGCAAGGACGTATCACAGCATCAACGATTGTTAAACATCTTTGTGAAGTACTTGCCCAACCAAAGGATGTCGTCCCCAACGCCACGTTGTCGGAGGTCTTCAAGTACTTGAAATCCATTCATGTGACATCTCATACAAGAGCCAGGAGGGTTTCAGGGTACCGTGGCCAGAACTATTCCAGAAACATCACCACGCACGTGTGTGCAGATCGACAGTTCGTAGCTCGAACATTGAGAAGCTCTAGTAAGCTTGCCAAAACTGACCAATACCTGTGAAGTACACAGCGTTGTTTGCGATGCCTACCAAACGAACTTCTTCGCCCTTGTATTTGCCAACCTTGTTAATGAACCTCCGCAATATAATCCGAAATATGCTGAAGTACCACAACTCAACGAGGTACTATGAGTTTCCGAGTATTACTTGACCTTTCGACGAAATGAAACACGTCTTAGCGACAGAAGAAGCACACACCTCTTTCGCCTTAACCACTGTGGAAAACGCTAGCAATTGATTGTATTCATCTAAAATTGAAATACGCTGACTACTTAACTATCATACTGTAGTGATAGCCTCACACTCGTCCTTCCTCTTTGCGTCTCGAACCGCAGCGTCGACAGCATCATGGAGGTCGACGTGGAAGAAAGGCCGATCAACACCATATAGTGGTGCTAGCCTGTTGGCATTCTCACTCCCTTTGTCATCAAGCTGTATCTGCTGGTGTACGGATATAAGTTCACGCTGTTCTTTTGGAGTCGCAGTCAATGATGGCACAGCAACTGTATATGCTGGACTCCAACAACCTACTGCATCCGTATCATTTGCAGCTGGGAAGCCGAATCCGGCGGACACAAGAGCGCGTCGTGTCCAGCGGTTGTGTACACCTGCAAAGTGCCATTCAACCAACGTAGGAGCAGCATAACGATCGAGAGTATGCCGTAAGTCGACAAGACCTTGCACGCTAGTTATGTCGACGATGTTTACTGTCGAGAAGTCGAGAACGATCGCCTTCAGAAGTGGTAACGAGTAGCTTTCCTCAGTGTACGCTTTGGAGGGAAGGTCATCACACCATAGATGATCGCTTGCACGAATTCCATCCTCAACATCCGAGCGGCGTGTGTGTGACTTGACATACGTAATGAGGTGGTCCATGTGATAGGCTTGATTGACGTAATTGAAATTCTCGCTGAACCGGTAGATGAAGACGCCCGGATATGCGGGCTCGACAGTAACGTTAGGGTTGTGGTTACTCTTGCCGGTGTGTGGGAGAAAGACTTGACGAGTGATTTGGACGTAACTATGGTGTTCAGTTGAAGGTGATGTTATTTCCGGGTATGACACATCTGACTCCTGAACCCGTTCATCGCGAGAGATTCGTGTTACTTCAACTGACCCTCGAAAATCACCTGGTGATCTTGACATACGGACAAGAAGCATCGCAAAAGAAAGACCAACCGTCAGGTAGATAGCTGTCTCAAGGTTTGTGAAGAACGCGACGGTGACACCAGAAACCCATATGAGAAGTTCGAACGGTGACAGCTGCCAGTATCTGTAAAGGGATTTGGGTGGCGTCAGTAGATTGGTGGTGCAGTGGATGATCAGACCAGCGAGTGCCGCGTTCGGTATATAGTAAAACACCTCTGTGAGTGCGTATAGTGCTAATACTAAGACCATTGCGCTGAACAGGCCTGCAAGCGGCGTGCGTACAGCTGCCTTGGAAAGAACGGCAGAAGCACCAAATGAGCCTGTACACACGTAGCCACCCACGAAAGGGCTGAAGATGTTGGAGGCGCCTTGTGCAATCATTTCCTGAGATGGGCGGATGTTGTAGCCAAAGCTACGACCAAATGACTTGGCGATGGCGATATGCTCGACTATGAGGATTATAACAATGGCAGGGAGTTCTGAAGCGACAAGTCCGAACAGATCGCGATCCATGGGCGGAATACCAGCATGACTGAAGCCTACAACAAGGTCAGTTACTGATGGTAGGAGTTTGTCTCGAGCGGCGCACCTTTGTCAATGTGTCCCACGATGCGGAACCTTTCTTTTCCCTCAGTCACATTGCGATGCACAAGCCAACTGATGAGCGTGTAAAGGAGAATCGTAAACGTCAGTCGCAATGAAGAGAGTAGCGACCATACTTTCTTCTTGTTGGGTTGGCGCAGTTCCATCTTTGCACAAACGTTTCTGATCAAGACGAGCAACGCGATAGATGTGATTCCAATGGCTGCATCCAACCTGGCATTTGGCAAACCTCTCAATATGTTGACATATACTTTGTACGGGGACTCGCGCGTGTTGATCCCTGTGATACCCAACAACGTAGGGATCTGCGTGGAGATGATTGTGATACTGGCGGATGTGACAAAGGCGGAAATTGGAACGTAAGGAATGAACTCGATCAGCCAACCGAGACGCAAAATGCCAAGCACGAACAACACGATTCCAGCTAGGAAGGAAAGTGCATGCGCAATGTCCTGGGGCTTGTACACTCCTGGCTTCTCGGTTTCAATCTTGCTAATCACGCTGCCGACCAGAAGAGACCCAACGGCAGTGGTCTAGGTTATAGTCAGCAGATATTTGAAGCACAGAATTAATGAGTGTTTGTCTCAAGATGAGTACCAGTACTTACACCAATCACAATGTCCTTGGAAGTGCCAAAAACCCAATATATGCAAGCACCTGTGAATGTTGTGTACAGACCGAACGCGGGTGGCAGATGGGCAAGGAGAGCATATGCCATAGCTTGTGGAACCACGACAAGACCTACTGTGATCCCTTCACGAATTATTACTATATCCGAAGAAGAAGTACCATCTCAAACTCACCAGCGATGGCATCTCCAAGCAGCCAGTGCAGATTGTATCGCCGCATCCATTGTACCGACGGGAACAATTCGCGCACGTACTCAATGACGCTATGTGATGACGGTACTAATCCTTGGAACCACTCCGCGACCGAAGGATCATCTTCTAGATAGGTCTCGCCGATAGTTTCTCTTGCGACTTGCTCCAAGTACGTTGTGTTTTGACAACGGTCTTGTGAAGAGGCGTGGAAGACTTCAGTCTTGAGGAACTCCGCCATGCTCCTTCCATTGATATTCAGGTCAGGCATTGGGATATGGCCTGGTCGTGACGCAGATAATATAGTCGACGCTCGAGTAAACCAAGGTGGTGGGACGTAAAGATGATGGGCAGAGTTGAGTGAAACTGGTGTGGTCAAGGAGCGTGATTAGTAGCAACATTGAGATGTTGGGCGAGCAGAGTAAAACCATCGTGAAAGACTTGTCATCGATTGTCCTCATAGGCTTCTGCGTCTTCGAACCTTGCACACTGTCCATCCTGCCGACGACCCGAACTTGTCGGGCGAGAGCTCTTGGCGAATAACGTATCGATTTCCCCAGCTCACCGTCTTTCCTTATCGTCAAGTCGACTGATTGGCGGGACAACAGTTGTGAACCCTGGATCATAGGTAAATGAGTGAACACGCGATGTGATGGAGCTGAAATTGTTTGTCCTGTCATGAACTATGCAGAACAGCCGAGAAGCAATTACGTATTGACAGGCTGAGAATGCAACGGTGTGGAGAAGCAGCCGCGAAACCCAGCGACAGGATGAGACGCAGGATAATGAGTGCACGGCTAAGATGCTGCGAACATGTAAGGTTTCATGCGCCAGCGCCCAATTTTGACGCTAGCTTCTTCTGTCGGCCTCTCGGTCAAGTGTGTAAAACTAGGAAGTAAGTTGTTGTTTGTGGCTCCTACAAGCCGCATAAATACACTAATAAGAAGTTCAGAATGCAACCTTGGCATATACTGTACTATATCTAGGCATATAACTACTACGATAATTGGATATGTAGCTGTCAGGCTGTTGCAGGATTTCGCGGGTGATAGAGGCGATTCCCCGGTCTGCATCACTGATTTGAGACTAGCGCGTAAGCTATAGAGCTCGCACCTCCTCCATAGTAATTCCATAACTTTCACCCCACATACTACCTCCAACATTCGCTACGTCTCGCACCTCGGTCGTCCTGCTCTTGGTGAGCGTCCAGCACGTCGTCTCAAATGACGAGGGGTTTCAAGACGAAGACATCAACCCATCGAAGGGCAAAGCAAGACCACGCGACAGATTCAACGACTTCCTCAAACCCCTCCCAAAGCTTCCTAACAACGACGTGGTCATACCAAGATGTGAAAGGCTCCTCAGCCTGTACGAGCTGGTTCGGAAGAAGCTTCCTGATGGAAAAAATGATCATCTGGTCAAAATTCTTGGAAGGTCTCAACATGTCAGACAGCCGATGACCCGCATTGCTGCTAACAGATTGGCCGCCACGTGTGTGGCCACCAACGACGTAGTGACGAGCGAGTGCGAAAAGGCGGTTCTACCGTTCACTCACTTGAAGCGATTCTCTGATTTCAATGATCACCTAGAAACCATCGGGGACATCCTCAAGGGCTCCCAGTTATACACGGGTGTTTACAAGACCCTGTGCTTCGGCGGAGGCCACTACCAGAAAAAGCGCCCCGTAAAGTCAAAGGTCTCGACACCCCCTATCAATTGGAATGTAGCGATCAGGAGAGCCATATTCGCGAAGCCCGACCAAGATGGGTAGATGAATATGGATGAGATCCTGACGCATCTGGAGAAGGGCCTCGAGCAGAGAATCGAAGAAATGAAGCAGGGAATGACGCGGCACCTCCTTTTGGCTGGGTGCAGCAGCCTCCAGACGGAGGCCTTCAAGAAAGCCTTTCAGTTGTTTTGGGCACGTTGTTCGGCAGCCGTCAAGGAATTCGTCGCCAAATCGTTGGAAGCCATACGCCAAGCGTCGCTACGTTGCGCATCTGAGATGGGTCCATACACGTCTGATGGAAAGCATGGAGCAGTGTCGGCATTTGTGAAACCGCTTTTGGAGCACACCATGCGCAATGCAGGGTATACCCCGACGATCCAGAGGGGAGGCGGCAAGGCTCCCAAGCCCGAGCTTGACGACAACGCGCGCAAGGCTCACAAAAAAAACTCCAGAGGGAAAATGGCGGCGCTGAAAAACGACGTTCGTCAAGCTGTGGCCAAGACGGAGCTCTTCGATCATGTCCGGTCTACTTATTATAATACTGCGAAGCGGAACATGCGCAAAATGTATAACGATCTGACGCAGCAATTGCAGACGGAGAGCAGGACCTTGGGCGCCCAGATCAAGGCCATTGAGGCTGGCCAGCCTGAGGTAGTGCGAACCGAAGCGGAGAAAGAACAGATTGCCCACTTGCGAGGTTTGATGCAAGACTGGCAGGAGCAGATCTCTCAGGTTCGATCGTTGCTCATCGACAATGGCCTGAATCTGCAGTCACAGAGTCTTGGATCGGTAAGTTCACATTTGCACTTCCTTTTACCGCCAATCGTCTAACCTTTTTCCTAGGGCGAGAACGAACCGGAAGGCATCGGTCATAGTGAGACTTCACTCGAAGACCAATTTGATTCCAACAGTAACGGTCCTGACATCAGTGGATTCGTTCACGAGGAAGCCGTCCACGACGACAATGGCAACGAAGATAATATCAAGCAGGAGGGAATAAGCCCTGACACAGCATTTGGCTATGCTACAAACTCTGAAGTTTAGAGTTATGGATATATTCTGTTTTCTGCATTGACGATCATGGGCATCAGCGAATCTAGCGGAGGGGATTTCAGAAGCGGAATTACTTATTTAATATTGCGTGCTTATTTTACAGAGACTTTCAAAGCCCAATGGGGTATGTTACAGCGAAGTGAAATTCCACAATCAAGCGATTGCTAGATTCTTTATCTCTTCTTGCGGCTATAGTAGCAATACAATATTACTTCACACAACCCAACACGTGTTATTGACCGCTTCCCATTCGCTGCATACAATGACATCGCCCTCGCGACAGCAGACTCTGAGTTGAATTGAAGGTCTAGAAGATATAGTATCATTTATTGTAACTCATGACCATCGATCGCGTAATGGCGGCCTTATCTCTCGATCAACTGTGAACGCGGGAGGTAAGTTGCGTTCTTTACGGCTCCTACAAGCTGCAAAACTACGCTGGCAAACTCTGAAGATGTCCATGCTAGGCGTATACTGCTAGGAGTCTGGTCGGGAGATTCTCATCCTTATCTTAGATGTAGTTGTCTAGCTGTTGCATGATTTTGCTGTACCTTAGATCCTGATATTTCGATCAGCCGAGAGCCTGTCTCTCGATTAGTCGGAATGCCCGGAATTGAGTAGGCCGCAGCGAGATCCTGCAACAGCTGGACAACTACATGTAAAAAAACTGTAAGATTTCTACGCCTTACGTGTTGTTTGTATTCGCCTACTAGCGGGTTTGTCTTTGTAGTACTTTTCATCTTGTAGTTTAGGGTTGTTGTGTTGCTGTAGAGAACGGACTTTAATTCCGGGGCTTGCCACTCCAAATTCCTGCCCACATGCTCAGAATGGTGATTCTGGAACGAAAAGTTGGGTAAATCTTCCGCATTTCAAAAATATGAAGCAGGCCTATGGGAAAGGAGAACAGATGCATCGAAGGATCAGGAGATGGCAGACATGGGCGATGAGTAGCTGCGGAATCCTGCGAGAGGATGAGATGCAGGATGATGAGCGCGTGGCAAGGATGCTGTGAATACGTAAGCATGCGCCAGCGCCAATCTTGACGCTAGCTTCTAGCGGCTGTCCCCATGCAAGGGGAAGTGTGATCTGCACACTTCTCGACCAAACACACTTTCGTAGAGATTCATCATTTCGCAGAGTGGCTTGATGCACGAGGCTGATTTGATGTACACCGACCATTCGAGCTCTGTTGCACCCTGTGTGAGGGAACAGACACCCACGCGTACGATCCACATCCAAACGATGCTGTTCTCCGGTAGTTTGCTCACGTGCCTTGTACGAGTGTATTGACAACATGATACTTTCGCATCATTTTTTGGGGCATACGAGCGTTGTTATTTAATATGATTAGTAGACCTCTAATACTCAGCCGTGGCAAGGAGCCTGATTTTAGTGATCAGATAAAGTGCGTAAGGTAACGATCTGTGTTTGTGTTTACTTTCAAAGTGTTACACACCCCCTCCTCAGGTATCGCAAGGTAACTTGAGCGCATGGAACTTGACACACGCGGTGAGTGGAGAACGTTACCACCTTCGAGAAGCCTCCTACAGTTACGTAACTTCCCTGTTCGGATTGTTTACGCTTTCACCGTCGCACTGCCAACGTCGCATATAGTGAGTCCTACCAGGTACCCCAACCCACCTCACCACGGCTTAGCTACTCAACCAACCTGTCACAACCGGCTTGACACATACGAGGGCTCTTGCGATACGATTCTATTGCGAGTTGAGGTAAGCTGGTCAACACTAGGTACTAACAGCGGACAAGATGACACGCATGAACACATGAGCCTATCGATATGTGCTGTAAAACCGTTCCCTGCTGACGTGTTTCAGTGATGCGCACATCCGAAACAAGCGACATGTTGGGCTCCACGCAAGCGACCTCCGCGACCAACACCACCGCCAACACGTATGTCTGGTCGCAGCCCACAGCCGGCGCGAACGCCTCGAGCAACCTTGCCGTAGCCACAGCTCAATACCCAATCTTGGAGGTGAATGAGTGCTGGCAGCTACCGAGGATCCCGAGCTTACAGATGTTGACAGACTCTTGTGTCTCACCTACGACCTAGCGACCTTGTTCCGTTGGCCCAGGTATGCCAGACAGTTCATGGACACCTGCTGGGTAGTACGGCATCACAAGCAAATCTCTTGACGAAGACGTTATGTCCGGGCCACGGTAAGCGCATACGGAGACGTGCCCACCACCCTTGTGCTACAAAAGGTTTCAAAATACTCACTGGGTGCGGCGGTGAGGGCTATAATGTGGAGTCCAGGCCATGCGTTTGTTGTGGCATCAACACCTGCGACGAGTGTCGTATCCATGTTACTTATCACGTCGGCATTGAAGACCCGGGACTTGATGGACACCGCTGGTGGGCAGGTTACAACTTGTTGTACGGAGAACCCGTCGCGCTATATCCTCCCAGCTCCACGAATGGCGATGACAAAGACTGGCATCTGCCTGCAGCACAGATGAAATCTCTTCACGACCAAGGACGTATCCATATTCCTTTCCACATCCCAGCAGTAGCTGATCCAGAACCACTCGATCGCATTCTTGATATAAATCTCGGACGACACCTCATCTCTCCACAGGGACGCACAGATGGGCCTTATCAGGGTGTGAACTTGATCACGGGATTCAATCTAGTCTCTCAGCCTCGCACTGAATTTGTTTGTGACGAATGCTTTGACGATGTCCAGGCCAATTCAACCAATCGTCGGGCAATGTGCGAATGCTCTTTTCGAAAACGCTACATCGATCGCTGGTTATGCCTCGAGTGCTATCAGCGTGAGCAGGACAAAGATGCCAGGTTGGAAGAGCGAATCGGCGTCGACGAAGATGAGGTCGAGGTTGTTTGTCGGAAGTGTCATTGTAAGAGGAAGTTCAGCCAGGGCGATACCTACAAGATGGTTTGCAACTGGTGTGACGGCGAGATTCGGATCTCAAACACAGACAGCGAAGGCTCAGTGGTGTTAGGCAGCGACGAAAACGATCAGGATGAAGATGAAGATGAAGAACAAGAAGAAGATGACGCTCATTGGATGGTGCTTGGACTATGTCCAGACGGCATTCTTTGCTGCAAGTCGAACACGGATGGAACCATGGCAGCGATGATCAATGGGGTGCAAGTCCGGGGAGAGCGTCTGGGTCGAGCTCTAGTTGAAGAGTGGGAGCACCTCAAGCACGAGCCACATAACGAGCAAGATTGTTCCAGATGCCAGACTCATGGGCACGCGCATGGCGGAGTCGAATTTGATGACGGAGAGAGTGACGATAGAGAAAGTGGCTATGGAGACAGTGTTGAGGGAGATCTGGCTGAGGAAGATGATGGAATCTACGACACAGCGCCGGCAGTCGATGTCGACGAGGATGATGAGATTTATGATTGACGGGGCAGCAATGGAGCTTACACGTGGCGATGTCGGTGGCCACGGGTACACTGAACCCAAAGGGAAGAACGAGCAAGTCTGGAGCATATGCCAGATGCAAGCTGACTACCGGTGCCATGCATGTTCGAAACAGGAAATCACGGTACGCACAAGTTAAGAGGTTAAGGCGTCTGCTATATTACCGTCGAGTAGCTTCAACATACTTTAAGGTGCACAAGATCTATTCTACGAGGTCTTCTGGTAGATAAGTAGGCTCATTATTTCTCATAGAGCATATGGTAGGGCACTGCTTATGCTTCGTTTGAGGATCTCGTTACCATGTCCTTGTACAAGTCTCGACGCACCGTTCCATTGTACCTCAACATTGATATTCCCTCGTTCTTCAAGTCTACTCGAGTGGCTGAACAAACCAAACACCGCAAGGCAATCTCTAGCCCGCACTTCTGGTTGTGAGTGGTATGTATGCTATACGCTGTTGCCGTGGCCCCTCGATCACATTCTCCATGTTCTCATGATCGAATACTAGACCTGTTACTTTCGTTCCGCTCTCCTGTCATATACCCTCCTCTCCTCTTATCACATCTCCTATCTACGGTTGAAACGATGAGTGTCTATCGAATGGCGCTGCGGCAGCTGGAAGGGAGCCGCGTCTTGTTTGTGGGTGCCTCTGCAAATGTTGGAAGCGGCGGGCATTGGGCTCGGTATCGATCTGGGAGCAGTCCCCAATGGAAATCCTAATAAAGCGGCATCCATGTGGTCGTAGAGCATAGAGCATAGAGCATAGGGTATAGAGACGGAAATGGAAACATGAAAACTCACACAGCATAGTTTCGCCACGCTCTCCTGTACGTGGTTTGAAATACTACCTCGTACTGGTCTCCAAAGTACCTCACTCACAAACATGCTCGAGGTACCGCACGCGAGATCTGATGATAAGAACGATGTCTAAGCAGATATGAGATTGAAGCAACCGGATAGGGTACCCAAATTTGGCGGTAAGATAAAGATGAACGTACGCCCCCGTTATGGAACTTGTTTTCTATGAATTAGTCGACTGACCTACGCGAACCATATGCCAAAGTGTAACCGCCATTGACAGCGTGTTACTGGCGGCACAAACACTTGCACAGCAATGATAGTGATGCAACACTCCATAGGACATAGACTCAATATATACGCTAAAATCACAAGACTAAACTATATACATCCTGCAAAATTTCTCATCATCTTCGAAGGGGCAAAGGTGATTCTGCACAATTGTAGTAGACCCTATTTTCAAACTGGCGGGTGAGCGATGTGTGCATCCAACAAGCTCCCAATGTCTCCTACGAAAAGGCTCAAGATGAAGCATGAACCACCAAACGCGATGGAACAGTAGTACGGCCAACGATAGGCCAATGCGAAGGCTTCTTGTGCGGCAGCGATGATGGTGCCATACGAGTCTCTTTTAAGTACCAGTGGGTTGTTGGCGAGAATCTCCTTGACTTCACTGAACCGCGCGTTGCCAACAAGTTCTGTAAGCTCCTGGATGAGTGCAAGACCCTCGGGCCGGAAGGGGTTGACAACAAGTCCCAAGGCAAGTGTTTTCGTTGCCACGATGTCGGTCAAGGACACGACAACCTTATGTTCGAACAAATTCAAGTATACGGCGAAACCGATAGCACCGCCAAGGTAGCGGAGACTGAGCGTAATGGCGGTAACAGTGGCGATGAGCTCGTCCGGGCACGCGATTTGAGCAATGATTGAGCAAGGGATGATGACACCGCCGACACCAAGGGAAGCAAAGGTCACAATGGCGTACATGGTGCCGAGATTATGAGGCGTTCCGATGGCCATTGCTCCTGTGAAGGCCGTCATCATGCCTGTGAAGAAGATCATGAGTAACCGAATTCGGCCCTTGGTGGCGGGTATGAGAACAAGACAGATCACCGCGCCGAGAATGATCCCAAACCCAACGGGAAGACCACGAACACCGACGCCAACAGGATCATCGCCTGCGATCGATTAGTTGAAAGTTCGTAATCCCATACGTCTGTAATATCAACTCACCATAAACGTTGTATACCTGTGTTGGCCAGAGGAGAAGGACAACAAAGAAGTTGCCGCCACTGAGAAATGTGATGAGAAGGATCACAATCATAGTTTTCTTAGCTTTGTGAAATATGGCTCGGGGTACCATGGGATGAGGAGCGAAGAATTCCCAAATAAAGAAAGCAATCAGCATCACGAGACCGATTATCAATGGTGCAAGATTGTGTGCGCTTCCCCAAGGATACTGGTGGAAGTCAGTGATATGCTTTGGCCGTACGGGGGAGACAGCTTACCTGTGTTGCACCCCACTGCAATCCCATCATGAAACAAGTAACTCCACCTATGCTAAGGAAACCGCCAATGTAGTCAAGCTGGCTGAGAACGTAACGAGCGGTGTACTCATCGTTTAGGCGGGAAGGATCGTGATAACAGAAGACGACGAGCACTAAACCGATGAGGTTCCACAGACTAACAAAGAGCCCATTCCAGCGCCAGCTGTGCACTGCAATGAGCTGTGAATACAGTACCGATGGGCAGAATGGAAGAATGGTGATCACTACTAGGCCGACGTATCTGCCACGGTCCTTGACGGCCACAACCTCGCCAGTGCCGGCGAGTGCGATCAATTCATTCAACCCGGCGCCGACACCCGAGAAGACGTTTCCAGCTGTACATTATCAGTGAAAGAACTGGAGAATGGACGTCGGAGCCATACCTATCGCGATGTTCATTGTGTGTGCAGTGGATGTGATGATGGGGCCAATGATAAGCATGACCTGGCCGACCATGGCCACGGTACGACGCCCGAAGATATCTGACAGCGCACCCACGAACGGACAGAGAGCAGCATTGGGAATGAGATATCCAATGATAAACCAGACATATCGATCCACGCCCCCAATATCTTGATAGATGAGGGGAAGACAGCCGCCGAAGAGATATAATGGAATTTGCGAGCCAACCCAGAGAAACGACATGCACAGCAAGGTCATGAACAGCTTCGAGTTCATCTACAACGGGTGTTAGCCATGATGTGTGCGAGTGCGATATGCTGTTCACTTGCCTTCTCATGAACAGGAGGCCCTGCGCTGCGTGTCGGACCAAGGTTCAGCCGCTGTTTTTCGGCGACCTCACCTGGCGGTGTGCGCGTTTCGGTGCGCTCCAGGTGTAAACCATCGCCTTTCTCACCCAGATCATCCTGGGTCCGCATAGGTGTCGACATGTCTTGCACAACCTGAATAGGCACGTTTATGCACAGGGAGTAGATAGATGGCAGCACAGAAGGTTAATCTGGGCTGGAAACCCTGTCGCACTCAGCGATGAATGAGGGCTTTGGCTCCTATATCTTCAAAGCCATGTGGTGTAGAGATAGCTTAATGCTACAAAGAGGATACTAGTGATGTGACAACCGCGGCATATCGAGACGACTTGGTGCAACACGCGGGGTGTGGTCGCTTGAATGACAGGGAAAATGTCTCATATGGCCAAACAGAGGTCGAGAAGTGCGCCGCGCCGCTTTTTCGCGGGGAATATGCCTCGTTCAGTGGATAAGTATCATGCGGGGTCCCCGCACGCGGGCGGCTCCATGCTAGGCTAGCACAAACTTGGCGCAGATGCTTGATCACAACACCGACCACTCATAGACCTGGTGGATGTCCGCCACATGGGACTAACGAGATTGATAGGCACTTGATGCTTGCCACTCTTGAATCCTGTCTTTCATAAGTGTTTTTTTAGGGGGTGCCAGATCGTGCAGATCATCGAGCAACTGAGCGACATTCCTGATTTAGATGGTACTCACAACCCAACTCAGTCAAGAAAAACCGTCTACATCGTTCTCCCGGAAAACGTATGAGATTCAACGTTCTTCCGGCTGATCCCCATTCTTTCCACCCCAAAATGTAGCTAATTGACTAGCCAAGGTGTTTAGATACTACCTGCCAGTATTGCTATCGATTTTCTCGGCGCTACTTTGCGTGCACTTCGGACCGCGCTCACGTGTGCACCAGCCTTTGTAGTTCTCCTCCCAGTCGCTGATACGTGTCAATCACGCACTGACTTCACCTGTTACCCATTATTGACTTGTCAAATCCGTCGTGGACATCACTCGCTAGCTTGGTTGGAATCAAGCCTGGAGTGAAGTGGACAGACAGCGAACAAGTACAAACAGTATGTAAGAATACATAACGGAAGCCACTGGCTACCACTAATCAAAGACTGATTGTCTCCGATGGTCTAACTTAAGATAGTAAGTCTGTGGCGCGAACTAACTGCTGCAACCCATGAAATCATCGATTTTCCAGCTGCGATCGTCAAGAGACCGAGGCTGTTTGAAAAAGTCGTCATATTTATCCGTGAGGCTTGAGTGCCTAAACTTGGCTTCAGTCAGAGTGCCTCGGTTCTACTATCACAATCTATGAAAAATTGTACCTCTGAAACGCACGTTTACCTAGTAGGTTGCTATACCCGGCAATTTAGGTGTGAATTTTGAGACAGCTACCCATCATCGACACCTCCTCGTTTTTGCCGTGACCACATATCTATTTATGTATCTAGGATCGTAAGTTTGCGGCTCGATCATCTAGACATCCAGGCGATATAACTGATTAATACCTGAAATATCACTGGCGAACATCCAGTGGGTTAATCCAACTTACTTTTGCGTTGTCGTGAAGCAAGCTTTGAGATACTAACCAATGTCTCCACACCTAAGGCCAGATTATAGTAAAATAGATGAAGCCATGAATGAAACACGTGATCTTGGTCATTAAGCATTACAACTGATTCACTCGCCCTAGGAGTCTCGAGACTCTTCGAATGTGCTCAGCGACGCGTATAATCGAAGCACAGACCCTACTGACGTGCAAGACGAAAAATTGTGTGCGAGCTCAGCGTGGAAGCACTTGCGTGCTTTCTATCGCAGAGTGCTTAATGAGGGGGCACATGTATGGCAGTGCTAGATATTGTATCCATTAAGTGTAGCTTACATCATAACCCAAGTTTTAATGGTTCGCCCGTGGATCAAGTTTCGCAAATTGACTAGAGTATAGTCCCCACAAGCTAGAGCAAATGTCAACATTAAACTAATACTTGCTAGAGTTCGGTTGAGGTTAATACTGCAGCACGATTAGGCTTGATTTCGAAGTGGTCTGGGATAACATCCAGAGCTTGCCTGCAGCGAAACCTTGCAACAGCTAGACAACTCATACTAAATTCATGTAAGACTTGTATAGCTAGTACATGCCCAGCTGGCTTTGCTTGGACTACTCAATCCTGTCATGTATTTCAGCAGGATCCAGTAATTACATCCAATACTTGCACCAGTTGATACAAGTGATACAACACATGGTCACTCACACTGTTCATCGACATGTGAAGGCAATATTAATATCTCCAAAGCTACATTCCCATCATATATATGTACTGTCGCCAGCTAGTAGCACGAGTGGAGCAAGGTAACTTGTATTCTCTAGCATAGAAGGAGTCAAATTTACAACATAGCGCAGCTTTTGAAGGATAAAAAGGACATCGAACGCAACTAGTTCATGGTCATAATTAACACAATGAGGCTGAAAGACTTCCCAAGCATCTTAATCCCGTGCAGTGTGAAAATCTGTGGCTTGTGCTTGCATGATGCCGGTAGGAAATATTCACACTCTCATCATTGTGAGTAAGCTCGTTCACTCCTTGAATCATGCCGTCGGGTATTCAATTGTACTAAATTTCCTACCAGGCTGTACAACAACATACGCGTCTCAACTATTCAACCTGTCCGAGCAAACATTTGAGTGTATAGCTACTACATCTGTTTGACGCATAGCCGATCAACATGGATTCGGGCGAGCAGGCCCTGTCGTCGCATATCGAGATGAACGACGGATCGTTCTTGCTATGGGCTGTGTTGGCGTTGGCGCGGCTCCATGAGAAATTTCCATCTGCCGTTGAGGCTCACGAGCCCTACGAACGGAACATTCGACATGCAATCAATAACGTTGGACGAGTTTTCGCCAATCCAGACGCAGACTCTCCCGTTGTGTGGGATTCTTTGTATCCTGCGGATAACAACGAGCTGCTGTCTGAAATCAACCGCACCGCGACAACGTACTACGTGTTGGCAAACCAGACTCCTGATGACGAGTTCATTTATTTGACGTGGATCATGGAAGCATTCAACTTGGAAGTTCGAACGCCAAATACCCGACATCCATTGCATCCATACGGTTCGAAAGGAATGCTGTATTCGATTGCGGACCGTCTCAAGAACTTGACTCGTCAGACAATGACCCACTTCTTCGATACGATAAATCGCCTGATCGTGGAGGAGCAGTTTGAATTGATGGAGCAGTCGGCTGCGCATCATGTAGAAACTGTGTGTGCGCTTATTGAAGAGTACATTCGAGAACAGTCGGATCTTCGATCTCGTGTTTACTACGATCCAACAGGCTCTGTAGGAGAGTCATTCGTCCGTATTGTTCGTCCGATGTTGAAAGGTCAAGTCGAGGGTGCTTTTGCTGAGTTCGTTCATACGATAGGCTACTCGCGTCATGAAATGGTCGACAAGGAAGCTTCGAGCACGAAGGAAGCAGTTCAGAAGTATCTTGCGGATATTGCCGTGCTTTTCTCCTACAGCTCGCCGCTACTTAGCGACTTCTGGATGTTGGACGCATATACTGACGAAGACTGGTTGTTTGACGGATACGACGACGAGGCCACTCGCGAGGAAAATGTCAACTCTGGGCGTTGGTGGCAAGAATATGATCCGACCGAGTTGACTCCAGTTCTCACCGGCCCAGAGTCTGTAGAAACCGATGATGTAAGTGCTATTGTGTCTACCTCCGACGACTCACTCTGCGGTATTTGCTTCGAACCCCATACAATCATGCGACAGCTAAAGGTATGTGTGCATGAATTCGGCGAGGAGTGCTTACTACAACAACTCCAGTCTAAGTTTGCATGGCGCTACAAGTGTGCTTCCTGTCGACGGGCAATGTTGACTCGAATCGTAACTTAAAGCTGTTTAACTGAGCCGATCTCAACGCTGAGTTGGTTGAAATATCAGGATTCAGCACCAGTCTTTCTATACAGAAAGCAACCAAAGCACACGATGAAAACCCCAGAATGACTTAAGCTACGCGTGTACTACTAAAGCTTACAGAATGCAAACTTTACTCAGAGTTTGCATGCAATGGTCCAGCTGTTGGAAGTTTTGCCGCACCTAAGTTACTGGAATTTCGACTGATTGGGAATTTACAACTATATGAACTGAAGGTGTGATTGGAGCTTTGTGCTGCATATTTATTCTTCAAGCTAGTTAGTTAGTCATATGAATACAGTCGAAGCTCTGCAAATCTTATGCTTGCCCAAACTTTTCCTGCTTTAATTGACCCATGTTTGCGCACCTTCCTCTAGAACAGCTTCCTGAATACCACGTTCCCGACAGGCTAAGGCTTTTGATCAGCTCGTTCAGACGGTTCCGCAGGTGATAACACTATGAGTATGAACACGAACCCACTTACCTCATACACATGCGCATCGACGAATCTATGAACCTGTAACATAGCATATTAACTTTACCTTCACTGCGATTACTGACTGATATGGGGCCGTTTCGCTTATCCATGGCTTATCCGGCTTAGGTCTCGATAACTTGACACAATCATCGAGTGTTCCTCACGCGCAATTTCACCCTCGGCTCGCCCCGAAGTCTGAAAACCATACCACTACACTCACATCCTACCTACGATCTACTCGCATGAAAGTGACAACTTGACAAACAATCGCTAAGACGTACGGAGTTCACCACAATGGACGATCAACATCACCAGCCGGTCTGGCCAATGCTTCAAGGCGCGCTAGACATGACATGGAATCTCATTTGTGACGCATGGGATATGGCGTGGAAGATGGTTGAGAGGCCGGTGTTGCAGACAAGTGGAGGGGCACGCCCGCATATGACCACGAATAACGCCAATGGAGTGGGGCTGGAAGGGGAAATTCTCGGTGACGATGTGCAGAGCACATGAGAAGGGGGAACGCGAGGGGTACAGAGACCTTGAACAATGCTGCAGCATGAGAGACAAGGTGTCAAGCTCTCGGGGCGAGGAGAAAGTATTGTCATTCATGGACGTGAGGTACGTGGCTTCGAGTGGACATGCGCATGATGCGACACGCTGACTTGTAGGCAGGTGCGATTGTGAGCTACGCTGGGTCAATGGGTATACTCGATCACAAATTGGTATTCCCGATTTCACAGCGTCCATCTGGAAATGACATGGCAGTCATTGGACATTGATAATGTCCTGCTCAACCAAAGGGCGGTGAAGATCTGGTGTCCAATACTTGGGGTAGCACAGGAAGAAGAAAGAGACTGAGATTTACAAATAACGATAGTCTTGATTTAGCGCAGTCTTCTTGGTTGTTTGTACGTTTACACCATTCCATCCGTGACTCGCGATACACAAACACGGTCGTGATTGAGTAAGCTTTGCTAGGAATGTGTTTCACAATCTGTCAGATATGCTGCTGTGGAACAGATCTTGTGACGCTGTTTGCAATCATAGTCAATGTATACAAGAGTTACAATAAACTCACTTACACTTGAAATTTTCTTGTTTGGGTTTGGGAATTATGCCCTGTGGTTCCAAGAGTCCTGAGTATAGACCAGATATCATGGCAACAGCCATGCTTAAGCGTATGTATACGTGCATGAGGTGTTTACGGAGTCACAACAAATGATCAAGTGATTAGACAAAAGACAGTATGTAGCACGGGCACTTACAGGATATCGATAGAGCGAGACGTTGCGATTCACGAGTCGCATGTAGGAGCTGAACCTAGGCGTGATCGACCCGATCTGCAATCGCTGCAGGAATATACTTGATATCGGAGCGCCACCGGTGGATATGTGACTATTACGTACAGGATGCGGAACGAATGCGAGGAGACTGGGATCGTTGAGAACGGGGACGCGGCTGACGAAATCTGTGGACGAAATTAGATAAAACGAGGTTGGGAGATTGACGACTTGGCACTGTCAGCTAGCGCGTTTGTCAATGCCGATGCAACTCGTCGCGAACCCCTACTGCTTCACTTTCCACTTCACTTCCTGTCTCCACAGTAGGCTTTGAACAGCAGCCAGTGCATCTAGTCAAATACCATGTCCATCGTAGTCCGAGAATCTGCGCGCAAGCCATGCCCCGAAGGCCTCTTTTCTCCGGAGTTGTATGCTAAGAAGATAGGGGAATGGCTTACCTTGCAAGCAGTTCGTCGTCCCTGAGGTAGCGAGTCAACGCTGATGTTGTACCTGAATACTCGGCTTGAGTTAAGCTCGCCGTTGGTCAGCGCAGACGTGGATTTAGCTACATACAGTCATTATTCACGGCTCCGTTCTGTACAAATGATCCCTGTACCTAGCAATCACCGTCGAAGGCGAGAGTGCCACCACCGTCCCTTACCCTCCACATCGCTCGAGTCTCGCAGAGCTCTCAAACGGATATAGAGCGCTGTTCAAAAAGACCTGTTGCTTAGTTACGATTGGGATTCACACGGGGTGGAGGCTTGGAGGCTTGGTCACTCTATCGGTATTAAACTCATGCCCTTTGACGGCCAGACGCCGTTGAGAGTAGTGCAAACAACATGTGAAGGCGCCGACGAACATCACAAATACTCCCAACGCGCATTCTATAATTCCATCTCCAGAGGTGGTGATGAATGGCATTCTCAAGAACAAGGGGAAGGACATTGCATGGAACCGCAACAGCACCCTTTCAGATATCATGCATGTAGTAGTCCTGATGGAATGGGCGTACTTTCGGAAGCAAATCTTTACAACAGATGTTGAACGCGACGAGGGCGGGTGTACATGCTGCTTGTGTGACGCCTATTGGCGGGCGTTTCGGGTCAATGAAGACCGGTCAAACATGTTGAAAAGACGCCAACGAGTAGATGCAACAAGTCCAAATATCATCTTCTGCAATGCAAAGGTTATCGCAGCTGACACTGCATCTATCTCAAGCCCCCACCGGCAATAGCCTCGCTACAACCCAAAGCAGCAAACCCACCCCACCATCTGCTGATCACAACGACCCCGCGAACACAAACACAACCCTCACCATGGCGAAAACCAAGATCGTCGTGACGCGCCAACTCTTCGACGAGGCGCAATCGCTGCTAGACGCACAGGTCGGGGAGCTGGAACTCGTGCAATGGCAGTCAGCAAAGGTAGACAGCAAGCCTAAGTTTGTTTTTGGAAAACTACCACAGACGGCTGACTCAACACCCGCAGCCCTGCGACCGCTCATGGCTCCTCGAAAACGCACAAGGAGCAACAGGCATCCTAGTCATGTTGACCGATAAGGTCGATGAAGAACTCCTCACAGCAGCGGGCGACCAGCTCAAAGCCATTGCATCTTTTTCCGTGGGAACAGATCACGTCGACCGTGCTGCGTTGAAGAAGCGCAACATTCGTCTGGGGTACACACCGACATGTCTCACCGACGCCGTGGCAGATCTCACAGTTATGCTTATCCTCATGGCGCAGCGAAGGGGTGGAGAGTCCATAGCGGCTGTCGTCAAAGGCGATTGGCCGCAGATGGCATGGCATCCTCTTCTTATGACAGGACCTCAAATTCGCGGGACGACGGTCGGGTTTTTGGGCTTTGGCCGAATTGCGCAGGCGTCCTTACATCGATTGTTACCGTTTGGCATCAAGCGCGTTCTGTACCTCACCTCGAAGCCCGGACAGCCAGTCAAGGAAGACCATTTTGGCTTACTCAAAGACCCTTCCATCCCCATCGAGCCAGCCACAAGCGCAGACCAACTCGCCAGCGAGAGCGACATCGTAATTGTAGGATGTGCGCTGACACCCAGCACCAAGCACATCATCAGCACAGACTTTTTCAGCAAGATGAAGAAACTCGCTGTCATTGTCAATATTGCGCGGGGCCCGGTCATCGATACAGAAGCTTTGGTAAAGGCGCTAGATGAGGGGCAGATCTTCGGCGCGGGGCTGGATGTCATTGAGAACGAGCCAAATATTCAGGCGGACCATCCGATCCTCAAACAGCCGAGATGTGTGCTGGTCCCGCATATCGGATCGGCGACGATTGAGACGAGGCAGCAGATGGCGACGGAGTCGGTGAAGAATCTGCTTGCTGGGTTGACGGGTGAGGCGATGGTGAATGAGCTGGATCTGTAGTCTTGAAGTCGTGTATATATGCGATGGATTTAGAACTCTTTGCACCCATCTAGATTAGATATTCGCCTGCATATCCATCCGCCCCCGAAACTTGCACTGCTCCAGCCTCTCAGGCGTGATCAAGAAGCTCTCTGGAAACCAGTCCGGCTTCACGCCATCACGTACCATCTCAACAAGCGCCTCGGCAGCCTTCAAACACAGCACCATTCCATGTCCATTGAACCCAGCTGATACCCACATCCCCTTCTTACCCGGCACCTCACCCACGAACGGCCGCCCATCCGCCGTCGCACCCATGATGCCCGTCCACTCCTGCACGACGCGCTTCTCCTCGTCCTCCTTGCACGTCTCACCCCAGTTGTCAGAACCAAAGTACCCCGTCAAAGTACCGTTCAGATACGTAGAGATCTTGGGATTAAGAGACCCGTCGTCCACGGTTCCAAACTCCGTCGCGCCTGCATCGGGAAGACGGCCCAGCCCCCCGCCTATAACGATATGTTGACTTCCATCGGGCAGCGGTCGTGGGATCATGTACTCGTAGCCGTTCCGGTAGATGAACGAGTACGTGGTTGGTAGCGTACATTGCAGTTTCGACGCCGTACCGGGCTTCTGCACCGTGATCTGGCCTCGCAACGGGACGATGGCGCCTTGCACAGATTTGAGCACGTAAGGTGTGTAGCCGTTTGTGGCTAGGATGACGTTTCGCGCAGTGACGCTGTTGAATTGTGTGAAGACGTCCCACATGGCAGTCTGCTTGGAGGGCAGGATGTCGTGGACGGGACTGTTTGCGCATAACTGCAGACCTTTCTTGACGCACTCTTTCAGAACACCAGTCGTGAAGCGGTAGGCGTGTATTCTACCGGCTGTGTATTTGAAGGCTCCAGCTAGTTGTTCCTTCTCTGTATTTGCAGGATTTTGGTTTTGCGCCTCGACGTGGAAGTTTTGCTGCAGTGCTTCATCTTTGTCGTAAATCTCGTACCATGCCATTTCCCCTTCGTTTCCCTCTTCTTTAGTAGCATCCGATCCCAACGCCTGTATGGCAGTTTTGCCGACTTCAAAGGTCGTAGTGTCATATATCAAGTCGACAGTGTTGCAGATTTGGCTCTCGCAAGCAAGGTCTAGGTCATTCGCCAGCTGATGTGTCTCCACAATATTCGCATACTCCAGTCTTGCGATCCGAAGCGCCTCGTCTTTCCCAAGTTCTTGAACATGCTGTGTGTAGGTGCGATAGCTTGCCGCCTTCGTGTGACCCCCGTTGCGACCTGTCGCCCCACTACATATTTCTCGCGCCTCAAACATGACGATACGCGAGCCTGGGTCCTTTTTGAAAAGATCATAAGCGATCATTGTCCCGGATATGCCGGAGCCAATGATGGCATAGTCATAAAGCTGTGTTGCTTTGTCTACTTCAGGCTCTACGACATTAGCTAGAGGGGACTTGGGGTCCTGCCAGTATGAGGGAAGAGGTTTTGTGATTGGGGGTCCAACGGGAATGCGACCTCTGTCCTCCATGCTGCTGTTGTGTTTTCGATGGGCTTGATCGGTCAGTCTTTCACGGTGTAGGGAGATGAGGAGTGATGGTGGGGTTTGGAGGGAGGTGACGGATGCTCGACCATACCTGCCGTTTTGGGACTGGCGCATCATATACAAGAATAGCCAGAGTCACGTTCATGTTTAATCTATCGAGGTTGCACATGGTGCCGCGTTCACCACCGGCTGGCAGTCATTCTTGCCATGACGGATTAGGTATCTTGCCCTGCCCACAGCGGACGCAAACTGTAGCTATTGGTCCAAGCCATGACACTCTTGTGGCTATCACGTCCTTCGAGATGACTTCAGTATCGTTGTGTTCAGTTGGTTAAGCAAGGCGAAGTGATGGACATAGGAAAGCAGCAATGGCGATAGAGACAAGGTGCAAATGTATGGAGTGAGTGTAATATCTGAGGCTCGTATGTAGCTAGCAGGCAAAGTCTGGCACCAGGGCCTTCCAGTCTACATACCAAGACGTTAGCGTCCCACTTCACCCACGGCTGCTGGAGCCTGAACTGCCACAGTCGACTGTTTGGGATGAGCCAAGAAGTGACGTCATGTTCAACATGTCCGTCTTGTCGTCCTGTCCAAGCCTATTTTGCATCCCGAAGCAGGGCCTCAGCTGCGGCATCCTTCTGGCCAACACTCCCACTTCGCGTGGCGGCCTTCAACTCCACAGACGGTGTCTCCTTGGTCTGGGCTGCCTTCTTCAGCCTCTCGCTATCCTCGGGGTTGATGTCCTTGGTCTTGGCCTCGTCGTCGTCACTGTCGCCGAGGCTGAAGGGGTCGTGGTCGTGGGGCTCGGGGTGGGGCGCGATGGAGGTCAAGGGCTGCCACTTCTTGCCGCTGGACTTTGCCTGGCTGCCGGGCTGGTTGCTGGGCGAGGGGTTGCGGTAGAGGGCGTCGACCTCATCGACGGGCCCGCTCTGGGGAGGGGCGACGGGCGTGGGCTTGAAGAGGTCGGGGTTCGCGTGAGGGCGGCTCGAGCGCGGGCCGGTGCCTGGTGGTGTTGTCAGCATGTCGTAGCTGCCAGTGTGTGAGACGGCAGGCGCACCGTCGTTGTCGCGCAGCTCGAGCTGGGCAAAGTCGTCGCCAAGCACGCGGTTGTCGGCGTCGTAGCGGGCGTGGTCCTGGGAGCGGCGCTGCTCGGCCGACTTGCGGATGCCGTACAGCTGGTCGGCCTGCGAGGGGCCAAAGTTCTGGCGCGGGTGCTGCGACGGCTGGCGCGGCGGGCGGGCGTTGTCGGTCGGGTACGAGGTCGGGTTGCCGTACTGGTCGTACTCGTCGGCCTCGTTGTCGAGCTTCTTGCGGATCGAGGTGAGGCCCGTGTTCCACAGGCTGCTGAGCGTCTGCTGCGTCTCCTTGAAGCCCTGCTCGATCGTCTTGCGGATCTCGGGCAGGTCGTCGTCGAAGAAGCTGTGCTCGCGGTCGCTGGCCTGGCCGGGCGCCGCTCTGCTCGGCGCCGGCCTGCTCTGGCCCGCGCCCGGCCGGCCCTGGCTGCCCTGGACGCTGTAGTGCTCGGCCAGCTGGCGGGCGTACTGCTCGTCCTGCTGCAGCTGCGCGCGGGGCTGCGGCCGCGGCGGCTGCGGGGGCGGCGCCTCGTCGCTCGTGAAGTTGGGGTCCGACATGCCTGCACGCGCCCGTCAGCTGCCTCGCACCGTGACCGCGGGGCTGCACCGGCACCTACTCAGCAGCGCGTTGAAGGCCGGCTCGACCTTGCCGTTGCTCGCGACCAGCACCGCCTTGACCAGCTTCGTGTCCATGTCCGGGAACGCCTCGATCAGCGTCTTCTCGGCCTGCTGCATGGGCGACATGGGCCGCGGGGGCTTCGGCGGCGGCACCTCTGTCGCCTCTTCGCTGGGGCGCGCCGCGTGCTTGGGCGACGTGGCCGTGCTGACGTCGTTGTCGTCGTCCCAGTCGAGCTCGCGTGCCGTCGTCGGGCTCTCAGGCCGCTGCTCCACCCGTCAACTCAGTCTCTCGCTCAGCCCGCCATTCCCACCTTGTCTGCGCCCGTCTTCTCCGACATGCCGAGTCGTCCTGGACGTGTATGTATATACGTATGTGTGTATGGATATACGTATGTGTGTCTGTCTATACGTGTCGGGGCGTTGGCGTGTATGCGTGGGCACGTGTAGACGTGAGGCGGGGAGTAGGCGTGCTCGGACGACGCTGTCAAAGCCCAACGGTTGTGGCTTGTGGGGTTGATCTGCGCCTGCCTACGCCATCCCATGACGAACCGCCAAGACGTCAACTCGAGCTTGTTCATCACGTGCCGTTAGTCATCTGCATCACGTGCATCCCACCCCACAGCTGAGTTTCATCTCGGTCGTTCTCGCGGGCAGTAGGGCTCATGCCTCCGACCTTTGCACATGCAGCCATCATCTATCGCAATCTAGCCAACGCCAGCCTCTTCGTGAGCCGAGCTGTGACCTCTCGCTGCCGTCTGCTGCAGCTGCAGTACATGTGCCTAACCGCGCCTGCAGATCCATCTTAACCCATCTCACCTACCACCGGCTCCCGGAGCACCAGGTACAGAACTATCTTCATTGCCTGATGCATATACTCTGCGCCATGGACCTGATTAGAAGAACCTTATGCCCGCGCATTGTCTCAACTATATAGGTAGTCTCAACTTTACACGTAGTGCCTATCGTCGTTCTGACTTCCTGAGTATCAGCCGTCTGCACGTGATGATCTTGTCGATCCCGAGACGCTCTGCTACGCACCCGTGTTTCGTCATTCTACGTTTCAATCCCAACGACGTTCCTTGCCCGCCAGCCTTGGCTAATGTCCACACACGTGCTGCTCATATTGTCCGACTTGACGGGCACCATGATCCCTCAAACGCCCATGGTTCTGTCAATCCCGCTAGCACTCAGGCACCAAAACCCTTGCGCAACACGGAAGGATGCTCGGACGGCGTTGCCGCTATTTGACATCTCGCGAATCGACTTGTCCGGAGGCCTCGCCATACCTGCATTCGCGCCCGACAAATCAACACATCGACCTCGCGAGCCTGACTCGCTTCTCTTCCCAACTTGTGCGCCACAGAGCATGACATGCGCTGGGCTCACGCTGATCTCGCACCTATCCACCTTGGGTTTCGACGAGATGCTCTCCCTTGCCCTTGTAAATCTTTCTCCAGTCCCATTCCCAAATCACGCTAAGGTTGAGTCATGATAGTGCGCATTTCTTCAGCGGAGTCTCTCCGATCCAAACCGCTTTTCAATCGTCTTGCTTGGCGATCATCTAGTGCATCTGGCATCCCTAGTACACATCAACAATCCTTCGAGATTGTCGACCGGGACAGTCTATCCGCCGGGCTAAACCCAAGCCTCATTTGCCTCTTTCAGGGTACATCCTAACCACCAATGCACATCACCTTACCGTCTGTGCCCTGATTGGCTTGGGGCCTCACCCGTTTTCCAAGGACAACCTCTTTGTCAAACAGCCCCGAAGAAGTGCCATCTGAGATTTCAAAAGGGTCCTCTGGACGGTGTGCGACTCGTGGAAAACGCCACCGCTCGCCCGGATTCCGAACTTAGTCTTGACTCAAACACTCATCAACCGCGCCTCCTGGACCAGCGATCTAGTTCTTGTTAGAACGCTTCTTCAAACATGAAAAGATGCATGTCTCCGCATCATCAGTTACCATCCTAGTGCTCTCCCAATACCCTGGCATCTCATGCAGCCCTACATCTACATTCCATCGTACCACATCCATCTCTTTGACTCCACACCCGGTCCTGCCTTTCGTTACCCACTTCCTGGATCATGAACCATGAGTATCGAGTCGACCCTTCGTTCAAGCCGTGGGGCCCCTTCATCTCCAAATCCTATGTAGTTGAGCCCATCAGGAAGTCCGACATCATCGTCGCTTCGATCGTATGGGCCTTGACCTTGGTTAATGGAGGTATCGCTGTCTACCTGGGATGGGGACAAACAAAGGGTTCGCGTTCCCCGCTGAGGAGTGTGTATGTCTGGATGATATGGCTTGAGCTTGTCACGTCTCTTGTTATGGGCCTGGAGAGTTTCCTGCATCTTTTGAAAGTTATCAAGCCGAGTAAGTTGACCTTTTCGATATGCGTTCCCGACTACAAGCTGACAGATGACAGGTTTTGCATTTTATTTTACAATCCGTATGTTACCCGTTGTCCTGTCGATGCCGTCAACGCTCAATTCGCGTACAACGTGTCTTGTTGATACCAACAACTTTCCAATTCCACGTTCTGACGCTTCATAGTCTTCTTTTGGTGTATTCAAGTTCAGCTGCTCTTGCAAATCATTATCAACCGTATCCGCATCATCGTACCCGACCGCAGACGCTCAAGAATGATCATGATTGCGACAGCTGCCTTTGTCACGGCCATCAATATCAGCGTTTTCAACATCTGGATACCAGCGCGCTTGCAAATCAGTCATAGGTATGTTTCGAATTCCACCTCTACTCCAATATCATGCGCATTCTCGTCTTTGCCCCACCCACTAACATAATGCAGGTATCATATCATCAATGAGTACTGGGACCGCAGTGAAAAAGCCCTCTACTTAATCGTGGATGCTATACTCAATTGGTACTTCCTCAAAACTGTCAAAGCGAACCTCATCAACAACGGCCTCACCAAATACAACAAGCTGGTCCGCTTCAATCAACGCATGGTTGGCATTTCACTACTCATGGACGTCATGATCATTGCAGCAATGTGGATTCCAAATTCATTTGTGTAAGCCACGCACCTCCCCGTTATTCATCCTAAACTAACGTGCCGTAGGTACATTCAATTCCATCCTCTCGCCTACCTTGTGAAGCTCAACATCGAGATGGTCATGGGCAACCTCATCAAACGCATCGCCATCTCCGCTTCTCGCCGCCCAGGCAAAGCAGCGCTCGCAGACGAATTCAAATCCTCGTCCAACATGTCGACCTCGGGCAAAAAGTCCAAAGCTACGGGGCTCAAGTCACATCGACATTCTTCCATTCACGAGCTCGCAAGTGTTGTATCGTACAAAGCGGATTCCCATGCTACCGACCGCGTTGCTAGTTTCTCGCCGATGCACAACCAAATCAAAGAGACCCGAGAAGTCATTGTCAGTACCGAGCGGAATCCCTTTTTCGAGGAGAAGAGACGGGGTTCCGAGGTGGAGATTACGGGTGCATATACAGCAGCAAGGAAGGAGAAAGAGCAGGGCGTTCTGATCGACGAGACGTTGGTGGAGAGGAGCAAAAGCTTGGAGAGTGTCATGGAGGGCGACGAGAGTGTGAGGAGTGCACAGATGACCTTGAGAACCCCTGGGGATAGTGACGACGAGGCAGCGCTTGTGGGGCATCGCGTGTGGAGAAAGAAGTCGCCAGAATGATTGGCAGGCCGTGTCAGTCATTTCGCGCAATTATTCAAGCGTAATATCATACACACATGTTTTATTTCAGAGGACTTACACAATATGCTCAATGGCCTGTATCGTGGCACAGCAATGCGCAATCACCCAACAGGCTCACTGCGCTTCAAAGATACGCCATCTCACCGCTAGATATACTAAGATGTGCTTGCGTCATTGTCTCCTGGCTTTCGCTTGTAACAACATGCTCATTTGCTTCCAGCTTTGTTATTGACAGGGTGGAAGCGAGCTGTCGCCTACGCCGCTGGCTTGCTTTCGCTTGAATGGAACTTAAGCGATGCGGCGTGGGCATGTGGCGCGAACACGAATGGAGAGTCAGATCGATCGAGCAACAAAGAGGCATGATACGGAAGGATCCAAATGCAAGATCCGGTGCAAAGGAAGATGGTAATTCAGATCTGAGCTCGAACCATTGTTCTGTGGAGGTTATTACTAGATATCACCAGGGCCACGATGCGGGGATTGATGCTTGGCTGAACAACTTGTCCGTGCGGGGAAGGATGCCGCGGACCGACCACCCATCAAGGCGCATACCGGAACCCTTCCACGCCCTCCAAAGCTGGTTTCTTGCCCTCGTCCGCAAGCTTGTTCATCCGCTTGAAGTGCATGGACATGGAAAGTGTCAAGGTCGAATATACCATCTGCATCGAGATGGTGGCCCACATGCCTGGCAGATATTGCTTCTCTACGTCAGCTTCACAGTTGCGTTTGATTGTATGAGCTGACTTACTGGTGCATCTTTGCTCTTGAAGATGGTACTTCCTGTAACGCCTCCAAAGGCTCCAGCGGAGATCATGGCTGCGGCAACCACTGCACGCTTCTGTAGTTTCGCAGTCTGATTGTTGCCGTACGCCAGTGTCGCGGGTATGTTCCCCTGCGTGCTGCATGTAATCAGCACAAGACATGACATGAGTCGTACGGGCAAAATGCTTACCCCCAGGTTGCCAAGAACAGCCCAAAATACCTCACGCCGGGGAGTCCGCCATACAGCACAATCACCAGACCGACAATGGCGACTACAGATTGCCCTACCAGGATTGGCCATCGCATACGGATCTTATCTGACAGCCATGATGTCGCGAGAGACGCGAAGACGGTGAATATATATGGGGGCGATTGAAGCAGCTGCGCTTTCACGTACGAGAACCCCATGCCCTGCCGAAGAATGATAGGCTGGAAGAAGGCCAGGGAGTACACACTAGACGCGCACACGAAGTACTGGATGGAACTGCCGCGCGTCAGTACGTCTCAGCCTTGATCAGGGGAAATCAGCACTAACTATACTGCCAGTTTCCAGTCCATGAGCATCTTTAGCATCTCCCCGATAGTGGCATGTTCGGTTTCCACGCCCTTCTTCTCCAGCGTGACCCGCGTCACAGCGATGTGCTTCTGGCGTTCGGTCAGGAATCTGACCTTTTCGGGAACTACCCTTGTCAGCATGGTACCGTGCTGTGTTGTCAGGATCTGGGCTTTACATTCGACGAGGAAAAATGGCGCCACAAGTCCCGCAAGGATCGTCGCGATTCCCTCGATGATGAAAATCCAGCGCCAACCGCTCCTGTACATGCCATCGCCTACGCGGATGAGTGATAGCACGTATGCAAACTGCTTCTGGTCAGGATGTAGCTTCGCATACACTTTGAACGACTTACAATGGGCCCGAATCCGGATGCTAGCAACGCTGCCATGTAGAAGACCGATACTCGTTTCGCCGTCTCAAATTGCTTGTACCACGAACCTATGATGTAGACGGCGCCAGGAAACACTCGACGATGTTAGCTACAGCTTGCAAGAAGATTGTATCTAGCGGACTTACACCCAGCCTCGAAGACACCCAGAAGCGCACGAAGAACAGTCAATACCTTCCAGCTATAAACAAAGCCCATCCCGAAAACGCAAGCTCCCCATGCAACGATAAGAAAAGACAGCCATAACCGCGCTCCTAGTCGACGAATCACATAGTTGGATGGCAGTTCGAACAAGGCATAGCCTATAGCTTCTTTAGCACCCGGCACTCAAATCTGTAGTTCGTACTGACCTATAAAGAACACAAGGAGCGCAATATTGTATCTCGCCCCAACACTGAGCTGCAGATCTTTCGCGAGACCGGCAATGTACGCAGACGATATGTTTGTCCGATCGAGCAGCGACAACCCAAAGATTATGCATAGCATAGGAAACACACGCCAGTCTGCTTTGCGTCTGCATGTGATGTGAGTCTCGCGCCAACGTGGTGCAGATTGAAACATACACTATCTCTCGCTCTTCCTCCGCCGTCCAGTCTTGCTCGGGATGACCGTCATTGTCTCCAGAAATCGGGTAAGCCTTCTCAACATGAGTTAGGTCGTTCTTTTCGTCAATCATCTTGAGTCCGTTCTCGTGTGCATCCAATACTTGTCCAAAGAACCAGGTACGAGGTTGCCTTTGTACTAGATCGACCTGGCATTGCAGGAGGGGGTGGTCACGGCTATCTACTCCAGCGCCATCTTCGGCAGATGTTCACGTTGCAGGTCGCCTATATCAAAACCACATCGAATAGCAGTAAAGGTTCTTCGCCATATTTGGTATGGCCGTTACTTGGCGCTGCAGCTCCCCAGCTGCCAAGCACATAGAGTGTGGGGTAGAGGGTATGGATGGTGGAGAATCCCCGCCGAGCATGCAGGATAAACCGGCATTCGCGTGGGTTTGTGTCGCGCGGAACGTGTCGAGCATAGGTTTCGGATGCTTGTTGCGTGGGTTGATGGCTGAGTCTCGAACATCGAGTCGACTTCTAGGCGATGTTACGGATGTTTAGAATTTGAACATAGACGCCGTAAGCGCAGTATATGTCCATTGACCAAGATCATGCTTATTTCACTAAAAGGCCTGTTTACGTTTCTATCAAGGTTCTACTCACATATTGATACATAATATCATTTAGCACTCAAGGTTCGCTTTCTGGTCACCCTTTTGTGTTCTGCCTCGATACCCAATGTTCTGCGAACACTTCACATGCATAACAGAATTCCCCAACCAAATCAGAATCTTGTTGAACGTCATATGCTTCGAGGTCAATATGTGTTAAGTCGCTATATGACTATCGCAAAATGCGATCAAGGCTTTGCCAATTAGTTTCGAGCCTGAACCCCAATAGTGCTGTTCAACGACGCTGTCGATGGCGACGAACGTGACAACCATCAGAAAGAGAGACGACCACAACATAATTTTGCTACTATTGTGTGAGACAGACGACAAGTATATGCTCCTGATGAATGACAAGTGGTACATCTCATTCAGATATTGTTGCCGTGTCAAGTAACACCAGAATGAAGAAACTTTTTCGCATTCTTGAAACGTCACTGCGTAGACGAAAATCACCTAGCCGCCGCGAACCTGCAGTTCGGCATGAAGAGACAGTCCTGCTTGGATCGAAGGCTCTTCTATTCTTCATTTGCAGACCAAGAGAGCGTGCAATTTCCAGCGTCTGTGTTAGTAATAGACAGTAACTCTCGGGGACAATGGTTGTTATGAAACCTATACGCAAAAGCCTAAAGCTTCTCATTGTAAGGATGTGCTGAATGGCACTCTCCTGTCGACAGAACATTTGATTTAGTGAGATTAAATTGACTACAAGCAATAAGACCAATTCTATCGAAGAGAATATCGACTACACGCAAAGGTATGTGAGGCGTGATTTCTTTATATCCAATTCGAGGATTGCTTGTCATGAACTTGAATCATTTCGTGGACACAGGTGTGAATGGAAACGTCTTCTGGTTATACCATGAAACCCACATCCAATGGTCTAGACAAATTACATACGTGGATTTAACACAAGTAGAAAGAATGTGGCAGGTTGAATAATGTAATTTATTGTACACCCTATGAATGCCGTTCTGTAAGATGAAGAAATACACTGACTGATTAACCACCATGTAGTGACAACAAGTAGTGCTTAATGATCATCATCAGCAACCCTGATGACCACTGCGCCAACACCAGTTCCCTTATTCCAAGTACGATGCGCCTCTGGCACTTCATCCAGTGCCCACACCTTCCTGATTGGTACAGTCACCTCACCCGTTTTCAACATATCCAAGCAGGCTCTCACTTCTGGCTCAAACGTGACTTGATCCCGACTGATATAAAAAAAGTTTGTCTTGTTGGGGCAAAACGGGTTCATGTTATTCGCCAGTAATTTCGCAATGTATAGTACTGGATTGCGCGTCTTACGCCCGTTCAACGAATCGAAATTGCCGCCATAGCCGACGAGTCGTCCACCCTCTGGTGCCAGGATGTTCCAACTCTCATCCCACGACTCGAAACTTAATGGATCGAAGACAAAATGTGCACCGCCGATGGTGTTTACTGCCATCATCCAGTTTTTGTTGGTGTACACAAAGGGTGTTGCGCCTGCTTTGCGGACTGCAGCGTGATTGTGCTCAGATGCTGTTCCAAAAACTTCCGCTCCTTGTAGCTTGCAAAAGGTCAGAAGAGCATATCCGACTGAACCACTGAGGCCATGAATAAAGACACGCTGACCCTTTGATATTTTGGCGGTTCGAAATGCCATGCCGTATGCGGTAGACCAGTCAAGGACCATGGCAACGGCTTGTTGGACATCTAGCCCCTCTGGTACGGGAATGAGGTACTTCTCGGGCTGGTTACATAGCTCAGCCTGAGCATCATAGACTGTGAGACAAGCGACGAGACTACCGGCCTGATATTTTGAGCAATTGGCTCCGTTCTGATGCACTCGGCCGATGAGTGAATAGCCAGGAGTCAAAGGCGCTTTTTTCTGCATTGGGTAGACTCCTACTCGCATCGCAATATCTGCGCCACCCATCCCAGCATATAAAACCTTGATCTGAACTTCGTTGGGTGCTGGCGGTGAGATCTTGGCAGTAACCATGGAGACCTGTGACGCGTCGCCGAAGCTAGAGATCACAATCTTGCGGTTGGTCGTCGTCATACTGAGCGTTGAGCGATTGCTCCAAAAGACTTCTCAGGTAGGGAGATTGAATGTATTTTGTTGACTGCGAGTGAAATATGGCGGTCGATGTGAATGAGGACGTTTCTTGTTCGCCATGATAGCAGTTTATAGGCGTAGAATACACGGAGCATGGAAAGATGGGAGTATCGTTGCACCCCGTCTTATGTGATGCGGAGTGATCGCTACCTTCCAACCTTCCATCTTGCAGTTTGCGGAGAGACGATATCACCCGCTCGGAGGGTTGTTCATCCGTCAGGCGGACGTTACTACAAACGCAGCTAGCGCATCGCTAATCTTGAACTCGTCTATTGCACCGTCCTGCCTGAGATTTTGGGCCGGCTATCAACCAATTATGCTGCGTCGGCGAGTCGGCGCTTACTCCCTTTGCGCGAACTTAAATCTCCCAACTCACATTTGTTAGACATTAGTGTTCTCAGTTTGCTACGTTTCAACGCAATTCTATTGGCTCGTTCTCCAGGACCTGGATGAAGGGATAAAATGTGGGGCTGAGGGGCTTTATGTCACCATTTAACATCACCTATTACTGATAGCAGCCTTGCTCCGCTCTGTTGATCGCAGTAGTCTCGATGTGTCGTCTGCTTGTTGCTTTTTCAAAATGCGTCTCCACTTGTTGGGCAAACCCTTTCTTTTCTTTTCGGATGGCCTCCCGCCGTACCCCATTTCTGCAGACCCTGCCTTTTCCAGCGATCCATGCATCATCACGAGGATGTGCCGTTCCTTCCAGCATTCCGGGTCGATCGTGGCTTGAATCTAGACGGGAGATCTTCACGATGCCGGGATGTCAAAGGAATTTGCCGAACCCATGAAGAGGTCAATGCTGAAGAAAGTGTGTCGCTCTTTGACCGCCACGAGGCATATGTTCACGCACGAGATGAGGATGAGATATATGGATATTTCGTATATACAATAGAGGTGGAGACCGTTTCTCTGGTCGCCGAACATACTTCGCCGAGAAAGCACATATACACCTCATTAGACTTTACACGAGGCTTTCGAATCGCGTCTTCCAAACGAACAATTTCTTCCTCGAGCTAGCCTTTTGTAGTGTTACACAGGAGGAAGAGTTGTCTTTCTCTTGGTAAGTCCTAGTAGTGTGTGCGCGAATGATACCTACAACCCCCCTTTTCTTGGTCTCGGATTCACAACCCAGACCTTGGTGTTTCTCTTCTTTGGATGTGCTTGAGGGTAGATCGGCCGACAACGGCTTGGAGGCCCACCTGCAGTGGCGATCGATCAAATGGTCTTCGATGAATCTCGCAAGTAACTCGACATCTTGCCTGGTACTCATGGCCCCGAGCGTTACTCTGATCATGCCAAAAAGTACTCCTCCTCGCACGTCTTGTTGCTGGTTACACCGAAATCCCGCATTGAATGCTCTCTGAATTTCTGTTGTACTTATCTCGAGTGCGCATGCCATCCCAGCAGGGTTGCATAGGCCGCCTGTTCGCACATGTATGTTCTTTGCCCTTAGCATTGCGCCAACTTGCCAGCCGCTCATCCACGACCCATCGCTTTTCCTGATATTGAAAGCAACAGTCGCTCCTTGTGTTGTCGCATCATCATAGCTCGATTCAGGTGCTTTATACATGTGACAAACCGATGAACCATTGGCATGTTTAAGCTGCGTCATTCTTTCGTACAATAGCTTGGCTAGCCATCCAGTATGATCAGAGACGCTTCGAAGCCCGCCAAAGAGCTCCTGATGGGTGTCAATGGCACAACTCAAAGCGAGTATGCTACGAATAGCAATTGTACCATCTTCCCATCGAGCGTGGATGCTGGACTGTTTTCGCGCGACCCACTGACCATCAATACAGGTTATCATCTCAGTGGTCCCGCCACCGAAGTATTTCCTATGGTCTAGAGCATGAGCAGAAGCTTTGCGGACGATTAGGGCGCCGAGGTCTGGAAAGCCGAAGATTTTGTAGAATGACAAGGCGACAAAATCTGGGGCGGAAAGGTGATTGCTCAGGTTGAGTGGACTTGTTGATACCAGCGCTGCGACATCAAGTAGTGTGTACGTGGCTGGATGGCGTGTGGAGGATCGGATTTGGGTAGGCCAGTATAGCGGTAATCGTTGGCCGTTCATATTCGACTGAGCAGGGTATGCAAACAGAACTGGTCTCGCACTTGCGTCTCCTTCTGTGACCTCAGGTCCTTCGTCTAACCATCGTCTTGTTTCTTCATCTGAGGTAAGACAATGACTTCGGCTTGCGACTTCTCGAACTCCAACAAGACTGGTGTGGCAGTTTCGGTGATAGTAGTAGTCGAAGCCGCTGTCGTTTCCCGAGAACCCTTCCATGACCAATTTTATAGCTCCTGTAGCATTCGCTGTGAACACGACATCGAAGTGATCTGGGTCAGCGTTGAAGAGCTTCAGTACCTTCAGCCGGGTTTTCTCAACGATAACAGCAGATACGCTGGGGTTTGCTGCATCGGAGTGTGGGTTTGCTAGAAGGTTCGACTGCATTTCCCGGCAGAACGACTGCAACAGAGATTTACTAGCCAATGTGGTACCACCGTGGTCCAGATAGGTAGTGTCTGATCGGTGTCAGCCTGAACCCGTATCAAGCATGCTGCAGCTGGCTTACCTCTCAGCATAGGGAACTCATGATCCCTCATCTTTTGAATGCGCTCATTATAAGCAGTCCTTGTTTGCTCCGGGGTCTGACGTTGGACTCTGTCCACGGCAGTCAGCCATTGTCGAATGAGGTGCATTGTGCCAGTGCGAAGTAAAGGTTGGACAAATCCAAGTCGTCGCAATCACAATCACAGACTCGATAAGAAGGAGCGTGTTCTTGTCGATAAGCGAGGATAGATACTGTACCACGATTAACTTATATGTCCCTTTTCTGTCTCATTGCCTAGTAACAGTATTACTTTTGTTCATAGGAAATGGTCGGCATCAAATTTCCCTAGAGGTGTTTGTACTTCTTTGTGGGTCTTGACTTGATCTATTGGGCCCAGTCAGTCACGCTTGTTGCTTCCGGCCCCAATAGGAAGGACTGCCTCTGCGCGCAGCAGTTGCACGTCCGATCGTGATTGCTCTACCGACTCTTTTGGTAAACATGGCAGGGGCAGACGAGGTCCTCACGTACTATCTTTGCGGGGCCAATCACCTGGGTCTTGCTGTTTCCCACCAAGAGTCAATCGCATACCCCTCTCAACACCCGTCTCAATACTAACAACTACGAAACGCTGCAATTGGCTCGGCGCGCATCAGTAAGCGTCAGGACAGGCAGAAAATTCAGGCCATTGACCCTATTGCATCAGACTATGTAAAGGCGCCTTGGAAGAGCGAGTAAAGCCGTGAATGGCTGTCGAATATGGTGGAAAGAAGCCTATAATGCCGAATTGATGATGGTCGTAAGCTCGGGAGTCGTGGCACATACCCACTTTTCTACGCTTTGCCCAGCAATCCCACGTTAGGCCCATGCTTACATCTCGGTCAACGAATGCAACTCTTCCCGCCCTATCATCAGGCGTCAGCATTGCCACAGTAAGCTCTAATGAAGGCAATTGCCTTGCGCCTTAATTGATCGATTGTCAAGTGCTTGTTGTTACCAGACATAGACGTATGAACAAAAGGTAAGTTACTGTGTCATCTCCTGGTCGAGTTTAAAGTTCTAATTCGGTCCATAAATATCCTAGACCTCTTACGACGTGTCGACTGATCGCACCCAGCTACGAACTTGACTGCGGGGCGATGAGCTAAGAGACGCAAGATCTTGTAAAGTGAAGTCATGGTTCGTTCAGTAGAAAGCTCGGATTCATAATATGTGGTCTCTCAAAAGAACGAGGAGTTCCTTTCTCCGGCGATACCAGTATCCGAATTGACGGACTCCGGAAAAAGCAACAGCTGATGAACGAACAAGCACACCTGGGATTTGAAGCTGTCATGCGTCTATAGATGTCTGCGCTACCCACAGCCCTGCTGTCACATTGGTCTGGCTGACAATGTCGCGTTGCGGTCAGCCGCTATGGACCTTGATCAAGATTGTTGTCATGCATTGATTCCCAAAGTAGGAAGAGGTCGAAGCTTGCGTCGCGCATTCCGGGCACCAACGAGGAAGTAGCGTGGCGGAGTGGGTCCACACATCCATGTGCGGATCTCACATGCGCTTCAGGTTAATATCGCCGCCTTAGCTGATTAGTTCGCGTTTATTTGTCAACGTGGCACACATCATGTTCCAGGAAATTTTGAAAGCTTAAAGCGTTGTTGCCTAGATGCGAGTTGTCAATGTTTTCCATGCAATAAGTCATTAAGTTGTTCTTCAGACATGGTTTCTTGCTGGCATGAACGATCGCCAAAACATGGCAATGAGATAAATACGTGATACTGTAGTCGCTGATGGTTGATTTAAACCGACAGGACGGTCTGTGGCGCCATGTTGCGAGTACGATTCGTCAATCAAGCTGTTCCCCCATGTAGCAGCTGCAAAGTCCTAACACGTCACACTGAGCTGTATGATCGCCGGTAGGGTCTAGCCTTGAGAATGACGGCCCGTTCCCCGTGGACCTTTTTCGATATCGTTTACACATCTGAATGCCGTGTCCACTTGCTAATTCCGCCTCAAGCTAGCAAGGGACATTGAGGCTCTAGACTATGCACACCTTATCGACTAGCTACCGCGAGGCTTGACTGTGGAGAGATGTAGTACCCTCGAGGGATCTTACCGAACACTTGCTAGCTCGCGGCGGAACTGTCAATCACATTGACTTGCTAGCTCGCGGCGGAACTGTCAATCACATTGACTTGCGCCGCTACAGCAAACCCACGCAACCACGAACCGGGCGAATGATTCTCATGCTCACTGAATGCTATCTATTTACCTTACACATGAACTATTCGGACTTGCGTTCTGTTATCCCACCACTAAGCTTAACCAGGTGCCTTCTACCGTAACAGAGTCTTTATTCATTCAGCTTCTGCCACTAATGGTTCGGATTAACACCTTGAATTGCTTCAGAAACTGTCATCTTGGATTTCTTGGTCCTCTCACACCGCACTTCGGAGTCTACGTATTACAGGTCACCAAGGTTTCATGATATGAACTAGTCAAACTCTTAGCTCCCATGAGTTTACATAAGAGGTAACACGTTGAAGCGATGGAAACTTGAATTCAAGAGTTGCCTGAAAGACGTGTGGGTATTCATCACGTGAGAAAGTAAAAGAGTTACCGGTCGGTTGTATGCCGTTATTTGATCGCTCACTGTGTCTGCCGGAGATATGATCCTGCTGTTTATAAATGTTGGGTGTCATCTTACATGCTGCTTCGGAGTCATGTGAAAATTTGACGTCACTTTGATTTGTGCAATTCAGTGATGCGCTCGACTAAAACTGTACAAACCCAGAAATAAAGAACGAGTGGATTCGTAGCACGAGAATCCAAGTGACGAACAAAACGCCATATTCGCCAATGTCCTCGACATAGACGCAAACAGGCTAGTTTAAGCAGGCATTTGATACAATTATGTGTGCGGATGGTAAGTCAAGATCCTGGCAAGTTTGAATATGTAAGTGAGGCAAATACAGGTGATTAGCGGTATCGATGACATGCATTACATGATTCGTCTCGTCTAAGTGTCACATCCAATCGACACATCTGAGCTCAGACAATCCAACCCTTCTGCTGCAGGCCCTTCTTACTCCACTGATGACTGCCGGTGGAGTTGCCCACCCTGTGCTTCTCCTCAAAGAGAAACTTGGAGAGTTGTCTATACAAGAATTTGCCATCATTGTTGTAAACAATGCTGTGATCGCTGTCGGTGAAGAACGTGTTTTGCATCTTCTCGGGAGTGACTCGGGCGCCCATCAAGAGATCGACAAGTGCAGCCGAGTTTTGGAAGTGAACATTATCATCACCAGTACCGTGTTGAATCACGACCCCACCCGCAATTTGCTTGAAACCTGTGGCGTCGTGAACGCGGGACTTGTTGTATCCTTCCACGTTCTCATCAGCCAGTTTCATGTAGCGTTCGGTGTAGATGGAGTCGTAGAAGCGCCAATCGCTGACCGGGGCAGTGATCATAGCGAAGGAAATGGCAGGGTCGTTTACTTCAACGACCTTGGAGCTGAGGTAACCGCCGTAGGACCACCCAAAAATACCCATATGGTCACTGTCAACCCACTCGTTCTTTGCTAGCTCCTTGGCAGCCCAGATCTGATCGAGAGCCTCAAGTTCACCCAAATTCCTAGTCACGAGCGAACGAAATTCACGACCCTTACGGGCGGTACCTCGGTTATCGACCGTAAACGTTATGTATTCGAGCTCGGGATCGGAAGTTATGTAGGCATGCCAGTTGAGCGCGTTGAAGGCCTTAGTGACTTGCTTGGCATTTGGTCCTCCATACGGGTTCAAAAGTAGAGGATACTTCTTCGTAGGGTCGAAATTGGGTGGTAGGCGAAGCATGGCATCGAGAGTGTAACCAGAGGGGTGCTCCATGTCCATGTAGGTGATATTCGGAAGATTGTATTCTTGAAGCGTGTTCCATAGGGCCTTGTTGTCAACAATCGTACGGACAGGCTCCGTAGAATTGAACGTATAGAGCTCTTGATATGGCACATCAGGGCCTCCATAGCGGAGGACGTAGTAGGATCCACCGGAAGAGAAAGATGCTGTCCAGAAAGCAGACACGGTATCATCGACAAGGGCTTTCTTCTCCTTCGTTTTGAAGCTTATTGAGTAGACATGCGACTCGGTGCTGTGATGCTCGGTTGAAGTGTAGTATACGAGCCCTCGAGTGACGTCTACCTTGGGCACAGTAAGGACTTCCCATTCGCCGGATGTCAGGGGTATCTTGTCGCCGCCAGCCACAGGTGCTAAGTACAAGTGATTCCAGCCGTCCTCATCGGACTGGTCGAGGTAGTACTCGGTGCTCGAATTATTGGAACCTGCAAGAGAAGTGTCGATTGCACCGAGATACATGATGCTCAGCAGATTTTCTAGCCATCCGTCGCTGCCGTCGCGCTCGCGAACCACCGAGGACGAGCCTGAGTCGACGTCCACAACAACTATTTTCTCTTGATCTTGAACACGGTTGTAAGCGCGGAAAGCGACCCGGCTGTGGCCTTCAGTGAGCCAGACTACCTCGCCAATCACGAGGTTGTCTTCTTGGAACGCGTCGATTGGGATACTTTTGTAATCTCCAGATGCGACGTCCAGTAGATTGAAGCCGACAGTAGGGTTCTTGGTGCCAACTTTGGGGTAACGGAGCTCGAGCTCGCAAGTGTATACATCCGCAATGTCTTCACCACACATGTAGTATGGGATCGTGAAGGTGCCAACCCCGGTCTCGTTAAAGCTGAGAAACGCGATTTGAGTACCGTCAGGCGAATACCATAGAGTGTAGCGGTCACCAAAAACCTCTTCTTCGTAGACCCAATCAGGAACACTGCAAGAGACGTGTTAGTCCTGTGAAAGCGAATCAGGGTCATCTTTTTACTGAACTTACGCGTTGAACCAGTCGGGACCTCCATTCTCAGTAATCTGCTTGATGCTGCCGTTGTTCCATAGGTGAAGATCGTTGCCCTTCACGAACGCGATCTGGGAAGATGTGATCGGACTCCATTCTGCATACTGGATCGTGCCGTTGGACTCAGGGTCCAGAGACGTAACCTCTCCAGTCGCGACATCTTGTATTAGGTAGTCGGCATAGTAGCTGTGTCGATACAGTTTAGTATAATTAACGGCCCAGAGAACGTGGCTCGCATCGGGTGATATCTGGAAATCCCAGTAGTCGGCTGGGATCTTATCAGCCGACAAGAACGTAGAGCTTTCACCACTCGCGATATTTTCAAAGAGCAAGGAACCGTCAGCGCCAGCGAAGATGTAATCGCCATCCTCGCCAGTTCCAACCCAGCTAAAAGACCGAGTTTGTGCTGAAAATTGACCTGGGCTATCGGTGGTGAGGTTGTAGTTCAGCCGTTTGGTGCTGTTCGAGCTCCCCAGAGGTTGATGCGGAAGTCGAGGAGGCTCAATTGCGTGTATCAGCGGTAGAGTAGCCGCGAGTACTGCAAAGAAACGCATGACAATAGACAGCAAAGCAAGTCAGGCTGCTGACACGAGCGTGAGGATGGAGATGCAGCACGTCTTGGGCGCAAATCGAATCGGCCCGCAGGACAGTGGTACGAGGACAGCAGTCGAAAGCCCAAGAGCCCCTGCCACAGAGGAGATAGTCATGGGGTGATTTATGTACTGCCCATAAAGTTTGTGGTACATATCGCGCAAGCATTTACCCGTAATCGAGCTGCCACATCGAGTAGGTGTCAAGCACGCCAAGGAATACCAAGCGCTCAGTAACCCAGCAAAACAAGGCCGTTGATAATGCCCAGGCGACTGAACATGAGAGAGGAAGGTGGAAACCTCGAATCAAGGGACCGTCCGTACGATAGCCTTGATAGTCGCATGCGATGGGATCAGGAGTGACGCGAGGGCGCCTGCAGGTACAGACCCCGCACGTTTATAGCTCCGCTTATCGATGCGCTGTGCTTACTGTGTATCTGCATTGTCTGATGTCCATTCCTTAATCAGATTCTTAAACATAGAGGCTCGAAAGAGGGCAAACTCAGAAATCTACCAATCTATCACGCGATAACACGTCGAAAGGCGTGATAACGTTCAAACCTAGGAGCATCAAGTTAGGGCAAGGTTAATGGCTTTGTGAAGTACGAGGGCATAAAAACTCGCCGTAATGATAAGTTAATATAAATAACCAAGAATATTAAGACAGTGTTTATAGTCTAGTACGGGAAGAAGACTATTTATAATCTTGCTTAGGATACAACAACAACGAATTAATATATAGAAAGGTGTCGCTAAAAGTAACTATTAAAGAAAAAGTATAACTAATTAAGGACCTAAAATAAACTAAAAATAAGGACTAAGTACAAGTGCCTATCTAAAAGACGCAATTAGTTAAAAGTTCTCTTATATATAGATAATACTAAAGTTAAAAAGACTAAATAAAATTATATTAAAAAACACCCTTTACAGAAGAATAATAGATTATTACTTAGTAATTTTAGTATTATAAGTTTAAGCTTAGAGTTTAGTTATTACTTTTTATTAGCTACTAATAAAATCTTAGTTTAGTTAAAAAGCACCTTTACTACTTAGTAGCTTAAATAAGACTTATTAAGGTAAAAGATAGTAATTTATAATATAGTAGACTTATATATTACTCTATTTATTTTAAATATATAATAAATTTACTAGATATTATTAAGCTATTAATCTCTTCTATTATTAACTATTAAATATAAATTTCTGTATTAGATACTGTAACTACTAAATTTTTATTTTCTACTATTTATACTTTTAAGTCTAACTTACTAACTTTAGAATTTAGAAATAAGTAATTATATTCTTAGTTTTATATATATATTATTAAATTTCTATATTAACCTCTTTTGTATTATTAGTATCGAAAATCTTTACAATAGCTTTCTTATAATAGGTTTAATCTTATTTAATACAAGTTTTAGAAACTATAATATAGTAACTAAATTATTTAGAGTTATAGTATATTTATACTTATTATATAAGCAGATAGATATAATATAGTAAAATTATAGTATAGTAACTTAGTAGAGAAGTTAATACTTTACCCTTTTATATATAGTAGATATGTTACGGGTATTTCTATCTAAGCTCCTGTCGGCCTACCTTTAGTAGACCTCTAGGCTAAGAGCGCAAGGCCCTTAAAGCTCTAGTATATAGTACTTACAAATCCTAAGGGCTTATACCCTAAGGATTTGTTAAATCTCTTAATAAACACCTATTTGTCCTATATCTTAATTACCTGTTTACAGTGCCCTTACAAGATATTAATAAGAGTATATAATAATATTATTAAAAAATAGATTTATAAGCTATAGTTTAGTAATATTTTACTTAATAAACAAGGATAGATACGTATTTAAAAGCCTAAGTAGCTATTAGTTAAAGTTTAGTTTAGTTTTAAATTCTAGTTTAAATTATAAACTATAGCTAGGTTATATAAACTCTTTACTTAACTAAAGATATTAAATTTATAATAACTAACTTAAAGGATAGTTTTAGTAATAATAGTGTATATAAGTAAGCTAGTATATTAAGATTCTTAATATATTAAAGCCTTTTAACCTTTTTCTTCTTTTATCTTTAAACTTATTTTACTATAACTTAAATTAAATACCTATAAAATAATACTATTACTAAAGCCTAAATATTTAAGTATTATATTTTATAGTACTATAATTAGGTAAAGATTACTATAGATAATTCTTAATACTATTATAGTATTCTATATATCTATAGTAAGATTTCTAAGAACCTAACTAGATACTAAAAAAAGATAAAAGGTATTACTTAGTCTAATAGTAATAGATTTTATATAAAAGATCTAGTTATTTAGTAGTACTTTAAAGTTAATAAAAAATATAAAGTAAAGTTTTTTAAAAATAAGGTTTAGCTTCTACTTATATAAGTTTATATAGCTAGTAGGGCTTTTTTTAATACTTAGCTTTTTAAACTTAATAAGCTTACTACTAAGTAGTATAATAATACTACTTTAACCTTAGATAATTGCTACCTTAAGTAAGCTGTTATAAATTTTAAGTATTATAATTAAAAAATAAGATAAGTAGTAGTAATTAAGTAGGTATAAAACCTATATATACTATTAGCAGTATAAGGAGTAATAGTTAGGGTAATAGTAATAGTAATAGTAATAGTAATAATAGTAATAGTAATAGCAATAGTTATAGAAAGCAGAGAGTTATAGCTAGGTAAAACTTTAAAATAAGAACTAATAAGTAATAAAAGCGCGTATACAAAAATATAATAGTAGTATAAGACATTAATCCCTATCCTCTATAGATAGTAACCTTATAGTAACAAAAAAAAATTACTTAATTAAATAAGTTTAATAGAATATATAAGTTAATATTAATTTATTTTATTAGGTAATATAATAGAGAAGAATAAACTACTAGGATAAAGTAACTATATTAGGCTAATAAGCCTAAATAAGTTTATAGAACTCTTTTTATAAAACTACTTAGTTCTAGAAGGATTTAAAGGCCTTAAAGATTTACTAGAGAAAAAAAAAGCTTATATCTTTAAGTACTTTATTAATATATAATCTAACTAAAGTCTTAACTTTAAATACCTAAGTAGTATAGCTTTTACTATTTTATTAAAACCCTATTCTTTCGATAAATAGGTTATCTTGGATTAGTTATTAAATTCTTTTAGTCTTTTTGTCTATAATCTTGTATTTTAAAGTTACTACCCTTTTGTATAATATATTCTATCTACGTAAATAAGAAAGACTTTTACTACTTTCTAAAGTATAAAATCTTAAACTAAATAGATTACGCAGCTCTATAGAAGAACTTTCTACTTTATTAATAGCTTATCTAGTTTAAGCAGTAATCCTATCTAAAAAAGTAGTAATCTATTTTTAAGGTAAATTAAATGTTTTAATTATAATCTGTAGTTTTCCTATCTTTTAATAATCTTTAAGGTTTATTTATTAAGTTTCTAGAGCTTTACTTTTAATCTTTAGTTAAGCTTTAGTTATTATAATTTATAGTTCTTTTCTTATAAATAAGTATTATTATAATAGTATTTATTACTCTCTCTTTTCTTATAAATTAACATAGTCTAGAAAGTTTTACCAAGAGATATTTAAGGTTCTATATAAGTATAATAAACTTTTTACTAAGATATATTCCTATTTCCGGTATTATAAATTAAGTGTTATAGCGTATTTTAGATTACGTTTAAATTAGATAAGTAAACTATAGACAAAGTAAAGTACTTAAAAATCTAGTATATAGAACTAAAGATTTAAGGCTAACTACTACTAAGAATAATTAAGTTAGTAAATTAGAGTTTATACCTCTTATTAGAGCGCTATAAGTAATTTCTAAGATATAACCTTAATTTATTAATAAATAAAATACTTTGTTATAACACTTTGTAAGCTAAGATCTTTAGATTTAATATAATAAACTAGTAAAAAGTAACTTATCCTAGAAGTAAATATTTATCTTCCTAAGTTTTAATTTTTTTTAGTAAAAGTATAGAGTAAAAGTTAGAAAAAGATTAGTAATTAGATATTAAGAGATAACTCCTAGGTTATAGTAAGATAGATAGGTTATAATTAGTCTAGATTAGAACCTAATAGAAGTTAAGGTTTTAGTTATAACCTAAAGTTATTTTTAAAAGCTCTTTATTAAATTTATTAACTTATATTTCTTACTAAATAAGCTTTAAATAAATAAAAGCTATAATAATTTTTTAGCTAAGCTAGAATATAATAGTTCTTACTACTATAAAATATAGAATTCTTATTCTAGAATCTAGGTTTCTAGTAATTCTTTTCTTATAGTACTATCTTAGAGTTAAAGCCTATTTATAGTTATTAACTAACTAAATAGACAACATACAGTAAGACAATAGTATACTATCTTAGTATATATAAAAATACTTAACTATTATATATATAGTAAATAGTGGTAAGAGTATATTATAATACTATTGGAAAATAGATAATATATCTCCTAGTAATATTTTAATAATATACTAGTTTAGACGCGTCTTTAAGAGTCTAGATAGGTATTAGTTAAAGTTTAGTTTAGTAATAAATTCTTTAATATATTTTAAACTTTAGCTTAATATTTAAAACTCTTTAATTAACTAGTAATCCTAAATATATTCTATAATTAGCTTTAGAGTAGGTATAGGCAGTAATAGATTATATATATTATATAGTATATTAGTATCCTTAGTTTCTTAAGAGTTAAATACTTTCTTTACCTTTCTATCTATTTATCTATCTATTAAGTTATCTTATTATGTCTTTTGCTATAGCTAGTATTATACTTAACTAATATTAAAAATCTAGGAGTATAGCTTAGAGGATTCTATACACTATCCTATAGTAAACTAGTAATTTTTAGATTAATAGAATTAATTACTAGTACTAGTATAGTACCTTAAATATTTCTAGTAAGATCTTTATAATCCTAGTTAAGAAGTAAGAAAAGATTAAGAGTATTACTTAGTATAATTATTATACTTTCTACTTAAAAGAAAAAGATATCTTATAGTACCTTAGGCTTTATAAGAAATACAAGGTATAGGTTTAAAAAGTAAAAGTAAAGTACCTTTTTATATAGGTTTCTATAATTATAAAAGATTTTTATAGTTTCTAGCTATTCTATTCTAATTATCTTACTAATAAGTAGTATAAATATACTACTCTAACTAATAGTAAAAGCTTCTTTAAGTAGGCTTTTATAGTTTTAAAGTAAACTACTTAGAAATAAAAAGCTATAAAGTTAATTAGACATGTATAAGACTCTACTAGAGA